CCCTTCTGTGAGTGGAGTGCGATTTCCTGGTCGCGCCGCAGGCGCTCCCTATAAAGAAGGGAGGGCTGGAGTGCAGGAGGTGTCTTAGCAGACGAGTAGCGGAGGGTGGGCGGAACGATTGGACTGGTCGAGCAAGTTGTGGGAGGTCAGAAGCCGTAGTGAGCTTGCAGTCACAGGGGAGAAGAGCTGAATATAGCCTGTACTTTAATGGAGTTCACGTGCTGGCTTAGACTCGTGCCATTAGTTTCTGGACATGTTCCCTTCCGCCGTTCTGGAGCCAGTCGTCCCAGCATAGGCCTAGGACTACGCTGTCGCGTGCGCTGCCTCGATTGTCGTTCCACGGCCTTTTCTTCTCTGTGTCCTCCGAGCCCAGTTTGTCGATCTTGTGAGCAGGGAGGATCCGATGCCATCTCAACGTCCCCTCATACTGGTACCCCAAGCGCTCGGCAGCGCGACGGGATGGGGCATTCAAGGCGTTGGCGAACCATTGGGCGCGCCGAAGGCCGAGGCCGCCGGGACCTGATACCAATCTCGGTGTTTGTGGCGTATATAGAGATGGGGCGTTGATGGTGACGCCGGCTGGTGGGTTGAGCGCATAGTTGAGGAGGAGGCCGCAGGCGTGGGTGTTGACGAAGGTGCGTTGGTGTGGTGGGAGGATGTTGAGCTGTTCTTGTCAGTGCCGACATCAAGGTTTTGGTCTTTGTTGTAGGACGATAGTGTCGGTGCTGAGGTTTGGGCCCCAGTGGCAGTGGTGAACATCGAGCCAGACGGAGAAGCTTCTGAAGGGAGGGGACAGGGTGTAGACGTACGTGGCCCAACTCCACACTCGCCATCCCGACATCAGCATTCAGATACGAAATCACACCCGCAAATCTCGACCCGTCTGGTACTTCATCTCCATGCTTGACCGCGCCGTCTTTGGGCTTGACGAAGATGGCGAACCAGACGACATTGATTTGGTCTCGGATGTGTGGGTTGTACCAGTTGAGGAAGTCTTCGGGTGTGCTGAAGGGGCCGTAGGGGAGGTAGTCGAAGTTAACGAGTGCCGCTGGGGTGGATGTGGTGTGGCTTGTGTAGAGGTTGGCGTGGAGGTCGATGTTGGTCTTGTGTTTGAGGACTCTCTGTTAGTAGCCCATCATGCACTTCTCGTCCCGACTACAAATTCCAAGCCTTTGACCTTCCAATGATAGCCGTGGAATATACTTACATCGAAAGGCACGAGTTTCAGCCGATCATTTTCCAGTTGTGATAAGTCGAGAGGGAAGCAGAAGTTGTAGTCGCTCGACATAATCGCGCGCCTTCGAGAGCGGGTCGGGTGATGATTAGCGGTCGAGAGGCGGTAGGAAGGGTTCGCTGCGAGGAAGCCGGAGTAAAGTATATCGATGTCGTGGTTGCCTCGTTGCCTTGTTGAGACAAGGTGATGCCTTCGGCTCTAATGGGTGGTGAATACTGAGCTTCGAGCCAGGAAGAAAACCCACCAGGCGGACTCGACGACTCACATCAAATGACTTCTATCCGCGTGCCTGGGTCGTGTTGCATGAGGGCAAGCACTGAAGACTATGTATGTTGACCGATCTTCGCTTAATGCTTTCAATCTGAGTCATTAGTATTGCTGAGCAGTGTACGGGCCGTGTGCAAGCCGGAACCATTCATTTTGGGATACGCAGCGCCATAAAGCGTTTCTTGTGAGGTTGAACGCGTGGTAAAGCATAGATACGAGCGAGCAATAGCCCGTTTTGTGTCCTTCGGTACCTGCCCGAATACCTAAGCCGGCCCGGTCCTCATCATCACGTCTCAGGAGGTGCCTTCGGTTACTTCAGTATCCTCGTCTACAGATCCTCACTCTCATTATCTGACTTAATCCTCCCACCATGCTGATCGCCTGGACCTTTCCCGAACATCCTCCAAAACTCCTGCACCTCTCGCTCGATCCCCGTCTCGTTTGCGGGAATTTCCCAGGCCTCTTTCGTAGTCTTGAAAGCATCCAGGAACTTCTTCATACGCTTCACCTTGACTTCTGGCGTCGCACCGCCAACAAAATGCACGAGCAAATCTCCCTCATGGACGCTGTTGCCCGTGATTTGCCTGTTGGATTTGACCTCCCCTGCAAAAGTCCTGGGACCCATATATGCGTTGAACCATCTCTGTGGGACCCTTGCGTAGCCGTCGCTGTAGGTGAAGTTGCTCTGCTGAGGATTAATTTTGTCGTGTGAGCTAATGATATGTTCTTCCGCGGACTGGACGGAGTATTTGAGATCGACTTCGGGTCTAAAACTCTCCACGGTGAGCGAAGCCGCCATGAGATGTAGCGAGTACTCGTTGATCCGTATCAGGAAGGCTCCGTCATTGAGACCATTGTGGTCGACGCCACACATGAAGGAAATGTGGTCGAACTCTGGCGAAGGCGGCAGAAACATCTCCAACGGCAGGTATGGGTTCAAGAGGACAGTGTCTGCATCAAACCAGAACAGCCACTGGAGCCGTTCTGCAGTCGGTTTCTGCAGCTCATTGAGTATGATTGACAGAACATAGGCTGCTTTGGTCCAAAGGCGACCGAGCAGCTTCTCCCGGAGTATGAATACGGGATAGCCGTGCATATCGGCATGCTGTAGATGCGTTTGCAGGGCTCGTTCGTACACAGGATTCTGCTGGCCGTAAAGCATGGTAGCTTTGCCAATGGTGGCGTTGCGAGGTCCGCCGTCCAGGACATGCTGTTGCGATCCATCGGTAGCAGCGGCGGAGGGGGCGGTGGCAACTTCGTCTGAAGCATAGCAGCAGCTACTGCAAAGCCATAGACTTCGTTCATCTGCAACAATCAGCAATACCAGAATGAACACTGTTGTGGGCAAAAGAAGCAGAACAGGGCGTGGGAAACGACCCATGGCGGTTGTTGAAAGAGAAGCGCAAAAGTCGCGAGAGGAAAGCAGTATTTCTGGTCGCATCGGCTGTGTTACACACCATAAAATGGGATTCGTGCTGCACATCAGTACACCAGCCTGATCATAATACAATACGCATTCCATGAGTTCGGTCACGTTGACAGGCGTTAAGCAGAGGAGAGTGCAGGCCTATGAGGACACCTGCTATCGCCGCGCGTGTGACTCAACAGCTGCAAGGCATTGAGGCGTAACCCAATACCTAGGTAGGTTTGAAGGTATCGAGATGGCGTACCAAATGTCAAAGGACATTGGGATCGAAGCAATAAGGAGATAATGCCGAGCGCCAAGAACTCGTGCTTACCACCTCCCGCCTGCCAAACTGCCTCAACCTAACCTTCGTTCATGTCAAAGGAAATAACTCACATCTGATGATACTACCATGTGTCGAGCCCCTGGAAAGTGACGTTCGAGTGCGACAAGCGTCGTGTCGGATACGAGAGCTTTTTACCGTCAGGTTCGATGAGTAGGCCAACAACTGGTACCTTGTTCCATCGCACTCGCTATCAATGACCCCTCCCTTTGCAATTTCAGCTAGAGTTCCTGACAACCTCGTATCAACCCAATGCATGTTGGCCTTACGGCTCTGGCATCCTAGGAGGAAGAGTCGTTGATAGACTCATGTATCCTGGCTGCAGATGTGGAAGCTATGTTCTTCAAGGAAGATATCAAGTCCAAGAAAGGGAAGTTGCGACCACCATTCCTCCTGATCTCGTCCAAGGGCTTCGACTTGTGTCTTCCGGTCAGTATGCCACGAGACCGCAATGCGATACACGCTCCCACTGACCAGAACTCACGTTGCGCCCAATGGCCTCGCGTGTCTACTGACTCTTTCGATACTGACCTTTCCTCACTCACAAATATCTCAATCCTTGCCATATCTCGGTCGAAACAGCGAGGCAACCACATACCTTGCTTCTCTCGCCGTCAGCAACCATACGCTCGGCTTCCAAAAGATCTTCGTCATCAACCTTCCCGCCCGCACCGACAAGAAAGACACCATCACCCTCACCTCCGCCCTCACCGGCTTTAACGTCGAATGGCTCCCAGCCGTCTTAGCCGAAGAAGTCTCTGCCAAAGCCGCTCCTCCAACGTGGAACTACACGCTCCAAACCCCTGGCGCTCTGGGCAGCTGGCGGGCACACATGAACGCAGTGCAGCACGTCCTCCACAACCGCCTCCCCACCGCCCTCATCCTTGAAGACGACGCCGACTGGGACGTCCTTCTCAAGTCTCAACTCCACCAACTGTCTGACGCCATGTATAAGCTCAGCTACACCACCCAATCCGAGCCCAGCAACCCGTACACCCTCAACTGGGACCTCCTCTGGCTAGGCCACTGCCGCGCCGGTCCATCCTCCCTGCCCCAACAAATCTACACCATCCCCAACGACCTAACGGTCCCGCCCATCCCCCACCGTCGCGCCAAGTGGCGTCAGCAACACATTCCCCTCTTCATCCGCCAAAACTCCACCCGCGTCATGTTCCGCGCCTACGCAGGCATGTGCATCGGCGCATACGCCATCAGTCGCTCCGGTGCTCAAAAAATCTTGCACGGCATGAGTCTGAGCAGCCAGAACAACCCCGCAGACGTGTCCTTTTCTAGTCTTTGTCGCGGCAAGCTCACCGTCGACGAGTTCAGATGTTTTGCGACGTACCCGCCGCTGTTTGGTAGTCATCGTGCGGAAGGAATGCGGAACCGGGACTCGGACCTCAACGACATCACTGAAACGAATGGGGGCGAAAGCTGGCATGGGGAGTATACGTGGGATGTTGTGTATCCGGCAGCGATGAATGTTGGAAGGTGGGTTACGGGGTTAGGGACGGCGAAAGCGCAATGAATTGGGGATGTTATGCAGGACGAGATTGCGTTTGGGGCGGAGCTGCCGCTTGGAGGGATGGAGTGGGTTGAGCTGGAGAGGCTGCCTGTCGAGGAGACCAGGGGGATCAACGTGTTTTGAGCAGTCTGCCAAGTCTCAAGGTATGCATGAGAGCGATATGACTGTATCAGTTAGCTATATGTACACAGCATATTGGACCACACTTCGAAAGTGGTATTGACGACGAGAGCACCGTAGTGCTTCGCTAGATCCACAAGGAGTTCTACACAGATATCAACATAAGGACTACCTACATTCGTCGTGTGAAAGCGTACCTAGCATAACGCCATGGGAATCGTATTGACCATCATCATGCAAAAGCGATTGGAAAGGTCTAAGCTCCAGCAGCGACCGCACTCCCATTCGCCTTGAACGCATCAAAGAACTCCGGATCAGCATCTAGCTCTTCCTTGACGATGTCTAGTCCGCCCACGAGCTCGCCGTTGGTGTATAGTTGGGGGAAGGTGGGCCAGTCGGAGTATTCTTTTAGGCCTTGGCGGACGTCGTCGTCGGCGAGGATGTTGAAGAAACCTGTTGGGGAGCAGTCAGCTTTGTTTCATAGGGAAAAAACATGGGATCGAAGGTAGACGGAAAGTAGAAGTGGGTATGCGGTCAGATGTCAAACATACCATATTTGACTGAGTTCTCGCGCAGGAGGGAGACGAGTTGGCGGCTGAAGCCACATTGCGGCGCCGATGGGGTGCCTTTCATGAAGAGCATGACCTTTGGTTCTCCGTTAGTATGTTGTGTGCTGGCTGTGGGTTTGGGGAGACCGGGACTGAGGCTGATCTGAAACACCAGCCTTGTCCTGGGCCATGGGGGTGTAGACTCACCGGCGCAGCCTTAACCAAATTCGCCAACCGCGTGTTCAACTCCGCCTTATCAACTTCCCCATTCGGGCTCCCGTTCGTCTGACCCTCGTCCGGCTTATACGCGCCAAAAGTCTTCGCCTCACCATGCCCGTTCACCGTCTCCCCCTCCTCCTTGTCCACCTTCGCCTTTGGAGCAACACTCGGATCCGCACTCAGCGGCGGCGGCACCTTCGCCTTCCCCTGTGCACCACCTGATCCAGCATGCTTCTCCACCGCAGCGCGCACCTTCGCGGCATCACTGCCGCTGACAGTCTCCAACACCTTCCCGTCGCGCTGCAACACCAGGAAGGGAACTGCCGTTACGTCGTATGACTCGCTCACGTCGGCGAGTTCTTCGGCGTTGATGGAGAGGAATGTGATATCTGAGGAGGAAGGGTAGGTGGAGGCGAGGGTTTCGAGGATGGTGCGCATTTGCGCGCAGGGCGCGGCCCAGGGCGTGTGGAAGTAGAGGATGGCGAGGGTTGTGGGGTTGGCGTATTGGATTAGGGAGTTGAATTGGGCTTCGTCGGAGACTTCTTGGAGGACTGGCATTGTGGCGGGGGGTGGTGATGTTCGGGGTTATGGGTGTAGGGATGGTGGGAAAAGTTCTGGTGGGTTAGATGGTGGCGCTGAGAGTTGGGCTCAACTCGTGGGCAGGCGGGCAGGTTCTGTACACAGTATGGAGGGAGTGATGAAGTCGACGATCAGGTTGATACGACGGAAGTGTCAAGTGTTGAGTGCCGAAGGCGTATTAGAGATCACTGTCTTGCTGGCAAAATGTTTAGTGAACGGCAGTGAGCGTGATCGGCCGGCGCAGGCGATGATGCAATCGCGGGTCCCGCGCCGGAATTCCGCGCCGCGATCGCGGAAATCTTGGCATTGATGGAGAATCCTGATGTTGAAGGCGAGTCTAAGTAAGCTGACGAAAACTTGAGAGTGCAATAGACACTGCAAATGCCTAAGAGAACACGCTATTATAACGCGATCCTCCGCTGTGTTCGATGTCGACATGAATACAGTCAGGTGCTATGTGTACAAGAGTAAGTAGTGGATTCAGACGCAATGCGAATAGCACTGTTGTGCTCAAGACTCTGGGTCGTGGACGAGGCTGTGATGTGCTGGCCACTTGCTCCAGCCCGACTGCCTTTAGGACTTCGACTCCAAGTGATGTTCTCTGCTAGACATGCCCACGGGTGTTGGAAACGTCCTGGTCCTACGAGCCGAACCTCTTTGGTTGGCCGTCGTTTCTGCCCTGACGTTTGAATGTGGGTGCCAGACCTAGACATTGGCTTCTGGTGCTTCGTCTAATTCCGATTTCCTTTGGTGGAACCGGTTGGCAAACCGGTAGGCCACGAAAGGGGCCTCCGGCATGAGCTCGCTGGCTTGAGTGGCCTTGGAAAAGAAATCCTGCCAGTCTAGGTACGCACCACGCAACCACCGCGAACCACTACTTGTGTCGAAGGCCTTGCGGGCGTGAACAATGCGTAGATTGTCAAAAATGACACAGGTGCCCGGGTCGAGTCTGGTCTCAACGCGCAGTTGTGGGCTGTCGAGAACCTTGCTAAAATTTGACATGACCTCCCGAAAATTTCTCTGGATATAGAGCGTGAAATCATTCAAGGGTCGCTGGTCGGGGTGTTTATGGACCGTTGTTGCCACGAAAGGAGGACTCCAATACACCCGATCGACGGCGTTGAGATGAGGGGACGCGGATTCGGTTGGATCGTTGTGATAGAACTTAAGCCGAGAACAGGCTGCCACATTTTTGGTTGAAGCGAGACATTTGGTGTCCATGTAATGGTGCCCAGACGCTGCATTGAGGTATTCGTAGCGAATTGAGGGTTCCTTCGAGCACACCTCTACACTGCCGGGTCTTTGTCTCTCGAGATGGTACAACGCAGTGAAGGTGTCGGCGAAGAATGATTCGCCTCCGGTGCAAGTGTTGTCCAAGCAATGCAACAGCTGAATACCTGGCGGTTCCTTCATATACAGGAGGTCCATGTGATAGCCTAGGTGTCGATTGGTATAGGCCACATTCTCTGCTTGCGGCTTAGAACGGACGTCCCAAGTCCTGCCATAGAAAGTATTGCGGATGACGCCGATGCGTTGAGCAAGCGTTTCGACCATGGACTCTTCACGGGGCACATCCCTGACAAAGATAAGTCCCGTTTCCCAGAGATGATGGAGGGCTTCGCTGAGGCCTCTGTCGTCCATAAAGTCCTTGAAGGCGAGCGTGTGCTGCTCTATGTCGTAACTCGCACTATCCCACATGTGCACAGGACGTGCTTTGAGCTTGTGATCAACGTTGCCCTGCATGTGGCGTTTGAGCGTCCCAGATTCCGATGTAAATTCGGATACATGGTCTTCGTCAAACCCAGGCACATCATCGTTCCATCTTATCGAGAAGCCACTGTCAGGATGAAGCTCTACTGCTCTAATGGAGATATCTGTTGGTATGTCGGCAATGGAAAAGTTCTTCTGACCATCGCTAGGGTTGACACATTTGTCACATCTGCACCCTAGCCGCAAAGAATAGGGACTGTAGTCATTGATGTAGCGAAGTCTTTCTTTGTCACTTGAGACGGGACGGGAAGAACGCCTCTCCTCCTGGTCCCGTCTATATTGAGTGTTCTGAGCGAGAATACTTGCCTCATCACGGTTATTTTTCCGTGTGTACTGTGAAAGACGACTAGCCTGATTCGGGGCTGTTTGTACGAAACTTCTACGACACCAGCGTTGTCGAGGAGCTGCCGTAAGTCTGACGCGAGGACCTGCTCGGAGAGGATCGAGCCTGTAAGCAGGTCTCATGGTCGAGTCTCCGGCGTTTCCAGCCACTGGAAGCCTAGCTTGCTGTCTATAAGCTCGATGGTTCATGTCTGGAGCGGTGGAATAGAGTGAGGCCTGATGGAGCATCGTGGCCACCGTATTTTTCACGGAGATAGTGCTCTATGCTCCGGGCAGGAATTGACGTAGGTTGTGAGCCTGGTTCACTTCCACCTTGACCTTGACTTTGGCCTTGACCTTCACACCTCACTCTTATCACTTGTCACCTGTTAGCCTTGGGTGACTACTGCACCATCCTTTGCCACAGTTGCAGCCTGAACTCATCTGACTTCACTCCTCCACCACTCCAGTAACATCCGTAGCCGCCCGCCTTGAGTCAGCCCGCTCTTTGTCCGCCTTCCATCAGATATCGCGCCTCGACATCCGGCCGAACAATATCGCCGCTTGCCAAGTCTGTGTTGCGAACAAGTCGCATCGGACAACTCGGTGTACGCCTTCCATACTCTTCCTGAGCTCAGATTACCGACTAGCTCGTCTTGCTCTACCCCTCGCCGTCGCCTCGACGGGAGTGATGAAAGATGGTTGAAGCCGAGCCAGGAACTCCCACATGGAAGTTCACCCAGTGCTTCGGCGACAAGGGCGAAGTAGACGACATTACCGAAGCTGACATAATATCCACTGTCGAGTTCGACCACACCGGCAACTATCTCGCTACCGGTGACAAGGGCGGTCGAGTCGTCCTATTCGAGAGAAATGAAACGGTAGGTCCTTTCTGATGCTGGCGGCAGTGTGTCGTGTACTGAATCTGCGAAGAAAAAGACGTGCGAGTATAAGTTCCACACCGAATTTCAATCCCACGAACCCGAATTCGACTACCTGAAATCCCTCGAGATCGAAGAAAAGATAAACAAAATCAAGTGGTGCCGTCGGCAGAATGCATCTCATTACCTACTCTCTACCAATGATAAGACGATCAAGTTGTGGAAGGTCTTCGAAAAATCACTCAAAGTCGTCGCCGAGAACAATCTGGGCGGAGAGGTCACCCCGGCAGGTCCAGGCGGTGGCGGCACCCCCATCCCAGCCAAATTCAAGACCGCGAAGCAGCTCAAACTTCCCCGCATGACCCATCACGATACAGTCGTAGCAGCTGTACCTCGTCGGACATACGCCAACGCTCACGCCTATCACATCAATAGTATCTCCGTCAACAGTGATGGCGAGACCTTCATCAGCAGTGATGATCTCCGGATCAACCTGTGGAATCTCAACATCCAGGATCAGAGCTTCAACATTGTTGATATCAAGCCTGCGAATATGGAGGAGCTGACAGAGGTCATCACAGCTGCCGAGTTTCATCCTCAAAGCTGCAATTGGTTCATGTACGCCAGCTCAAAAGGCACCATAAAGCTGGCCGACATGCGTGAAAGCGCCCTCTGCGACCAGCATGCGAAACGTAGGTTCAAACACATTGTCTTGCCGGACACACTGACCGTGTACAGAATTTGAGCAGGAAGAGGACCCATCGTCAAGATCCTTCTTTTCCGAGATAATCTCCTCCATTTCCGACGTCCGCTTCTCGAACGACGGCCGATACATTCTATCCCGAGACTACCTCACCGTCAAGATCTGGGATGTCAACATGGAACGGCAACCAGTCAAGACAATCCCAATCCACGAACATCTGCGACCTCGTCTATGCGACACTTACGAAAACGACAGCATCTTTGACAAGTTCGAAGTCGTCTTCAGCGGTGACGGCAGCAACGTCATGACCGGCAGCTACAACAACAACTTCATGATCTACCCCTCGGACCCGGAAGTCGAGACCGAAGTCGTCCTCCAAGCTGACAAATCTGCCTTCAAAGCTAAGAAAGTTGGAGTGCCCACACCCATTAACTCAACCAGCCCCAACGGCAACAAGAAGGGCGGCTCTCGAGCCGGAAGCCCGGCGGCGACGACGGGACAGGGTAGCCGAATGCGCAAGGAGACTGATGCGGACCAGATTGACTTCAACAAGAAGATCCTGCATATGAGCTGGCATCCGTTCGAGGATAGCATAGCCATTGCCGCAACCAACAATGTGAGTATTTGGAATCTCTCAAATTGTCGTGCCTCCCCTGCGCCTTCAGACGCGTCTGCATCGTCGTCGGGGTGGTCTACTATCAACCATGATGACGACCCTGAAGGTCATGTTATGGATGATGATGATGACCTTCCGGTGGTTGAGTATACATACCCCGACTGAAGCGGTCGGAGGTGTCGAGAGCGATCATGGGGAGGCAGACATGCATCCAGACAAGTACCACCCAGCAGAAAGACACAGGCTGATTGGTGACTACCAGCTTTTCGTGTTTTCGGCGCTCTAAAGCGAGATCGTTGCTTGAGCGACTTGAGCCCTATAGGTCAGCACTCCCGTTGCTCAGATCCGATCGGCCCAGCAGTTCGACATCCACTCGCATGATTACTAGACGGAAGACAAGACAAGACAAGAACATGACAGGATGGGACCATCCACGATAGCGAGCACAGCACCCATGCATGGTAGCATTTTCGAGCGTTCTGAGGGATTGCTTTGCGGAAGGGCGACGCGGTGGTAAGCGACCTAGGACGAGCCATGGGGGTGTAGGCGATGGCAGAATGCGAACGCGTCGCCCACGGATCGGTGGGGACGCAATGGATAGGCGGGGGACCTGCGGAAGGAGGTGCCGTAGATCAGACTGAGTCGCACGAACAGATACACGAGAGTAATGAAGCCAGCGCTTCATTTACATGCAGTCGAGCTTGCACATGGGAAGCCAGTAATGCAAGCGAAATCCAAAAAGTCTATTGAAGCCCATCTTCGATATCGTGCACAGCAACGGCGGCAGCTGCTCTTGCTTTCGCTGCTCGTATCCCTGGGGCCTATCCCATAGTCGTGATGTGCTAGCCGGTGTCACATCATGATCCCACCGTCATTTTGCAGCCACAGACGTCCGATCGAGCGGCATAGCCCTACTGTCGTCGAGCTCTTCGAACAAGCTCGCCTCGTCAGGTAGCAGGACATGCTAGTTTGACATGGCAAGTGGAATGGTGAGTTTCTTCTTAACTGACCAAAAGATAAGGGAAGGAATTGCGAGGGCAAGACGTATATTTATACCTCTTCAACAAAGTCAAGACCCTGGCAAGCCGAAGCAATCACTTCACGGAGTCGTTGAAGAGAGTAGTCACTGTTGGACACATGGCTGTTGCCTACAGTCAGTGAATTCTGTTTACCGGAAGTGTGATTAGAATGGCACGGTGATGGTAGATTGAAGGACTCGAGGCCATCGACCTTGAATCACAAATTCCTACGGCCAGCCCGCCCCCACGAAGTCGCCAATCCACACTCGTCCTACCGCTGATCCCACCGACTCGATGAAGACATCTGTGCGACTCTATCGGGATGGACAGCAGACGCTGAAGTCGAAGCGGCGGGGGGAGAATCTACTACGCCATCACTAGCAGCAGCAGCAGCAACCGCATCACCCTTTGCCCACCATCGCCGTTTGCACTACGAAGCACACCCTCGAGCTCTCTCCCTGACTCTTCGAGACCGTTCTGTATGTACTCCAAGCGTCCCCTAATACCTTCCCGTTCCTGCACCAAAGCCTCCTTCCGCCGCTGCAGCGCTGCCTTCTCGAGTCGGATCGCCTCTACCCGCTCCCTCAACCCTCCCAACGCAGCGTTGATCTTCGGAATTGGCGACGTGACAGGTGGCTGTTTCGGCCGTTTTGCTTGCTTCATGTACGCACCTGAGAGTGCGGAGGGAAGCGCGTGGGATGTTTGGGACTGTTCGAAGAGGTGGTGGCGGGCGGTTTCGTCGCCTGAGGAGTCGTCATCGGAGATCTCTGAGGCGGAATTGTCGTCGGAGGAAGCATTGGAGGAAGCATGATCGTTGCCCTCGGCGGCATCAATAGCAGCGCGGATTGCGTCCCGATGGGCGGCGGCGTTGAGCTTCGCGGAGCGGGAGGTCAGGTTTAGGGAGTCTGTTGTTAGGCGGTTTCGTTCCTTTTTGGTGTCGGATCGTGATGTTTTGCTGTTCCTGGAGATGCTACTTCCTCCTAGGAAGCCCTCGCCGATGATCGGTCCACTCGGCTCAGTAAACTCTTCGAAGCCCTCGGCGATGTCCTCGTCCTCATGCACGAGGCGCGTGTCTTTCTCCTTGGCGGGCTGATGCCATGTTCCGACCTGCATGCGACTGGGCTTGAACTCGCCGTCTGAGTCGTAGGCGTCGAGTGGTATGTAATCTTCGCTATCAGGATCTGTAGTTGAGGCAGGCAGGGCAGACTGTTCGAGTGCTAATCGTGCGCGACGGGCTTTGCGCTCTGCAATTTCTGTGGCTGAGGGGATGGCTGTGCTCGTGCTGGCGGGCAGCTTGCCGAATTTGGACTCTGCTGATAGGGCGAGACTATCCGAGGCTGGGTCTGGTGTTGTCGTGAGGGAGAGGTGATCTTTGGGTGTAGAGGGTGTCGAGGCGCGGAGTTCGTCGAGGGCGGATTTGCTGTAGGACGGTCGCGATGGGGCGCTTTCGTCTTCCCTTATTGATGTCTGCTTGAGTCGGTCTTGGAGTGAAGTAGGCGCGTTCCTTTTGAGTGGGCGGACTACGCTTGGGACGTCAATGTCTGAGGGTACAGCGCTACTTGAGTCGTTGGCATCTGAGGCGGTTGGGTCGAATGCGACTCGGAGTTTGGACTTCTGTTTCGCGGCGCCTGGACGGCGCACCGCTGGGCTACCGTTATCTGTTCACATCAGTCAGTCCGGACCGTCTGTATGGAGAATGCGTCAGGAATGATCGTGCTTGTCGGGTAGGGGAGTGAGAACTTACCATCGTCGTCGCCTGTATGCCCTGAATCGGAAACTTCACGTCCTATACGCTTGGGCTTTGCGCGGGCTTTGAAGAGTGACATGGTCGCAGTTGTAGAGGTTCGGTAAGACGTGATAGCAGCCTGCGACTGCCCTGCACGTTAATTCTGGGTTATGATGTATCAAGTCGACTACGTCGCAAAAGTTGAGGTGGACGCCGTTGACGCCGCTTCGGCACTTCGGGGTACGCCGAAAAGCTTGGCAAACGGCGTATTTAGGTAGTCTCCAACTTGGTATCGTGCCTCCCATAATGACATACATGTCGGGTACGGACTCTGCGCGAACGAGATAATGCTTAAGGGTCAGACTTCGGCGCACTGTGATCCGACCTATGAGACCTCGACTACTGCTGAAACCTTAGGATATTGTCGGACATCGAAGCGGTAACCTGTAACATGATCTAGTAAGATCATCGAGGAATCAGAATGCTTGCAGCACATGACCTAAGCAGGAGTATCCTCGAAGTTTCACTGTTCACGTGTCTGGCGTCGTATGAGATGGTGACATGTTGATGGTAAGTGCCAGGCAGTCAAGTCGGACATCACCTAGGTAAGGTGAGGTAAGTCGCTTTCTTGCCAAGGCTGCCTCGGATGCAACTGCATACAAACGAGCAGAGAAATAGCCCGAAACTCATCCCTTTCTGAAGAGACCGCTGCTTCACCGATTTCCACACCGCCATCAGACAGGCAAAATGGCAGCGCGTGTGCCGGTAGAAGTCCTCGAGATCGTTTTCCAGAGCCTACTGGAGCGCTGTGCCACTGACAGTAGCATCTCACCGACCGTGGTCCTGCGCGTCTGCCGACAGTGGAACGCTACCTGTGCTCGAATTCTCTGGAGGGATATCTCGCTGCGCAACGTCAACCTCCTGTCGAGATTCAGCACGACCGCGCCATCTCCGAATCTGCAACTCGTCAGAACAATGTCGATAGCTAGCCCGCCGCTGAAAACTCGCAGAGTCACAAAACCTGGTTCCATCTTGGCCCAGATTGACGAGAATGAAAGCTTTTCATTTGAGCGCGGAAACAATGCTTCAAGGTCTTTCAATCAAGACTTGGACTCACTCTCGTTGCTTCTCCCCCGGATGCACCACCTTACGTCGTTCTCGCTTCAGATTGGACGGACCGGGTTCTCGGATAGAGAGCGGGATTTCATCGTCAGCAGGACCTCGCTGCACAATCTGGTCTCTAATCTTCCACCATCAGTCCGACATCTTGAGCTCGATACCAGGTACCATGAGCAAGTCACGGAAAATGATGTACAGCCACACATTTGCCATGCGATCGCAGAACGTCTTACCCACCTGCAGAGCCTACGCCTTCGTCTGCGCCGGGTATGTTCCGACTTCTTCTGCCCATCTAAGAGCCTCAAATCACTGGTCATTAACATGATCGAGCTCGACAGTACGACACAAGCATACGCATGCGGGCAGACCGCAAAGTGGGAAAATCGCCAAACTTTTGAGGAGCGACAGGTCGTGGGCCAGGAAACATGTCGAAGCCTAGCTGCTGCAGCGTCAAATGCGGCTGCTAGCATGCCAAATTTGAGCACCTTCATCATCCTGGATGCTGAAAGCAGTTATGACAGACCTCTTGGCGTCGACATGCTTCGCGTGCGAGATGTTATACGTAACCAAACGACCACGTTTCCTCTATTCAAAGTTGATATGTCCCGGGATAAGGACGCTCTGATCGCCCGAAACGTCCTAAGAAAGCTCCCCGACGTCGATGCCGGCAATGATATCGTTGGGAATATCGCAGCAGTGGAGGTTTATGCCAAGGGAGGTGTCTGGGGCAATACAACAAGTGGCAGTCGGCTGCCCATATGTCTCAAGAACGAACCGGAAGCCCATCGCCACCACTGGAGCAGTGAGTTGCCATACATGACGAAAGAGCAATTCCTTGGGCTACCAGAACTGTTGAATGTCAAGTTTTGGAGCATGGAGAAGAAAGCAGGGAAGCAACTTGTACAAGCTCGCATTCAAGATGGGGTGGTCGACCTCGAGCCGTTGGTCAGGGACACCTACGAGTCGCCGCCACCCTCTGGTGATGACGAAGATGTTTTCGATGAAAGTGATCTTGAATCGGGCTACGGCGATCCCGATTTTTGACGATTTTCAGAATGGAGCATAACGAAGGACACGCAGGTTTTGGCCAAGTCACTTGGTCAGCACACGCTCACCACTTGGCGCGGAGAGCCACTGTCTACTCTGCAAGATTTTGACTTGTGGCCGTGGTAATCTCGAGCAGCGGGAGTTGTCTGAGAATGAAAAACTCAGCACAGCAATTTCGAGTGGACAGACCTCGACGTGATCCTAGCTGCCGAATAGAATTCATGTCGTATCCCCACAATTTCTCACACGACAACTCACAACTTGAACCTCCCCGTCACCACTTAGTGGTTCCCGGATCAGCCCATGAAGGCTCCAAAACCCCCTCTCCTTCGCCTAATCAGTACTTGGGAATATCTATCGTGTCATTCTGAGGTGAAGATCAGCCTCATGCTAATGGCTGGTCGTTCAGAAAAGTGGGGCACCTGAGCCGATGACGTGTTTTGGGGATGTGGCGCCAGCAAAATCACACGCGTGTAGATTCGAACCATCACTGCAGCTTCTATCATTGAATGATTCACCACCATGAGACAGAGCGTCCTAAGACTTTCTCTGCTGAAAATCAACGAGGCTCCGCGAAGATGACAGAGGGCGCCTCGCCGACCTCGGGAGACCTGCTGAACGACCCCTATCCGAGCCATGTCTGATACCTTGGGCCAAATTATCGATGGCGCCGCCGGCACCGCGCAAGGCAGAGAGGGAACGACCGTCCAAACGTTTGTACTCTCTTTGGCTGCTGGATTGGTGCTTTTCGCCGTCCAATTCGGCGCGTTTTTGATCGTGCGCAACTACTTCTGGGCTAAAAGGATCTATCAGCCAAGTAAGTTAGTTGCTCTCCCACAGTCAATTTTTTCATCTGAAGATGCGCGGTACTATGGAAACCGCCCGACCATATGTCTCGGGCTGACGGAGATGTCGCACACGATCTCTGTCATTGTTGATCCATACTGATGTGACCAACGAGTCCGGTCGACGTGAGAGAAGGTCAAGGTGCTTCTGAACTTTGCCCGATCCTGATTTGACGACCGAGTCAGCTCGATTCGGGGCAAAAGCAAATTGGTTCTGACGGAGCACTGACGCGGTTGCCATTCTGCTTCCAGACCTGTCAGAGCACGCGATACCTGATCAGCGCTTCGAGCATGGGTGGCAGAGCTGCCAGTCGTTGACCTTACACCCTTCCTTCGAGCATCGCCCTTTTCCGAAGTTAGGCTTACCAAGCTTACAGGATCTTTCTTGATACCGTCCAAAGAGCGAGTCAAACCGCCGCCCAATAACCCACTGAAATGGCTGTACGGGTTGCTTTTGACCTCAAACGATTTGGTGCTGCGGAAGGCGGGCATGGACGGCTACTTCTTTATTCGATACTTGGGTCTGTGTCTAAAGATATTCTTTCCAATGGCCCTCATAATTATACCGATCTTGATACCCATCAACTATGTTGACGGCAAGGGCACCAATACCATTGATGGGACGCGCTATAATGTCACCGGTATGGACACACTTGCTTGGTCGAATGTGTCTCCCCGGCACACGCAACGCTATTGGGCTCACCTGGTTCTAGCCGTAGGTGTTATTGCCTGGGTCTGTTGTCTCTTCTACTATGAGTTGCGGCACTATGTCGAGAAGAGGCAGCAGTATCTCGGCAGCAGGAGCCATCGATTGAAAGCTTCAGCCACAACAGTACTCATCACAGACATACCCAAAGATCTTTGCACGAATGAAGCATTGATGAAACTATATGATGATTTTCCTGGTGGTGTGCGAAGAATATGGCTTAATCGAAATTTTGAGTCCATCGTCAACAAAGACAACCTGCGCCGAGACTACGAAGGCGCCTGGAGAACGCCGAAACCGATCTGTTACGGAAAATCATCAAGAATAATCGGAAGAAGGGCAAAGCGACCGATGATGTAGATCTAGACGAAATGACGAGGCCCAATTCAGACTCGAGAACAGCAGACGTCAAAGACCGCTCAGACCATGATGAATTACCCACAAAACCAATCCAAGCCGCCTGTGAAGAGGACCTTCAGCACGATCTCGCGACTAAAGCTCTATGGACCCAGTCAGTCAAGCCCAGACAGCGGGCTACTATGCGAATTCCTCGTCCAGAGTACGCCTGGGCTTGCAAGGTGCCCTTAGTTGGCCGCTTCGCCTCACTGAAAGTAGACACAATCTACTTTTGCCGGAGAGAACTTACAAGGCTAAATCGCGAAATCGAAACAGAAATCGAAGAAGCCGACAACTGCTCACAGAATGGATCGGCTTTCATCCAGTTCCATACGCAGAAAGCTGCGCATCTCGCGTGTCAAGCAGTCGCTCATACTTTGCCGGGACGCATGGCTGAGCGCGCCGTCGAAATGTCGCCAGCAGACATCAATTGGTCGGCACTCAACTATACACGGCGAAACAGGGCGGTGCGACTTGTCATCTTTGTGGTTCTGTTTCTTGTGTTACTTTTCGCCTTCGGTTTGATATCCTTCTTCACTGGTCTGCTTTCGAGGGTGTCTACGCTAGCCGACTCCACTTCGTGGCTTCGCTGGATTGGCGACTTGCCTCGCTGGCTGATCTCATTCATACAAGGCACCGTGCCTCCGGTACTCCTGGTCATTCTCTTGAGTGGTCCCACGCCGATTATTCTACGGGCAATGACAAACAGCACGCGTGGAGCGACCACGGGCTCACGAGGCGAGCGTTCACTCCAGCTCTGGTACTTCATCCTCCTCTTTTTCGAAGTGTTCTTCATTCCGACAATATCTTCCGGCCTCACCAGCATTGTGCAGGAGCTCATCCACAACACGGCGTCTGTGCCTCAGATCCTGGCCACGAACCTCCCTACAGCTGCCAACTACTACTTCTCATTTCTCATCCTCCAGACTCTATCCATCAGCTCAAGCTCGATATTACAGACCATTCGTCTGCTCAACTTCTACTGTTTCGCAAAAGACAACACTCCAGACGAAGTCTTCACCAAATTGAGCTTCACGTGGAGAACCCGAATTGGCTCGAATATTCCATGGTACACTACATTTGCAGTCATCGGACTCGTCTACTCGATCATTGCGCCACTCATGCTACTTTTCATGTTGATCACATTCAGCTTCTTCTATGTTGTCCTCAAAAACAACATTCTGTATGTCATCCGAACCGGCGATGTTGACAGCGGCGGTGTCTGGTTGCCGAGTGCTATCAACCAGACCTTTACCGGACTATACTTCATGGAGGTCTGCATGATTGGCCTGTTCTTCCTGGTTCGAGACGCCCAAAATAAGGTCGCTTGCGAGGCTCAGGGCATCATCATGTCCATTGCATTTGTACTCACCATCATGTATCAACTATGGTTGGGACTGCACTTCAACGGGCTCTTCAAATATGCTCCTATCCAATTAGTGAGCGAGCCATTGCTGGAGGACAATCAAGCTGAAGCCGGAGCCGAGGGAGGGCGCCCTAGTTCAGAAGCTGGACCTCTGGAAGCCGAATCTATCGGCCCCGCGACTAGAACGACCACAGCAGCTACTGAAAAAGACATGACCGTCCCAAGCAAAACGCATGGCATGCCAGATGCTGTTCACCAACCTGAGGAGGCCTCTAGCCCAGTTCTCCTTACTGAAAACAGGCACCGAGGTTCCTCACAATCGCAGTCCCTGAACACGGCAAACATATCCCGTCGTGGCACAGATATGGAAGAACAGATCAAACACGACACCCACTCCGCCAAGCGCATCCTCGCACGCTTGAATCAACCCCTTGACGGTGCCAGACTCGCCGAGCTCGAAGCGCACCTCGTCCAAGCCGAAACACTCGTCAGCAGCACCATTATTCCCCGTAAACGCGCGGTTCAAGCGCTGATGATGAAGGATCCGATTAGCAGGATCATCATGCAGCACAACGACGATCTCGAAGCTCTCACGGAGGAAGAACGAGATATGCTGGTTAGTATTGCGTTTACGCATCCTGTTCTGCGTGCGTCTAAGCCTGGGGTGTGGATTCCCAGGGATGAATTTGGGGTCAGTGACGATGAAGTGCGGAGGACGAGGGAGTTCGGGAGAGACATTGTCATTGAGAACAGAGGGGCACATTTCAATAGGAAGCTGAAGGTGGAGGTGGATAAGCCGCCACCGGATATGTCTGAGTTCGCGTTGGTGATGGCTGAGTTGTAAATTATGGAAGGGAACGTCGTCAAGTAGGTCTTCAACTTCCGTCGTTCGCCGCTTGCTCGAGCGTCACATCCCGATACAAGGAGGCTTCGACTCCCATCAGTCGTCGCTTGCTTCAGCGTCAAAGCCATATCCATGGCATCTTTGACTGCCGTTATTCGTCGCTTGGATGAGTGTCTTAGCTCGATCCAAGACGCCGGTGACGCACGTCATTGACTGCTTGCCCGGAGTGGAGAGCCAGTCCCAGAATATCAATTTAGAGGCCGCCCTGACAGCACCCTCAGATTGGCTATGGCAAGACTGTGTGTTCAATCACGCTACAAGGACCTCTGGCTGTCGCCGCGACATACGATGCTTGTCCGACCAGAGACATGAGAGGTTGAACTTATGCAGGCTCAAGAGCGCTTTGTTTCGATGGAATCTATCTTCATTCGTATCGATAGCTATGACGACTGGCGTCTAACGATAACTGGTTACCGCCGAGATGCCTTGTTCATCCCACGGAGGTCCAGTGTCTGCGCAGCTCCCTTAACCCAGGAAGTGACTGCAATTGTTCTCTAATCCTCTGATCAATCCTGCCGTCCTTTTCGAAATGGCATAGGGGCAGTCGCCTGTGGAGATGAAAGACTTGAATTTGGAAAGTTCGCTCGAGGTCCTGCTTGGAATGCACCGCTCAGGCATCGACCAATCTCTGAAAGCCACAGTCCGATCGACCAGCCCCAAAGTCGTGGAAAACCTCGTACTCGGCAGGCACCTGAATTCAACGGGATCCCAGGTTTGCGAAGATGAGATTCTGAAGTAGGCTGTCCGGAAGGTGTTGGACTTGCCGTTGTGGATATGGTCTCGTGCGCTAGGGTTGTATATTTGGGATCGATCTCTGTTGGCAGGTTCTGGATGAGTGTCGCAGTCGATTTCCACGGAGCAGTGTGGATCAAAGTCTGCGTCGTCTCGTACTCGTTGGACGCTAGGCTTGGTGTTGAGCAGCAGGCGGTAGTGGTGTCAGCATGACAGGTGGAGGAGAACAATGTCATGTTGATGAGCAGTATGGTCGTTGCAAGTCGCGCCATCGTTGCCGTAAGTTTCATGTTGTCAGTTCGTCCTGCTATTAATGACGTGTGGGGACGCAAAGGGAGAGAAGAGAAAGGGGATGGATAGATAAATAGTCGCCCTGATGTATGGCCTGGCGTGTGTATACGTGTCACAGTATCTCAAGTGAAAGTCTTCGCCTTTGCAGGCAATACGAGCAGCCTAGAAACAAGAGCCTGATCCGGCACTACCATCCATGTATCACTTGCTGAGTCCGTGAATGCATGGCTGGGGCTTCACGACGTCCAGGCTGTTTAGTCAATTGATGGATTGGGTCGCTATGTACGATGTCGTCTATCTTGTGGTACATCGTCCGGAGACTGTCTCACGGTGTTAAGGGGACGCAATACCGCGTTCGCCTCGGTCGCAAAGGACGAAGGTTCGGTATACACGTCGACGAGGTCGAAGCTGGGTGTCACTGTAGAGAAGAAGAAGCTCCAAAAAGTTCGACTTCACGTTCAAGTTGCTTGTGCATTGTCACGTGACATTCTGCTTTAGCTTCAGCTCTCGAAAGAAGATCTGTTCCAGAATTTCTCTCGTGTCATTGAGTCCGTGAACGTTGTTATCGCCACACTATCGTAGAGGAGAAACGAGCCGAGGCAGCGCGTGACAATACATCCGACCACCACATCGCCGCCTTAGCTCCAGACATGCCAATCGCCGCACGATCAGAAACACTAGACGCCATCGGCTCCGCGCTATCTCGCCCGTTAACAAGTCAAAGCTCACCCCGCCCGCCATCTAGTAAAGCAATCCCTCGACCAACGATACAACGATCTTTCTCAGCGTCGTCATGATCCAGCACTCGACTTTCAGGCTGGCTATCTAGCATCCTACCCACCACGTCAGCGTCAGAAACACCCGCAGCATTTCACGCACACTGTCCAAGCGGCGAGCCTTTCTACAAATGCCAAACGCCAATCTTGCCACTTCATCGAACGAATTCGGATCACTCCGCGTCAACTTCGTGGACGGGCGAGCCGGATTTGACGGAGGGATCCTTGTCAACTTCGAAGGGGCATAGTCGGAATTTGACAGATGAGTCAAGGTTTACGTACCATTCGCGCCCAGCGACGGGGGCGTGGATCAAAGCGATCGGGACTGTTGGGGATGATGTTGAGGTATTGGATGAGCAGATCGGATGGGCATTTTGAGGTGCGAGAGGCGGGCATCATTTCGACAGATAGAAATTTGAATGGGAGGGAAGATACCCATGGCGCTATTATGGAATGCGTGATTTTGGTAGTACTGGACTCAAGACTTTTAGATGAACGAAAGGTCAGTGTATGTTATGATAGTGATAAATGGTCATGATGCATGTAATCAATACACAAGCCTGCCCGAGAATTTACAAAATCTCGAGCGCCCTCTCGCCCTGCTCAATCTTCAAATCCCTCACGAACATCTCCCCTTCGTACCTTTGCCATCGATTGCCAGCAATGAACCACACTCTCACCACCTGCCTAGGCATTTTCCTATCATCTTCACGACCCTGCTCAATATACTTAATATAATCCGCGTACAGATCCCTCCTCTCCTCAAGCCATTCTCCCAATTCCTCCGTACCCGAGCGGACAACAACGTGAAATTCTCGATCAGCCCAAGCAGGTAATGGACACCAATATCCACAGTCCTTGGGTAGTTCCCAAGACCAGGTATATGTCAGGTCGCGACCATTCTCAAATTCGAAAGCCACGGAGAGATAGTCGTGTGTGAAAGTCAAGTCTTCTCGCAGCCGCGATGGAAGGGACATCAGCAGCCATGTCCAGGACACTACGGTATTCGGTTCAAATGCGAGAGGCGGGCTGAGATTCTTTTGCAGAATCCCCGTATTCAGATCCGGCTTACAATGCATACACGGCTGCCCACTCCAATCGGTAAGATGGTAAATCTCCGACTTTCCCAAAAACCACAGGTATGACCACTGTCGCGGAACGTTAGAACTGTTAGAATTCTGATGACGGGTGATTTCTCGCCGCATGTAGTCTGCAAGAGCCACCCCTGAAGTTGCAGGCTTCACCATGAACCCCCAAGGACGGGTGACTTCGTCTTTCCAAACGAGTATAAGGATCTCAAACCGTCCTTCAACATTTTCGTAAACGCTAAGCGGAGAGGCAAGACGTCCGCGTCGGGTTCGCCGAATTGGCCGGGGAATTGGTTTGCGATGAACAGTTCGCCTGACTCGTCGATTGATTCGAATGTGTTTGAATCTCCTGTTGAGTTGAAAACTCGGCCATTGAGTCCGATTTTGTACCAGAGTGCAAATTGTGGTCGTAGATACATGTCGAGGACTCTGGAGCGCCATGCTCGCCCTGATGCGAATGTCGAGATTACTTGCCCCTGCTGGATGTGGATGCCCGTCGCACTCCATGGGATAGTATTGGCTGCCAGCGTCACGAACTTGTGCTCGAGCAAGGCATTCTTGACATTTCCATCATTCAAGAAGTCCTGGAATGTTCCTATGAATTCTTCTGCTGATGGGTCGTCCACATCTCGCTGGCTGGTACTCAACGATTGGTATCGTCGCCATGCTGCATCTACTGCATGCGGAGCTTGACTCTCTGTCAAGGTGCTCCAATGCGCTTGAAATTCTTCCCTATTCATAGCTCAGGTGTTGCATGTGTATCGTCCATTGGTCGGTAAGAGAGGACCGTGCTTCGGCAGTCCTGGGAACCAGATTGAGTTTCGTTTCTGATTGATAGCGCTGAGTTTAATTACTATGCTTGCGCCATACTGAACTGCATTCCTTCTTACAACTCTCCGTCCTTTACGTTCTAAGTCGAATTTCTTACCTCTGCTCGTGACGCCATAGACCCTTTCGACAAGCGTTGGAAATGCGTCTTGTACAGTATGTCACGATCAGCGCTATCGCGATGTTCAGCTTCATGCACTGGATCGTTCCTCCCCAATCGCCGTCATTCATAATTTCATTATTTGCCAACCAGCTCAACGCCCATAAGATATCAAATATTGGCATCGTGTGTATCTGGAGACTTGCTATGTATGATTTCGGAATTTCGATAACCGTACGGGCGCCAACGAGAGGTACTACCAGACAGCGTTGGCAGCCACTTCCATAAAGTAAGAGGTTGCGCTATTTGTGTTCAAGTTCTTGCCTCAATGTACCCTTGCACTCGCCTTCCTTTGCTCCTTCTGCAAAATCACTCCGACATGCCGACTTCCTTTGCCTCCTTGTCGACGATCACAATGCCGACAAAGTGATCTTGTTGTAGTTCTACAATGGAATTCTGACCTGATGGTTATTGCCCCCGTCTTTGTTGATCGACAGTCATTCTCTAACTGACAATGCCGTTGTACGATCGACCTTGTCCACGGCATGGTGGGCGGGTCACCGTGAAGCATAAGAACGGTGTTGGATGACGGCTCCAGTCGTCTTGCTCGTTCATCCCGCCCCGTCACCGGAACCGATCCAAGCCTTCACAAGCCAACCGCAACCCACTAAATCTTTGCTACCAAAACACCGACACAAAACATGCCGTCTGTATTTTCGAAGATCGTGGGTGGCGGTGTCACCAGCGCGCTGCCTGGTGTGTTGGCTCGAGTCGGTGTACCTCCCTCACTTACTACAGCTGTGACAGCAATTCTTCCTACTGCTGCGGCCGCTGACACTGTTTGCGACATGTTTGAGAGCCGAATGACTTCTTGTGTTACCATTTCAAACATCAATCCACTCGTCGACTTGGTACAGGCCTGGATCCGCGATCAGACCCCAACTCCATCTATTTTTGACCGGCCCAACAACAATTTGACCATCGGTCTGCCGCGTCCGCCGGGGATGTTGGGCCTAGGAGACGATGACGATGCCGAGTACGACCAAGGTAAAGGTAAGATCGATTTCGAGTGCGAAGCCAAGGACGGAGAAACCTTTGAATTCGAGAAACGGACTTTCTGGACCACCAAGAAATGGGAGGACAACAAACAGCTTGGACTGATGCTGACTTCGCTCACGGTTCACTGCTACGGACAGGACCCAGCGCCGATCAGGCGTCTACTGCAGCATATCCAACAAACTTCGGTCGAGAACAACGAGTATATCAAGTTGAGAATTCCCGGACATGGTTACAGCAGCAACGGCGGTATCAGCCGTTGGCGTCGGATCGATGGCAAGCGTGCCCGGTCACTATCTACAATCGAGCTCAGCGATGGGATCAAAGAGGACATTGTGTCAGACATTGAGCACTTCTTTCTTCCCAGCACGAAGAAGCGTTATCACCAAAAAGGACAGCCCTACCGACGTGGCTTTCTGCTCCATGGTCCGCCTGGTACAGGCAAGACGTCCCTAAGCTCTGCGCTGGCTCGCCATTTTCAGCTGGAGCTCTTCGTTGTCAGCCTGGCAACAGTAGCCAGCGACACGGTGCTCGCTGAAATGCTATCAGAGCTGCCTCCGCGTTCGATCATAAGCCTTGAGGACGTTGACAGCTTGGGACTGGGCCGTGAAAAGTCGGACAAGCGCGACGCTCGCGGCGTCACACTTTCTGGCCTGCTCAACGCCATCGACGGCTTCAACAGTCCCCAATCTGGCAGATTGTGATCATGACGACCAATGCAATCGAGAACCTCGACTCTGCTCTGGTCCGTCCGGGCCGCATTGACCGCAAGATCCTGATGGATCGGGCTGACAAAGATCAAGCCCGCAGAATGTTCCTTCAGTTCTATTCTGATGCGGAGAATGTTCAGTCGCTTGCAATACTGTTTGCGGACCATCTTCCAGACCGCGCTCTGACTCCCGCCGAGGTTCAAGGCTTCATGCAATTACATCCAGAGGATCCGATGGCGGCTGCCACTGGGATTACGCAGCATGCTCAACAAATCATGAAAGCCCAGCAAGCCACTTCGACCGATGGCGATGGCCCCAAGAGCGAAGAGATCGACGACTTGGAAGCTGTCATCGCACAACGAAGCGCTCACGGCAAAAGATCTCGAATGAGCAGACCGCATGTCCGTCGTCGGGTCATTCCCTTCAAGATCAGCAAGCCGTCGCCATTCGGAGGTAGGCTTCTGAGGTAAGTCGCAAGTGAACATGCAGGTAAGTCACACAGGTAAGTCGCAGCCACGGCTGATGATTGATGTTTGATGCCTCACCCTTCTTCTCACCCTTCCTTCCCAAGGCTCGCCTTTCCCTTTGCTCCATCAGTACGAAACGGGCTGTTCTCAGGCTCAGTAAGCCGTCGCTACTTTGAAGCAATCCTCTAAATCAATCACCAGATGTATGACCGTGGTAGGTCAAAGACTTAGATCGTACTTATTTCTGATCAACGAATCTTCTTTTCGCCCTTCTGGACTTCCTTGATTAAGTCGGTCCCAACCATCTTGTTCGCTCTGCATTGTAGCCCTGCACATGTGCAGAATATCCCCACTTATAGCACAGCACAGTCGATTAAAGATCTCGGCAAACCCTGCTTCTGTCTTCTCTGATAACGTGTTGATACCGTTCTCAATCTTGATGATCATTGATACCTTCACCTCATCGCTCCTTGACACTGCTGTTCGTACACGATACGGCGCCACGGCGTAGCCCGAAAAGCGGATATCCGGGGCGCCGTGAAGTCTTGGCATCAAGCCCGCTCGCCGATCTCCAAACTTCAGACGAACTTGTGCCTGCGCTCTTGAATAACCTCATATCTCTTCTCTACAAGCAGACGTTTCCGCCACAAGTGTCACAAGTCAATTAGTCCGATATCACGCGCCCCAAAGACTCGCGACAGCCAAACGGCCACCCCGAACCCATCTCGACTCTCCGCCTACCTCCCCACCTCAAAAGTCGCAACAGGCGCAACAAATACACAAAATGCCACAAGCACAGCCAGAACTGAAAAAGGTATGTTGCTCACAAGCCAGCGTTGCAGGGCCGTGCTATTTGATTTTTCGCACCATGCCTTCGTGCTCACTCAGCTCGTCTCTGCCTGCATCGCTCGCTGCGCTTGCCTGCATTCCAGGCAGGCTGGTGCCCCGAACACCTTCGCTACGCTCATTTTCCCAGCGGACCGCTCGCTAACACTCTGTGCAACAGTACATGGAGAAAAAGCTCTTCATCCAACTCAACGCGAACCGCAAAGTCCTCGGCATCCTGCGCGGCTACGACGTCTTCCTCAACATCGTTCTCGACGAGGCCGTCGAAGAGAAGCCTGACGGGAGCAGGCAGCGGTTGGGGATGGTGGTGATCCGGGGGAATAGTGTGGTTATGTTGGAGGCGTTGGAAAGGGTTGACTATGGGCGGGGTGGGCACTAGACGAAGCGCCCGAGAGCGCCCGAAGGGCGCCGCTGAGGGATGCGAGGCGGAGCCGACGCGCCGAAGCAGCAGTCTGCACGCAGTGCAGGCGAGCGGAGCGAGCGGATGCGCCGCAGGCGAATACTGCAAGGCGAGCGCAGCGAGCGATACTTTGTGCGTGCGCGGAGCAAAAGTTGCATCGAGGGCGAGCGTTGACTGGTATACCTTCCCGCAAGAAGATTCCTTGCAGGCAGAACTTCGAGGAAATCGCAACACGGATCTTGGGAAAAGGGGACGACGTTATGACCAAGTTCCTCAACCAGCGGCTTCGTTCGGCGGATCTCTCGATTGAGAGGCTGCGAGCGGCCAACTTCAAAAGAACTTACGGCAAATCGGACTGGATCTGCTACAGATGCACCGCCTTCCAAAGCTGCGGGCGACAAGATCAGCAGGGTCTTGATCTGTGACGAGGACGGATGAGGAACTCATCAGTCACGTAGTTTGGATTCAATGATACCCAACAAGTAAAAGCTCATGCCATACCGAATGCTATGCCAGAAACAAAGTGTCTATCCATATGGCCGTACTGCCGATTTTCTGAGCTCTATGTTTGCCTGAGCCCCGTGCTAAAGGAGTGAAGAGAAATCTACCGGCTGCTGCCCTGCGTTGCACAACCACCCGTATTCCTAATCTTTTGTCCAAGCAGCCGGTGTGCTCAAGCTGGCGTCACAGCTGCAGCCTGTCGAATCGAACAGTATCTTGCAAGAGAGGCAGACGCTCCTGTATGTGTCTTGCCAGAACAGCGAGCGTTGCTTGTGCAGCCTCTTCCAGACGATGGCCGATCGCTTCGTCGACTGTTGCGGGTTCACTCCCCGTCAGAGTCGCTACTCTCGGACTCGCTGCTCTCAGAATCGCTGCTCTCAGAATCAATTTTCTGGAATTCGCTTTTTCCAGACGCACCGTTCTCCAACACGCCGTTTTCGGACTCGCCGTCCTTGGACTCGCTGTTCCCAGATGTACTCAAGACGACGGAACCTGAGCCATGCGTGCGAGCGTGCTTGTTGAGGTTCGCTTGGCGCGTGTACTTCTTGCCGCACTTGCCACATCGAAAGGCCTTGACGACGGTACCGGAGCCACACGATCGGGCATGTTCGTTGAGCCTATCGCCGCGAGTGAACCCCTTGCCACACTCGCCACACTTCAAGCGCTTGTCGACGAAAGTACTGGAGGCACAGGAGCGAGCGTGCTGCTCGAGGGCGTCGCTGCTGAAGAAGTTCTTGCCACATTCGCCACACCGTAAGCGGTTGTTATCAGCGTGTGAAAATTGGCGATGACGGTTGCGGGAGGCTCGAAACTTGAATCGAGCAGAGCAAACAGGGCAGACGAATGGCTTGGAGGGGTCTTCGGTGAATGTCAACTTGCGACCACGGCGATTGCTTGAGGGAGCAGGCTGTGCTCCGTTATGAGCGTGAACATCGTGATCGTCTTCCGAGTCAACGTAAACCTTGTCATCGCCACTATCGGTCGGCGTATGGGCACCGGCAGTGCGTTGGTATCCTTCCTGGGAAGAGTGAGAGGGACTCTCGTCCGTACTGCGCTTGCTGCCACCAGATTCCGAGTCCGACTCTCCGTTCTACGAAGGTGTACCACCTCCACCACTGCTGCTGATCGAGCTTTGTCTCACGCCGCCCAGCTTCAGTGTTATCTTCTTCTGTGGCGGCTGCGGAAGCTCACTCAGCTGCATTGGGCTCTCCGAACGCTTCTTATGGTTCGTTGGCGGCGGCTTCACGTTCATCGGTGTCGACGGCTGTGGTGGTGGTGTGGGCATGGCAGCCGGGGTCTGAACCTCTGGCTTTACTACGATCTGTCCGGTTCCGAAGTATCCATCGTCCGTAGCAGCATTAGTGCTAGCTGATATGCTGGGTGTACGGCCGAATTTCAGCTTAAGAGACCCTTGCCGCTGTGGTTGTTGTACAGGAGCATGGTTGGATATTTTGATTGGTCCCGGCGGAGGCATAGTATTGTAGACCTTATCTTGTAGCGATGGCGGAGGTGCAGACTGAGGTGCAGTATCGGCTACCTGAAAGCGCGCTTTCATGATTTTCGTCCGTACTTTCGACGTCTGGCTGAATTTGAGCTTGCCCTGGGAGAAGTCATTAGCATCACTACTGTGGAATGTCAAAGGCAAGGAAGGCGACTCACATGACCAAGATGTTGTACCTTCCAGTATCGCGGCAATGGCAAGGTGACAACGATCTGATCTTTTGGCTCGTAGAGCATACGGCAGAAATCCAGTATCGTTCCGAGATCGTCAAATGTGATCTTCTCATATTCGGCCGCATCCCAGAGCGATTGCTTCAGCGTTTCATGATCGCCGAGATCTTTCTTCAGACCCTTAAGAGCAGCCTCGAGACTCGAGCGTCGAGCAATCTCCTCCGCACGACTAACAACAGCAGCATCATTTGCAGCAGTGTCCACCACGAGGAGATCTGCTTCGCCGTTGGTAGCTGATGCGGATTGGTCAATAGTAATGGCTTTGTGTGCTCCATCGCCGATTGCTTGCTGACCGAGTAAGCGACCAAACGCTGTTTGCAGTTCTCGTCGAATCATCGGCGAGCTGTCAACAGCCAGGCAGGTTACAATGTATTTGACCAGACTATGCGTGTTGAACATGTCTCGTTCAATCAAGATCTTGTAGGCTGCCAACCGCAGTAGCTCGTAGTTGCCAGGCCTGGTGTACTGTAGAAAATGCAAGGGTGAGAATCTGATGATGCCGGCGTGGGCTAGCTGAGCTTGACACTCCAGTGCAGTCCGAGAGTAGAGGTTCTGGTATGAGTTCGTCCACTCATCCATCCTTCGGAAGCGATCGATCTCTTCTACGCAGCTAGCTTCAAACTGGTTCAGCTCGGCGGCAGCACGGACTTGGTCGAGATCCATATCGTCCATGTCAGGCGGAGATGACGGCTTCGCCACCAAGGTTCTGACGAGGCCTTTCATTAGGGCTGACACATAGAATGCATCAGAATACTCGTTCGACGAGTTGTCGTTGAATTTGAGCTTGTCCAACATCCAGAGCTTGACGTCGTGTGGTGCATTCCCATTCTTGTCGCGGATCTTCGAAACAGCTTCCACAATCGCCACCTGAGCCATGTATTGCTGAGCGTCGGAGAAGTCGTTCGGACGGATGATAGGCATCCCGGAATCGAAATTGCAGAAAAGCTCATCGAAAGCCTTCTGGAGGTGAATCTTGCCAACCGTGACTTCGATACCTGTCTCATCGTTGATCTGATGTGCATGCTTGACCAGTCCTTGTGCTGCCAGATAGCGGATGCGGTGAAAGTATCTGCGGTCCATCAAGGTCCTCAATAAGATTGATGACACTGTCTTGTCGGCTTTGTAGGAGGTGATACTGTTGATCGCCTGCAATTGAGAGACAATATCTCTGTCTTGCTGCAGCTGTGAGGCGTACATGTAGCCTTGAAGGCCAAGCTCGATGTGAGCAATCCATTCGAAATCGGCATCCGCGCGGATCCATTCGAAAGACTCCATCTGCATCATGTTCTCCATTTCCTGGCTCCAGTCCACGAGATCCCAATTCTTCAGGTCCTCTTCGTCCTGCAGAACGTCGCCAAGGTAGTAGACCAAGCGCTTCTCTTCTTCCTCGTCTTCCTCTTCCACAGCTTTGGCCGTAACCTTGTTGCGCTGTTTACGCGTGCGCTTCAGACGCTTGTACTTGGTCTTGTAGGGCACGTCAATTTGAGTATAGCCGTCTCTGATTTGTACGATGTGCTCGTAGGGACTTCCGTCCGCCTCGTGCACTCTTATTGTCATCGGGCCAGTGAAAAAGTTCTGCTTTTCGGCTGCGTAGACTTCGTTCCACTCTTCTCGTGCGTCACGCACGAAGTTAGAAGCATCAAGCTCCTTGTCTGCCGTGGTCTGAATCTGCTCAAACAGCATCTCAATCGTCAATTTCTTCTTGTTGAATCGCTGAGTGATCTTGAAGTGCGGGCAGCCAGCTCCCTTCACCCACTGTTGCATGAAGTCGTTGATCGGACCGTGGTTCGCACGTTCCGCGGTCTTTTGAAAGAAATCTGTCGATAGTGCGTTGTTCTCTAGTTCCGATGTTCTCGCACGCGTTAGGATTTTCGAAATTATGCCTGGCATTTTGGCGGCGCCGGCAGTCTTGGCCATTCTGCGATCCAGGATGAACAATACTACTGGCGCCTTCAATGCGATGAAATTGTAGGCGTGAGGATCGATATGAAGGATCTCGCCCATTTCGTATATTGACGGCCTGTCCTTGTCTTGTGCCACAATATCGTCTGACAGCATCCGCATCCTAGCTCTGTACTCATTGGTACCGCAAAGCTCCTTCATGAACAGATCGGTCATGAAGTGAGCTATACCCACGACGACCCACATATCTTGAGCAGTCTCAGGTATGATCCAAATTCCTAGCCACTGAGCGGCTAGGGAATGAACGAGCTTTCGTGCCACATCCTGACAGGTGTCTATGACCTGTTCCGGAAACAGCAGTCGGGTGCTGCACATGGACAGTCCGGCAAACACAGTGACATCGTCTGCCAAGTCCTCGATGAAGCAAATCGAATGCGTATTGAACGGAGCAGAACTGTACAGCTGCACCATCTGGTCCATTGCTCTGGTGGTTGGCAGACAGGTGTTCTTGACTTCTTCCGAACGTCGGGGCAGGCAATACCCGAGCATCTGCACAGCATTGTCGCCTAGCTTGTCCTTCTCCTCTGGACTTCTGAGCTCATTGAGATCGACGCGCTCAAAAGGGCCGATCGCAAAGCCAATCTGTCGTGCGGACAATCGTTCGAGACAATTGAAGGTCACGATCTTCTTGGTCGGATCAGTTTTCGACACAACTTCGTGCTCGAAGTCTCCAGAGCACACAACGACCATCTCCTTGTTTTCATGTGCTGGCCTAGATATATTTTTCGGCTTTTCGTTTAACGAGAGACTTGATAGATCGGGCTGGAACTGCGCCAGTGCATCACCAACAGTCTTCGGAATCGTTATCGAAATTTCCCAGAAGCCTCGAGCATACAGCGAGTCCACACATGGGAATAGTGCACCAGCTACGTCGCCACCAGGCTTTCCGCGCGTGTATGCATGTGGCCAGCGACCGCTGCCTCGATCACTGGTGATGAACTGGACCAGATCGCCCATATGGTTGCTTTCGAAGTCCATCGAGACAGTCAAAGGTGTGTACTTGGCGCTCGAGGAGCCTGCGAGGCCACTTGCATCCGCCGGGTTGATACCGTTCTGCGTGTCATTTGAAATTCTAATTGTGTTGCCTGTAGTTGTATGAACGTCGATCTCGTTGACCTCCGATATCTTCACGGCAGGCGGCACTGAAATGACCAGGTTCGGGAACGGTCGTGGCTGACTTTGTCGCACGCTGTCGATCTTGGCAGCGAGTATATGATGTTGGTGGGCGTTCGCGTTGAAGTTGAGCACAGTCTCTTTGCAGGGATCGACATGATAGTAGTTCGGAGTCTGGACGCCATTGATAACAACATTGCGGATCTTGCATTGGCGAGCATTGAGATAAATGTCCTGGAAAGTGCTGGATTCCGGATGAATCTCGATTTCGACTCGACCAGTAATTCGTTGGTTGAAGTTGATGTCGAGCTCGACCTTCTGAGAAACGAGAGTGAAGCGATTGACTGCGACGGGAGCTTCACGTCGAGTGCCGACGACTGCGCCGTTGACGATGCGTCCATTGTGATGCGATGCGATGCGTTGGCTCGATGGTGCGGATTACTGTTTGCGATCCGCCTTCCGGGCGGACGCCGGTTGATGAGTAGCGACACTCACCATCAAACAGCCGCGCGATCTGTGCCTCTAGATGCGTCGTAAGTGAGAGACAGAGTTGTAGACTTCGCCTCAGTGATATCGATGAAGCCTCTAATAGTAGTGATGGAAAAGTAGAGGACACCTGATTGTTCAAGAAGGTATTCAAGAGGCAGCGAGGCAACTCCCGCGCTAATTCTCTTAAGTGCTTGGCGGGCACGACTAGTGGTGTCAAATTCCAGGGCACTTGCATGAATAACTCCACCACACATCATCGTTGACTCGACCACATGTCACCTCAACTCACCGGCAAAAAGTCGATGACCTCGCTCCTTGCTCCCCAATTCAGCGCTTGCTTTTCGAAGTTGTTCTTCGTGCTGCATACAAGGATGGACTGTGCTGCTTAGCGTATAAGAAACGTACTGATCTTGGTCACTCCTTTTTGCTTTCGCTTCACTCTACAAGGCGTCGGGCACGACTTCCGTGCAAAGCACTTCTGTCAAGATGTCTTCAGGTAGGAAGTCGCTACTCAAACAAACAGTTTAAGATCTAATAATGAACAGGTGACACTCTGTCACCACAGGCACTTGCCAACCTCAAGCTCTACAAATACTCCAGCGTGGACAAGTCGTTCATCTCCAACTATGTTCTCCGCTACTACTGGAATGCTTGCGTCAAGCTGCTCCCAATGTGGCTTGCCGCGAACATGGTGACGCTGCTTGGTTTCTTTCTCATCATCGCCAATGTGATGCTTTTACAGGTCACCATTCCAGACCTCGTTGGACCAGGGCCTGTGTGGGTGTACTGGTCCTTCGCCTTCGCCTTGTGGGGCTACTCGACCATGGACAACATCGACGGAAAGCAGGCTCGGCGAACAGGAACCAGCAGTCCACTGGGCGAGTTGTTCGACCACGGCATTGACTCATTGAATTGCACACTCGCTAGCTTGCTGGAGACTGCCGCCATGGGCTTTGGCCCAACTCATATCGGAGCATTCACAGCTATGGTGCCGGTGCTACCCATGTTCTTCTCGACCTGGGAGACGTACCACACCCACACGCTCTATCTAGGCGTGTTCAACGGCCCGACCGAGGGGCTGATCATCGCCACTTCCATCATGGCCATCTCAGGCTACTACGGTCCCCAGGTCTGGCAGACACCAGTCTCAGACCTCATCGGGCTGGAGAACATCTTCGGCGACTTGTCGTGGCGTGAGGGCTGGGTGCCGCTACTCCTCATTGCTTTCTTCACAGCGCATCTTCCCGCCTGTGTCTATCACGTCGTCAATGCCCGGCGAGCTGCCAACCTGCCTGTGCTACCCGTGTTCCTAGAATGGACATCCATGCTCATCTTCTGCGGCAGCTGCCTCGCCTGGCTCGGCTCGCCACACTCTAATCTGCTCAAGGATAACCACCTCGTCCTCTGGTGCTTGACAATGTCGTTCGTCTTCGGCCGTCTGACCACCAAGATTATTTTATGCCATCTCACACGACAACCATTCCCATTCTTCTCGGTCATGCTCGTCCCGTTGATCGGCGGAGCAGTACTCGCGCAAGGCCCGAGCTTTGAGCTTTGGTCGGCGTGGAGCCCGACAACGGAATTCAGGTACCTGCAGGGATATTTCGTGTTCGCAGTGGTGGCGTATTTCACTTGGGCGGTGAGGGTAATCAATGCGATTTGTAAGGTATTGGAAATCAACTGCTTGACGATCAAGAAGAGGAAAGTCGATGCCGACGAGGCGGACAAGGGGAAGAAAGAGATCGAGAACGAAACGCCAGCGGCGAATGGCGAGCTGAGGAGAAGCACGAGAAAGAAGGCTTGAATGAAGCACTGATAGAACTTGAGCACTACCCAGAGGACTTGTGGCATTACTGTTTGTTGCGCAGTCGCCTGGATATCTGCTTCATGCACCAAAAGCGGAGGAACTGGACAGACTTGGTCATTGACAATATAGCTATACCTGCCCACCAGCTGACCGTACGAATATATTTTCAGCATGACTGCCAATTATCTAGAGACTGATATTAGAAGAAGCAGCAGCACATCGATCTCGACCCGTACTGACTTCAGAACTCCCATGCAAGTGTATCCTCTTCATCAGTCCTGTCAAACATACAGTCTCATCTCGTCCCGATGATATCGACCTTGTCGCCGCCGCCTCTTCGACTCAACCCTCCGATCTCGCGCCGAGATTCTCCAACTCACTTCCCCATTGCGGGGAAACAGCATCGTAGGCATTGATACGTCAATAAATATATAGACAACACCGGAGGCCGCGTGAACCACAGGCACGGAACAGCTGTACCGAGGACGGTGACGGCACGTGGACTCTCAAGATGGCAGCAGCAGCAAGTCGCAATGTGCTGCGACGGTCCATGCTCTATGGTACGTTCCTGGCCTTCTCAAAGCTTCTCTGTGCCTCGAAATACATGGCCGGAGCAGCAGCAGTAGCAGCAGAAGGACGTCCTCGCCGTTTCTCCTGCCTTCAGACTGCCCATGTTAAGGACGTAGACTAACATTGCTCGGCAGTCCCTGGCTCCTCCCAAAAATTTCTCGACAAGTCCCGCACCCTCACCGCGGACTGCATAGCCTACGACCTCGAAGACAGCGTGACACCCGGCCGCAAAGCCGAAGCCCGCAAGCTCGTCCGCACCGCCATCGACCAACCCACCCCAGACAATGTCCGCGAGCGCGCCGTCCGCATCAACAGCGTCGGCAGCGGCCTCGCCCTCGCCGACATTCAAGAAGTCTTACAATCCCCCAACCTAACCACCCTCGTCGTGCCCAAAGTCGAATCTGCTTCGGATGTGCACTTTGTGCGCGATGTGATCGCCCACAGCCGGCCAAAGGAGCTGGCCGACAGCAAACCTCCAATTACAATGATCGCGCTTATAGAGTCTGCTCGATCACTCACAGACCTGACCTCGATCTGCGCCGCCGGCCCGGGTTTACTGAGTGGGCTGACCTTTGCGGCCGAGGACTTCGCGCTCGACCTCTCCCTCACACGCACACCCAGCCTGACCGAGTTCCTCTTCGCTCGCAGCGCAATCGTCACTGCGGCACGTGCCCACGACCTTCCCTCCACTCTCGACCTCGTCGCAACGGCGTTCCGCTCGGAAGCAGACCAGGAGCAGCTGGTGCAGGAATGCGAGGATGGCGTAAGGATGGGGTTCAACGGGAAACAATGTATTCACCCGAGTCAAGTCGCCACGGTGAATAAGGTCTACAGTCCGTCGGAAAAGTTAGTGGAGTGGGCGGTGAGGCTGGTGATTGCACAGAAGAAGGCGGAGGAGCAAGGACGAGGGGCGTGGACGTTGGATGGGAAGATGATTGATGCGCCTGTTGAGGGCAAGGCAAGGGCAATCGTGGCAAAAGCCGAGCAGATCGATGCGGACCTGGTCAAGAGACTAAGGGAGCAGCACAAGGATCAAGAGCCGCAATGATGAGTAGGGAGGGTGATAGCGAATTGAGATGGGTGACTTGTGCGGATGAATATGCTTTTCGATAGAACTATGTGGGGGGATGATTCAACCAGACAAGGGCGGATGATCCGGAATTCACCAAAGAAGTCGAGGATGAAGCATGAGGAGCATACCCTACGGGACAGGAGCAAGGCTAGGCAAGTCTTACAGGTGTACGTGTAGTATTTCGCATGCGAAATGAATGTCACACAAGACAGACAGAAAGGAAGACGTTGCGCCGGAACTGAAGGAGCGAGCAAATGCTTCAGTTCGAGACTTTTGCTACCTGACTATCTCTACTTGTTGATAGCGGGCCCCGGTAAGAATGCGACGACTCTGCATGCTATCACAAATTTCGTCTTCATCGTCTGCATCCTCAGTAATGCGAAAGAAGGAAATGCCTATTCCCACTGCTGTGTCAGTGTGTGGACATGCTACCCTGGCCTCTGACGACCGCCCCATTGAGCCATTGTCGCAATGAGCCCTCGGGTCTCCCGGCGCCACGCATGTCACATCTCAAGCTCAGCCCTTAATCGCACCACCCAACGCACCACCACTGAACTGCTGACCGCCCTGCGGCCTTCCACCACCACCGCCTTCACGACCACCTCGCCCGAGACCACCACCTCTGCCGAGACCTCCCCGGCCACGACCTCTTCCTCTCGTGCCTTGGTCTCGCTGGAACGCATTCGTCATCCCCGCCGTCCTCGTCTCCAGTATCTTCTCATTCCCTTCAAGCAGGCTCATACTCCTATCCGACAGCGTGACAACCTGGCTCTGCAGACGACTCAAGTCGACACCCTTCCGGAACACGATCGCGTCATTGACCTGATCCAACGCCGCCGCGAGCTCTTCGTGGGAGATCATCTTGCTGACAATAGCGGAGATCTCTTTCGTATCTAGCTCGAACATCCCTGAGAGGGTCGTGAGGGATAACGTGTCGTAGTATGGTGCGTATGTGAAGAGATATGTCCGGAGCCCCTCTTCTTGAATCTGGCTCGCAAGCATCTTACTGATCTTCTCCTTATCGCTCCCCAACAGATCCCAAATCGCGATTTTGCTGATGAGGTCTTGACATTTCTTCCAGTCGCCGTTGGCCAGCGCTTTGGCGGCTTGCATGACATGATCACGCGTATTCTCGGGCGGGCCCTGGAAGACTTGTTTCTCCGTGTACTCCAGCATGCGGCGGAACGTCTTGGAGATGATGCGTTTCCGCACGTCGGGGCTGGAGCCAGTCTGTGCGAGGAGGGGGATTTCGAGCAGCATGCTGCAGGTTAGGTAGACGCATTCGAGGAGCTCGAGGTTGATGTGCATGTGGAAGGGTAGTTGGCGTTGGCGTTCCAGGCGTTCTTGTTCGGGGGAGACGGTGTTGTAGCGTTGCAAGATGAGGCCTTGAGCCAGAAGCTCCTTTTGGCGGCCTGAACCGCAGATTTCCTGGAGGACGCCTTGGGCTTCGTAGCAGAGGCCGGCGCGGAACGCGCAGAGGCCGATTTGGACGAGGGTGCGGTTGAAGAGGATCTGGGTGGAGACGTCGAAGGAGGAGATGTTTTCGGTCAGATGGGACATGAGGGCGAGGTCGCGGGCGCGGTAGTAGTTGTCTTGCAGGGCGAGGAAGTAGATCTCGCAGAGCATGGCGCGGGCGCGGATGATGCCCTCGCTGCGCTCGAAGAGGTAATTGCAGAGAGTGGTGACGAAGGGTGGGGACTTCGGGGTATGCGTCGCGCGGGGTGAGGCGGGTGTTGAGGTTGGAGGGCAGGGCGGCCCAGGCTTTCTCTTCAAGGATCTTGACGACGGAGACGGGCTTGAAGTAGATGTGTTCGAGGCGGCGGACGGTGATGCGGTTGATGAGTTCTTGGCGAGCTTCGCCGCCGGGGAGTTGGACGATGCGTTCCGCGTAGACTAGAGAGCGGAGGATATCGTTGTAGAGAAGTTGCTCGTCGCTTAGGCGCTCGATGTAGTCGGCTGTGTGGGGGTCTGTTTGTTGGAGGGATCGTGTAAGTTCGTCACCGAGTCGCTCCATCAAGGAGACGACGCTGCCCGGAATCTTGAAGGTCGTCTCGCCATTAGCAGTTGGAAGTGTCGGTGCCTTTTCGTCATCTTCCCACTCCTCGGCGCCCTCAACCACGATCCATGCCGGGTTCTCCTCCAGGGTCTGGAGCAGGGTCGAGTACTCCTTCTCTGCGGCCTGCCATGACTCCTTTGACATGTAGTTCTGTGTTGAAGTGCCGACGACGTCAAACCGTGTTGAGATGACTGTCAGTAGGACTCTGATTTTCTGGTATGGTGTGTTGGCCACCTCGAGCAACTTCTCCATTATCCGAATCTGCTCGTTCTTGTCGGTGTTCTTCTTGCCTCGTGATTCAACAATCGTCCGTAGGTGCTTGAGAATGCTCTCGGGCGTGTAGACCAGGGCCTTGCCACCACGACCAACAGTGCCCCATCCTTCCTCGTCAATCGCGGCCTCGATAGCGTCCAGTCTCTGAACCTTGCTCTTCTTTTCCTTGGGTGCGATATCCACGACTTCGTCATCGTCCGACTCCATCATGTAGCCATCCTTGTCCTCGAGGTATTTCTGAATCTCTGTGGTGTATGAGGCGTTGTTCTTGCGGATCTTCTGCTTCATTGCATTGAAGCCCTTCGTCGATGTTGCGTTCATCTTTTTGTTGGCAGACTTCTGTTTCTCATTGGTCTCCTTGACGAGATCCTCCAAGTCGGCGACCTTTTTGATGTAGATTCGCGGTGTTGAGCCGGACTGTGTGGTTTTGACGACCTGACGGTTCAACTTGTCGAATTCTGTGTCTTGTTAGCCCGATCCTATCCTGTGGTACGACAGATATACCAGAGTTGATGACCGCCCAGTCTCCGATCTTCTCAGCATTGTCAATCAACTTAATTGTGCCCTCAAGTTCATCCAACCGCTTGTCCTTCGCACTCTTTACGACACGCTCCCGGTCCTCATCGTCGCTGTCGTCACTATCGCTATCGCCACGCAAGAAGCGCGAGGCGCCTTTGCCTTCATCGTCGTCAGAAGACGAGTCGTCATCGTCATCCTCTTCTTCGTCGGAATCGTCTTCATCTTCATCGGAATCTGCAGAGTCGTCTACGGGTTGTTCGTAGAGATCTTCCTCCTCGGAACTGGAGTCGCTGTCGCTGTCACCGCCGTGGAAGAAGCGGGAAGACATCTTGGCGAGTTGAGCAGGCGCTATGAGGGAAGAAACGACGTCCAGCGGCGAAGTGTCTTGCAATGTAATTGAGGGTGGGCGGAAACTCTAGGCAATTTTCGAGTGCCTGGATTGGAGTCACGTGAAGTTGTGGATGTTTTGCCGCGAAATCTTGGCGGGGCAATCGAGTCCTTCAGTCAACACTGCTCAGCTCCGAGTCATCAAGAGTCACGACCAGAGAGAAATGATACAAGTTGGACCGTAAGCAGCATCCGAAGATGTCATACGTGCCTGCAGAGGAATACCTAATTCCATGGTCTGACCTCTTTCAATTGTCATGACCTTTCCTCACCAATCCTTTCCTTCCCCGCCTAGTCTTCCTGTGGACGATCTCCTGCGGCTGATCGTCTCTCCTCCCATCAACGACGGTGTAATAGGCCGCACCAACCAGTCATGACTCGCTGGTTGTCTTGGTCGCCCCCAAAGTCTCACTGGCTCCCCATTGCCAGTGGCTGAGCTCAACGGTTGATGATCAAAGTGGTGTCCGCAACCTTGGCTTCATCGTAACCTGTTAAAGCACACAGGCATGCCGATGCGGAGCGTGGCCCTATACGAGGCTCGAATTCTGCGTGTAGCTTTGAGAGCTCAACTTATTGCAGTTCAAAATTTGTGACTGACAGTAAGTCAATCTCTTCAGAAGATAATCAATGCCACTGAGATTGGCCCATTGCACCATCTTCGAGCGTCCTGATGAAATCGCGGTTCCTTTGGTTTCGACTGCCTCTCCGCCTTGCATTCGATGGCGAATCCACGTATCCATCGGGTGGCGGCGGATAGTATGCTGGACTTGGCTGAAGCCGAATGGGCTGACTCGGATCTAAATGGCTCGCCACTCGTTGTATTGCAGCAGGGATGGCACCTTGTTGCTGGTCCATTGTCGAAGCGCGCTGGCGACCGGCCCGTTGCGTGGCTTGTTGGTACAGTGTGGGCTGCTGATGACCATAATGAGCTGGCGCCATCTGTGCAGGCTGTTGAGACATCTGGCCCATTTGCGGTGCGTAGCCCGTAGTAGGGTATGGCGGGGGTGCTGCTTGCTGATGCGTCTGGTAGACGTTGTTGTACACAGGAGGTGCCTGCGGATGTTGCACCTGCGCGTACTGTTGTGCTTGCATCGCGTATGCATTCTGTGCCGCACTCTGCGCTTGTGCCTGAACCTGGGCCGCTTGCGCAGCTCGTTGCTTGCTCATGGCTTCGGCATTCAGCTGCTGCTGTACACCTGGAGCTGGTGGCTTGTTGGTGGGCGACTTCAGGTTCATCGGTGGCACGAACGGTCTCGACGGATCAAACTTTTGCTGTGTGATGAAGGGATGGAGCTTGGCTTGTTGGGGTGACCACCGTTCTAGCGGATTGATGTTCAGAAGTCCTCGCACGAAGTCGATAAACGCAATTCGGTTGTTCATTTCTGTCATAGTTAGCACCAACAGTCAACGGATCAGGGCAACTCACCTCGCTCGACTTCTGCTTGCTTCATGTTCTTCCGAGGCATACTGTAGCTGCGAATGATCTCTGGAAGCGTAGTTGCTTGGAAGTACTTCTTGCTGGGCTGTTCTTTGACGTTGTGTTCCCTCGAGTACTGCTCCATACTTTTCAGGCGGTAATTCCGCCGACCAAACTCATCACTCGTCTTTTCGAAGAATTCGCCGGACTGCTTGCCCATCTCCAGCATCCACATAGGAGGCATGCCTAGCATCTCAGTGATTCTAGACACCTGATTGTATTCGGATGAGCCGGGAAATAGAGGCAGTCCCAGAAATAATTCCACAACAATGCAGCCGAGCGACCACATATCGATCGCCGAGGAATATGGCAGCCCAAGTAGAACCTCTGGCGACCGATAGAAGCGAGATTGGATGTATGTGTACACTGTCTGCCTTTCATCGCATGCCGATCCGAAATCAATGATCTTGATGATTGGGCTTTCAAGATTCTTCAGTAGAATGTTCTCAGGCTTCAGATCGCAGTGTATCAATCTCGCCTTATTGAGCAGTGTCAGTCCGTTGAGCAGTTGCTGCGCGAATACTCGCACTAGTGTCGTGCTCAATCCTCGGAACTGATTTTGCTTGATCAATTCGTACAGGTTGACACTGAGCAGCTCGAACACAAGACACAGATGCTGACGGTGGATGAACGTGTCTTTAAGCCGTAAGAGATGGTGATCATCGTTCTTGTCGAGTTTCGAGTTCAATAAATCCAGTACCGACACCTCCATCATACTTTGGTTGAAGTATGCCGTCCGGTTCTTGATGACTTTGACTGCAACGACTTCCTGAGTCTTCAAATTCTGGCATTTGACAACCTGGCCGAAAGTGCCTTGGCCCAGCACGTCCAAAATGAGATACCTGTTCTTGTGGCCTGTCTCCTCGCTGCCTAAGATGTCGTTGACGTACAGAATATAGTCACTGTCCTCGTTGTCATAGCCATCGTTCTTGGTCCCCTTGCTTGGCTTCGTCAGGACTCGGCGAGGGTTTCTCGACGATTCATATTTGAAGCTCGGGTTACATATTCGGTATGTGGCTGGCAGATACGTTGTCAGTGCCTGCAGCGGACTGATGAAACCGCCCTCCGGATTCGCACGGCGATACGCAGGTTGTGAGTTGACTCTGGGCCGTATATCTTGAGCTGTCTTCACCCTCCGGAAGCGAGGGACTGGCCCAGGAGACCTTTGTGAAGCTTGTCGCGAAGGTGGCCCCGGACGAGCCGACGAGGGCGTCGGTAACTGTGACGCCGACGGCGGATAGTATGATTCTGGACTCAAATTCGCGTTCTCAAGCGTTGCTAGATAGCTCGCTTGATATCTGGTCGGCGTCGGTGGTTCCGCCGGATATCGGTCGGGTAGGTATCGTGTCGGTGAATGCCTCGAGGGAGGCGGTTGTCCCTGTTGGTACTGACCCAGCTGCATGGCGGGATTGGGACTGGATGTATGTGGGCCGGTTGGCATTGCATTCATGGGTGAATATCGTTGCGCTGCTGTGGAGCTCTCGCCGATGAACTGCGCAGAAAGACGGTGCGAATGCGCAGGCCGTGGTAAATACTTCGCACGGTTGTATGGGTCTGCATCTTCCATTGCCACGTCGTATTCGCCATTGTTCTCGTATGGGTTGCCCATGCCTGCTGGGTTGTGGTTCGTACCCATCTTCGAAACCGGCTTCGTAATTTGTCAGAGGTCGCAATCGACTCAGGTCAGATCGGACGCGATCTGTGGTGATTGATCCGAGCCACCCTGCTCAAGGAGCCTGGGCTTTATGATTGAGAGCACTCGGTGTGCTGTCCTCGTCTCAGACAGGACCAGCCAGCGTGCGAAGGTCGCGGTGAGCGATCGGCCGGAGTGGTCGTGCACAGCCTAGAGTGACTGGTGGGGCGCACTGTAGGACTGCATACATGGCAAGACTGCAGGTCAAGTCATATGCAACAGCATCGTGATGTTGATGGTCGGTTACGTTCTGAGGCTATCGATACCTGCGTTTGTGTTGCAAGGGTTCAAGGTGCTGATAGTGCTTGTGAGCTGCGTTGTTTTCTAGGGGGTGAGTCGAGGCCGTTGGCTGACAATGAGCCTTGGGGTCAGGGACTTTGGTCCAAGGACCAGTTCCGTGGGACTATTGATCGGGTGTTAGGGATCGCAGACCGATCAAGAATAAACACTCTGTCAAAAGAGTACAGTGCTGGTGTTGTCTTGAAACAGCTGGCCAACACACCCAGCACTCTTTTAGGCGGCGTGAGGCATGTCTTGGCGCGCCATGCCCTTCAAGTAGTACCTCACCTATACTTGCTCTTCATTTCCAAGTCAGCTGCTTGAGCACAACCATGCACCTAGGTGGCAGTGTATAGTCACTATTGGAGAGTGAATCTATTGATCGGTGCTCGGCGATCACATTAGACAGAGAGTGGTCATCATTGAGGAGTCTTGCAGGCAGCACAGGCCTAAGTGGCGCCTTCTTCTAAGTGACAGAATATGACATCGACACTTTTGTTCGCTTCTTTTCAGTCACGTCTTCCACCAATTTGACATTACGCACGCCTGCACCAAGTCGAGTCCAGATAATACCGCTGATGGCTCCCTCAATTGTCACTAAATCATGATCAAACCTGAAGATTTGTTCTTTCTAGGTTGCTAACGATGGCTGAACCATCGAGTCCAGGCTCATCGCCACCTGGACCTGGCGATGGAGACGATGATGTCGCTGAACAACAGACGAGTCCATCGACTAATGGCAAGGTCGTCGACGATGAGGCCGCAGAGACGGCTGCGTTGCGCGATCTTGATGCCCAAGTCCGTGATCAAGATGACCTCGAACGCAGCATTGGGCGTGAGGCGGACCAATTACTTTTCGAACAAGCGAATGAGCGTGATCACAAACGTCTCGAGAAGACCAAAGCGCAGAAGAAGCAACTAGAGGTGTCCATCATTCAGCTGCGGGAGGATATTGCTCGACCCATGGGTGTCACCCAGCGAAACCGTTTGCGGACTCGGATTGACCAAATCCAAGGTCAAATCGCTGACCTCGACAATGATCTTGCTGAGATTCAGGAGCGGATCGATGGGCGTCAGAAAGATGCTGAAGCAACGGTCGAAGAAGACCATGGCTCCGGTCGTCTGCCGAACGAGACTCTGCGCGACTTTCTAATTCGCACAGGCAAGATCACCCCGTTCTCGAAATTTGGTCTGCAGAGCCAAAGCAATGATACAACAACGTTGCAAGGTGCTTTGCTAGATGCGGAGGAGGAGCCCCCAGATGTCGAACTACTCTCTGGTGGTGCTTCGAACAATCTCATGTCTCACAGAAACCTACGAAAGCCTGGTTTCAATGATGCTGTCGACGACTCACAAGATGACGAATTTCAGGTCGATCGCCCAGCCAAAAGGCGAAAAGTCCAGCCTCGCCGACGAAAGGAAGCTCCAGAACCCGGTGATGACGACGAGTCCTTCGAAGATGAGGGCAGCTCTGAGCATGATTCGTTCATCGACGACGATACGGATGACTCGATGCCTGTTACACGTGGCGAGCACAAACGGACTCGAAAGACCGCCAGCCGAAATGTTGACGATGAAGTTGAAGACCTTCGCGGCGTTGATGATGGCAATGAAGCCGTCTACAAGCGTCGTTTACGAAGATGGGCGTTACGTCGAAGGCATGCCCGCCTCCGCTTGCAAGGCGAGGAAGATGGAGAAGGCGATGATGACGAGGTCGTAGACAGGGTCGTTACAGAAGAATGCTACCAGCCACACCCGCAAATAGCCGACACGGTCTTTGACGGTGGCTACAAGATCCCTGGCGATATCTACTCGAGTCTTTTCGACTATCAGAAGACTGGAGTCCACTGGCTTCTGGAATTGCACGCCCAGCAGGTTGGTGGGATTGTGGGAGATGAGATGGGTCTCGGCAAGACCATTCAGATCATCTCCTTCCTGGCAGGTCTGCACTACAGCAAGAAGCTGGACAAGCCGGTCATAGTGGTCTGTCCTGCCACGGTGATGAAGCAGTGGGTGAATGAGTTTCATCGCTGGTGGCCTCCATTCCGTGTTGCGATACTGCACTCGTCAGGTTCTGGCATGGCCAATATTCGAAACGAGATCTCTAGGGAGGATCAATTGATGGACCAAGTGTATGATCCCAACGCCCGGAAGACCACATTGACGGCAGCGCAGAAAGCTGCGAAGAAGGTACTGAAGCCTGTGCTGGAGCAAGGTGGTGTTCTGGTCACGACATACTCTGGTCTGCAGAGCTATGCGCCGCTGCTCATCCCGACGGATTGGTCCTACGCCATTCTCGATGAAGGCCACAAGATCCGCAACCCAAACACTGCCATCACGATATACTCGAAGGAGTTACGAACGCCCAACCGAATCATCCTCTCAGGAACGCCGATGCAGAACAATCTGATTGAACTGTGGTCTTTGTTCGACTTCGTCTTTCCCATGCGCCTGGGGACGCTCGTCAACTTTCGCAACCAGTTCGAGATTCCCATCCGACAAGGCGGCTATGCAAATGCCACAAATCTGCAGGTGCAGACTGCTTTCAAATGTGCTGAGACACTCAAAGATGCTATCAGTCCGTATCTTCTGCAGCGATTTAAGATTGATGTTGCAGCAGATCTGCCCAAGAAGAGTGAACAAGTTCTCTTCTGCAAGCTGACACCTGGACAACGACAGGACTACCAGCGGTTCCTCGGATCAGGAGAAATGGATGCAATCATGAGTGGCAAACGTCAGGTTCTGTACGGTATCGACATCTTGCGAAAGATCTGCAACCATCCAGACCTTCAAGCGCATAAGCAACTGTCAGTCAAGCCCGGCTACGACTACGGCAAGCCCGATAAGTCAGGAAAGATGAAAGTGGTGGGATCGCTTCTCGAGCTATGGCGCAAGACTGGCCACAAGACGTTGCTTTTCGCGCAGCACCGTATCATGCTCGACATCCTTGAACAATTTGTACGAGCGATGTCAGGCATGAAGTATAGGCGAATGGACGGCAATACGCCCATTCAAGCTCGACAAAGTATGGTAGACGAGTTCAACACCAACCCAGACCTGCACGTCTTCCTTCTCACCACCAAAGTCGGAGGTCTGGGCGTCAACCTGACTGGCGCTGACCGAGTCATCATCTACGACCCAGATTGGAACCCCTCAACAGATCTACAAGCCCGCGAACGAGCATGGCGACTCGGCCAGAAGCGGGAAGTGACCATCTACCGCTTAATGACCGCCGGCACCATCGAAGAAAAGATATATCACCGCCAAATTTTCAAGCAGTTCCTCACCAACAAAGTCCTCAAAGACCCAAAGCAGCGCCAGACCTTCCACCTGAACGACTTGCACGATCTCTTCACCCTCGCCTCCGACGATGCGCCGACCGAGACCAGCCAGCTGTTCAAGAACGCCAAGATCGACAGCGTCAAATCAGCGGATGTCAAAGACTCTACCCGTGGCTCGACGACCCATCACGCAAATGGCCAGATCACAGTCAAAGCCGACGACACCGAGGTCAATGCCCTACCTGGCATCGCCGCAGTTGAGCAATTCGCAGGAGAAGTCGCCGAAGAAGAGGAGAAGGCCCAAGAAACCGATCCGTCGTCAACGGCAGAAAAGCGCATGATGGAAGGCCTCTTTTCGCGCTCCGGCATTCACTCAGCAATCGAGCACGATGTCGTTATCGGCGGCAACAGTAGCGCCAAGAAGGTTACCGCCGATGCGGACATCGTTGAAAGGCAAGCCCGTAAGATCGCGCGAGAAGCAGCTGAAGAGCTTCGTCGCGCCGGCGAGGAGGCCCGCAACGTCCCCATCGGCGTCCCGACATGGACTGGAGAATTCGGAGTCTCCGGTCGTCCCCAGGACACCACCCCTACCCGCGCCTTTGGCGGCAGTAATCGTGCCCGAGGCGGCGGGCTCGGCTCCTCTGGTCTACTAGCCAGCCTGCAACAACGCCAGATGGGAAATGCAGGTGGAGCCGACCGCACAGCCAGCCCAGCCCGCTCTATCCGTTCCACTGGATCCCCAGCCCCTTCGACGTCAGGAACGACAACACCGCCAAGTGCGAAGGATTTCGCTAAACTGATTCAGCAGTATCTGACTAGCCACGGCGGGAGCGTATACACGCAGATGCTGATTGACCACTTCAATCGGTTTTGTACGACGCAGCAGGCGACGTTGGCGTTCAAGGAGACGTTGAAGCGGATTGCGGTGTTGGAGAAACGGAGTCAGGGGAGGGGGAGGTGGGTTTTGAGGGATGAGTATCGGGCGTAGCGCGTCCAGTCCGCCGTCGTGGGTTGTCTTGTCGGATGGTAGCATAGCGTAGGAGTTCTTCCCAGCCGTAGCGATGCATCGAGCCACCAAGCCATGCTCATAGATTCCTCAATCATCATCCACCAGTCCCTGCGGACTCCAATACTCCGCCTCGCGACACTGATAATCCACCCACACAAGACTATCCGCCAACAGATCCTCCAGCACCGTGACACACCTCGCCTCCTCCCACCCCAAATTATCCCTCAACAGCCCCACACTCACGCCCCCCTGTAGCAACGCCAGCACTTCCAACACGGTACTTTGATCTGTGTTCAGCTCCTTCGGCACTGACCTAATAAAAGCCCTCCCGCCGATCTCAACGACCTTGAACCCGCTGCCCAGTGGCTCGAGGGACTTCACAGCGCGCAGAATATCGTCTTCGGACACGCTGCTGAACGCGTTGCCAATGGTCGTAGCTTTCGTGAGTGCTTCCCGACACTCCTTCACGCCCAAAAGCCCACCATTCATCGAACGCGTGGTGAGGCACAGCTCGACGATGCGGACCGCAATGGAGAAGTAGAAGTCGTTGACGTCGTGGCCTAGTACCTTTGCCCATAGCCCGCCGACTCCTTTCCCAGTTGTTGCGGATGCTGAGCCGGACTGGTAGCTGCCGGCTAGGGGGTCGACACCGATGGCGACGCACATTTGGGCGAATTGGGTGCGGAATTGCGGGTTGGATTTGATTGTGGAGGAGTGCTCGAGGGCGAAGTTGTGCAGGAGGGATTGGAAGACTTCGAGTTGGGTTGCGAGGCTGGCGGATTGGGTGGATTTGAGGTGGGTGCCGAGGGTGCTGTAGGATTGGGTTAGGTTGCGGTTGGTGGTGAAGGCGCCGAGGCCGACGCCGCGGCGGGTTGACATGATGAACAGGTTCGTGTTATATGGCGCGAATTGGACCTCGACGGATTTGTGACTTGGACGACCTTATCACGGCGTTCTGGAATAAATGAATGTAGTTGAACAGTCATGGGCTGATGTCTGCGAATGCAGCATAGCGGAATATAACTGTTATTATGTTGGTCTGGTACAAGCTGACAGTGTGAGGAGCTTCTTCCGGACTCTGACTTGTCAGATCTTGCAGCCGAGACCAGTGTGAAGAGCTGTGTCCGGACTGTACAGGAACCAAGCGATGCTCCACGTCGAGGAGGTCCAAATCTGAATGAAGGCAGCAAGGTTGAGGTCCGGAGACCAGGCATCAAGCCGGATGACAACGAGAATTTGGAGATACTAGCGCCAAGACTTCGACCACAGGCGCACCCTGCAACTTCGAAAAATTGTACCGACTTTGATCTTTCGACAACAACGACTTCTGTTTCGCCTTAACTCCAGATAATCGATTGCCGAGCGACTTTTTAGTCACAACCGCAATCATGGGAGGAGTCACCGTTCGCGATGTCGATGTAAGTCTGCACACAAGCTATTCTCTAGACCAGTCGAAAGCCTGCGCAAACAAAATCGCAGCAAGAGTCGGCGGCCGTAGAGCAGAAGTCGATGGATGATCAAGGGGAGAATTACAGGAGTGCTAACAAACGTTGTTACAGGCGCAAACATTCATCAACGCCTATGCCGACTTCTTGAAGCGTCAAGGCAAGCTGCAAATCCCTGGTTAGTACTCCTACGGCGCATCGACATAGCCTCTGCGGAACCACACATGAACGCTGGCGAACTGTCAAAACGAAACATATGAGAGATATGGCAGCCTCAAGGCGTGACCCGCCCGAGGAAGACTTTTATAGCAGACCGCTAACATATTCCTCTCTCCAGGCTGGGTCGACACAGTCAAGACCTCACACTCCAACGAGCTCCCACCTCAATCACCCGACTGGTTCTACGTCCGCGCCGCTGCTGTGGCCCGACATGTCTATCTCCGCAAATCAGTCGGTGTTGGTCGTTTACGAAAGGTTCACGGTAGCACAAAGAACCGCGGTTCGAAGCCAATGCACCACGTGGATGCTTCCGGTTCAGTAGATCGCAAGGTTTTGCAGGCTCTTGAGAAGCTGGGCATTGTTGAGAAGATTGAGGAGGACGAGGACACTACTGGCAAGGGCGGTCGGAGAATCACACAGTCAGGTGCCCGAGATCTGGATCGTATTGCTCAGACTGCTGTCGAGGGCGACGACGAGGATGACGAGTAGGTGGCGGCTCGTTGCGTTCCCTGTGCGCACACGAGGTCTCACGGCCGAGATATGGATGACGGTCGGCCAGAGAGTCGAAGCACTCAAGGCAATTGCACGCATCAGTCCCGCTCAGCAGCCAGCACTCATGCGGCAACCTGCCTACTTGAAGTTGACAATTCATAGTCACTCACGGCAAACATCTTGTCGCGACTGTCGAATTTGTCACTCTAGTAAAAACAAGATGTGGCCGTGGACTGTATCGGATCTGAGCATTTAAGTTCGGCAGAATCAAAATAAATTCAACCGAACCCCAAGTCAGCAATTATTTTTATTCCCTGTAAATGTTGTTGACTTCCTGCTGCACACAGTTACAGTATTTTATTACCGAGCCCGAATGAGCATACGGTAGGTTGAAGGCTCGTTGCTTCTGAAGTCGCATACCATGAGTGAGCGCCATTGCTTGGCGACCCAGCGTCGCATTCAAAGATAAGACTGCCCTGGCCTGCACTTAACTTACTTCTTCGTCTGTACATTTCGCCCACCTTCCCAACTACCTTCCGCCGTCTCGCCTCACACTCCATCGCCATGGACCTGTCATGGGTCCCTACGCCCTTTGAGGTGTACGGCGTGACCCCACTCCAGCACCTCATCATGGCCGTCACCACCACCTCCGTCCTCATCTTCAACCTCCTCATTGCCCGCCTCATGTCGTGCACCCAACGGCCCGCGCCGGACACACTCGTCCCCAAGGTCACTCCAGCAGAGCTCTGTATCGTGCTGGGCAGTGGCGGCCACACGGCAGAAATGCTCAATATCCTACGGCAGGTCGAGGGCTTACAGACGGATTACAGGAGGATGTATATTGTGTCTAGTGGTGATGGGTTCAGTGCGGGGCGGGCCGCTGATTTTGAGAAGGAGCTGGCGTCGTCCGCGACGGCTGTGGCAACGGGTAAGGGTAAGAAGGCGGCGAAAGGAAATACGAGTGCTGGCAATGAGAATTACACGATTCATACGGTCACGAGGCTCGTCGTGTGCACCAGGGTCTTCTGACAACGCCATTCACGACTCTAAGATGTATGTGGGACTGTATGCGCATCCTGCGTTCGTCGCCGCCGGATCTGATCGTCACTAACGGTCCTGGAACGGGTGTTTGTGTGGTGTTAGCAAGCGTGCTCATGCGAATGTTGTGGCTCGTGCCGTCAACGCCGACGGGGGTTGCGGGCGCGAACGGGAAGGCTGGAAAGGGCAAGGAAGCCTCGGAGAGCGGAAGCGGCAGCAGGAAGGAGATGCGCACAACGTTCATCGAGAGTTGGGCGCGGGTCAAGACGTTGAGTCTGAGTGGGAAAATTCTGGTCTATTTCGTGGATCGATTCGTGGTGCAGTGGCCGCGGCTGGTGCGGGAACAGGGGACGGGAAGTGTTGAGTATCGGGGCCCGTTGGTGAGATAGCAGCAGCATCTGCGTCGGCGAATCTGAAATGCAGGGAGTCTTTGATCAGCAGCTTGTGTCAACCGGCCGAGTGAAACTTCTTCGTCATCCGGTTTTGTCAGGGTTTTGTCAAAACTGCGCTATATGTATTTCCAGCACGCCGTTTGGTGCCTGCCGCATTCGGGACGGCTTGGCGCTGATCAATGACTTTCTTGCCGCGTTCAAGTTGACACGGTCATCACTCCTTCACCTCGATCATCTTACTCTTCAATCTCACGACTACACGCCGCCCGTGAGGCGCAATTGTGTGATCGTCCGCGACTCAACAGTGTCATCGTTGACCAATCGACGCGTCCGACCACCGACTCAGTACGCTCGCTAACTTGTGTTCGCCTGCCTGGAGAACCTTTCTCATCCTGCGTCGCACAGATCGCACCTTTCATCTTACCTCAAGCGGAAGCCTGCATACGTGACTCGTAATCAGCCACGCCATCCCAAACTGCGGCGCCTCTCCCAAGTTAAACTACCATCGCCTGCCCACCCTCACATTGAGCGCGGTTGCGCGTTTGCCGCAAATGGCAACACAAACACAACTTGGCGTCATGGCCCAAGACGATAATATCGATATGGCTGTGTCGCCCTATCAAACAGCAGAAGATCTTGACATCGATTTCGACCACATGGAAGACCAGTACCAAGCGCCTGAGGACGACGCGATGAACGATTATCAGATAGGTGAAGACCAAGCCGACAACGTTATGGATGAGCAAGAGCCGGCTCCTCTCAACGACGACGACATGCTCGAAGATGATCATCAAGACTATGATCACAACGGCGAAGAGACTGACATTGGAGTCTCTGCCGCGGTCGATCAAGAGACAGTGCAAGAGCTAGTAGATGACGAAGATATCCTGTACGACGAGGAACCTGAGGACGATCCGAATGAACCACTAACAGAAAACGCCGAAAAGGCTACCGATACCTACGATTTCGCACTGGACCAGGACGACACACACGAGATCGCCGATACTACAACACATCAAGACGCCGAGCAGGACCAAACAGAACAGTCTGTCTCAGCACCACGAGAAGAACCGAACACTACAAACCTCGAGCACGAAGAAGAGCCGCAAGCTGGTGAAGCAGTCCCAGCCGAAATCAATGAGGCAGGAGTTGCTGCCACAGAATCTAGTGACCATCAAGATCCAACAGACGCCTCGCAGAGCAAAGGTGAGGACAAAGCCGCAGAGTCTGCCAACACAGTTGCTGAAGTCAACGAAGGTCCTCTTCTTGACCTTGCAGCAATCGAGGACTCAGCGGTAGAGAGTGCGCTTCGTTCGATTCGAGTATTTTGGGATAATGCAGAATGGACGTTATTCTCTACACAGCAAGACGCAACCGACTGCTTCTTCCGCGATACTTCGTACGCCTACGAACCGATGGACAAGTTCCTTGAGGCTTGTCGACACGTGATTCCTGGAGATGACCTTGGTCAGCACGACGAACTCACCTTCATCATCGAAGAACTTGGTCTCAGCATCTGCGAGGACTCCAAGTATGCTCCCGCTCTGACTCTTGCACACATCATTGAACTTTACCTCACGTTGCACCGGAATGGATCGCAAGCAAATGTCACAGTAATTCCTTGCGTCTTGCAAAGTCGAACGTGCTTACAGACTTACTATGCCGGTTTGCTGCAGAAGGCCATGGACGGAAAACAGCTGGCAGAGGTGGTCGCCGATGTGATCGACTCATCCTCGGACGAAGGTGTCGACCTTGGACCAGATGGTGCCGTCGACGCTGATGACCACGATGACCTCCTCGATGATCCGACGGGCGCCGATGACGCTGACGACGCTGCTGAAGTCGACCCTGAAGCTGAGCAACAGCAAGACCATGCAGAGACTACTACTAAAACGCACAATGAGGAGCAGACCGTCGAAGGTGCCGCTCACAACGAAGCACAAGCTGACGTCGACGAGCAAGAAGAACTCCATCCTGGTGAGAACGATCTTTTGGACGTCTTTGATGAAGAGGAAGGCAACGAACCTGCCGATGACGAGACCGCGGCCGGAGACGGTCACGATGTCACTGAAGAACTTGTAGATGACAGCTCATCCGCATTCAAAGCAGAGCCTGCGCAATCCGAGACTGCTCAAATGTTCGCAGCTACGCCCAAGCCGTTCGATACTTTAGGACAAGGCTCACAAGCAGCAGCAACTCCGGCATTGTATGAGGATCCAGGAGCGCCTGCGCCTGTCTCTGACTTTGATTCTTACAATGAAGGCGAGGAATTGCTTCGCCTGCGTCAAGAAGAATTCGCCGCACAGCAGTCCGAGCTAGAGCCTCAAATCTCGTTCGGTGCCACCAATGGTGCCAAAGAAGCCGAGTGGAAGATCGAAGAGCTTGAACATGAACACGAGCAATTTGAAGATGAGATTCTGATGCCTGCCTTCAATGATCAAGTTGCAGTCGAAGAGGAACAGCCTGAAGACGAGCTTCTTGATTTCCTAGCCCCAACAACCCCTCAGAAAGGCTCCGCTAAGAAACGGAAAGCTGTCCAGGAGGAGGATGACTTTGATTTGAGCGCTTTTGATACTCCAGGTCCAAAGCGTCGTCGGCCGTCGTGAGGACTCCAAAGGTCGAGCAGGTCAACCATATGACCGAGTACACCAGCGGCCATGCAGTCAGATCACCAACATGAAGCATCATCGAGTGGTCCGTTCGACGCCAAACAATAGCGATCTGGAGCCCGCCTCGACCCGAATACTAATGACCTAAAACAGCAGCCCGTGGACTACCTCGGACGATAATTTCTCCTGGCCCGAGTGCACACGGCACAGAAAGGAACTGGACAATCCCTTTGCTTTTCAAATCCTATTCGATACCCCTGTACTAACAAACAGCATTTCACAATCAAAGATTATCTATGGCTTAGCCATAATTTCTCCCAAAAGCGAACCCATTCAGCTGCATAAGAGCCAGCACGGCCCAAAGGAGCACCTCCAGATCTGGCCCGATGACCAGCGCCATCGCGCAGCGCTTAGAGCACGACGAGAGCACGATGAACGTTGCAAGTTTCATGATGACTGCAAAGGTTGCGTGGGCAGGGGATGCAGTTGTCTGTAAGTGGAAGATTGAAGCTGGCGATGGTGCTGGAACTCGTGGCTGGAGATGGAGGTTGTTGCCTTGTGGGGTCATTGCGCGCATGGAAGACAGAGTCATGTGTGCGTTGGGCCGGCCGAGAAGTTGGCCATTGCAGCCCGTCGCTGCCATGCAGAGGTTCAAAGAAGGCGCCTTTCGAGCCAGACCACTGAGATGCTCTTATACCAGGGTGCTCTTCAGGCTAGTCGGCACATGTACCTTCATAAGTCCCAAAAACCATTCAAAATGAGCTGGTCTCTTGCTATGTTACCGCCTCTCTTGCCTTGAGTACAGTAGAGCGATTCCAGAGAGGCTCTCAGGTAGGATTTGAGCGTAGTCGTGAAGCCGAAGATAATCTTACGGTCGCGAGCAAGAGCACCAGTGCCTTTTCTAAACCAACGTCGCTCGATCAGCACTACTCGGAATATGCTTCCGCTCACCTTGGGTATCTGACTCTCTTCATCAGCTGCTACCATGGCTGTGCTTCTGTGTCTTCGCTGTGACCATACACTAACAACTCAGAAGACAGACTAGACGATTCTGTCTCTCGACCGAGGGAGCCGCCGCCGCCATGGCTCCCCACGACCGGCACGATGGCGCTGCCGAAGAGCAACCACTCCTCGCCAACCAAACCCAACAACACCGCCGGCGTGCCAACTCAATCACATCCTCCGACCTCAGCACAACCAGCACCACGACCTCCCCGACAATCCGCCTCTCCCGTTTGCGCAGCCTCGCAATCTGCCTCTCAATGTTCACCCTAATCTTCATCATCCCCTGCAACGTCACCCTCATGACAACAATCCAATCCGCCGTCACCGCCTCCCTCCCCGCCCTCCCATCTTGGGTCTCCTGGTACACCTCCGCCTACCTCATCGCCGTCACCGCCGTCATGCCCCTTGCCGGCCGCCTTTCGCAGATCTTCACTGCCAGGGTCTACGTATTGGGGAGTATCCTCGTGCAGTGCGTTGGGCTGCTCATCATCAGCTTAAGCCAATCCTTCGGGATGTTCATCTTCGGGAGGGTGGTCTGTGGGATCGGCGCAGCGGCGGTTACGCCGGTGGCGTTCCTACTGGTGACGGAACTAACAGACCGGAAGAACCGGGGCGTGTTCTTTGGGTGCATCAATACGGCGTTCACGAGCGGGGTGGCGTGTGGGGCGATCTTTGCTGGATTGTTGGAGCCCGTTGCGGGTTGGAGGGCGGTGTTCTGGGTGCAGGTTCCTATCTGTCTTGGTGCGGCGGGTGTGGCGTTTTTGAGTATTCCGAGGGCGGATGAGGGGGGTTTGAAGGGTGCCGATGGTGATGGGTCTGGTGGGGAGAAGTCGAGTGTGAGGGAGGGGCTGGCCAGGCTGGACTATTTTGGGATTCTGACGCTAATCTCTGGTGTTTGTCTACTGCTGTACGCCCTCTCCTCGCCACACGTCACACCCACGCCAATTATCCTCGCCGTCCTGGATCTCAGCTTGTTCGTCGCAGTCGAAGCCTACTGGGCCGCCGAACCCATCATCCCGCCCTCCGTCCTCCGCCACCGCGGCAACCTCCTCACTGGTCTCGCCACAGTAGGACTAATGGCCGCTCGCTGGAGCGTCCTCTTCTACACGCCCCTCTACGGCATCGCGGTCCGGGACTTCGCACCCGCAAAAGCCGGCGTTCTGCTCATCCCCACCGACGTCGGGTTCGCCGCTGGCGGAATCGTGGTTGGGTGGCTGCACATCCGCTCCAATAAGTCCTACTACCTCCCCAGCTTGATCACATTCGTCCTATTCGCGGCGACGCAGTTCACGCTCTCCCGCTTATCGACGACGGATAGCTCGTTGAGCACAAGTTACCTGCCGACGAGCTTCTTCAATGGGTTCTGTGCGGGTGTGCTGCTGAACTATACATTGGCGCACGTGCTGTTCTTGACGCCGGCGGAGGCGCATGTGGTTGTGATCCCGTTCATTGCTATGCTGAGGTCGCTGGCGGGGAGTTTTGGGAGTGCGATTGCCGGAGGCATTTTCCTGCGTACTCTCAGTGCTAGTCTTCGGCAAGGCTTTGACCAGATACAGCCGATTCTAGGCAACGACTGGACTAAGGAACGGAAACGGGAACTGATCGGGCGCCTGATTGGGAGTCCGAACCTGGTGTATAAATTACTGAGAGGGGGAGACGGGGACGTGACGCCGAGGGAAGGGAGGGTGCTGTTCGAGGTGGCGCTGCAAGGGTATATCGATGCATTTCGCACGATGTTCATGTGGGGCAGCGTTATTGCATTGGTCATGGCGGCGGTCCAGGCTGGCACTGGATGGAGGGGTGCGCAGGGGCAGGAGGCGGAGGAAGATATGAAGGGAGACGGGGAAGAGGAGGAGCAGCAGCTACTTGGAAATGGCCAAATTGGAGGCGCTGCTTCTACGGACAGCGGAGCAGCGAGGCCCAGGTCGTGACCACGTACACGACGACATACTGCCCTCATGGAACCCCATCGCTCGTTCTGCTCGGCTCGCGCCTTCCCCTAGCTCAAGGTTCCTCCTCAGGCAAATGCGCCCCTTCCTCCCAAAACCCAATCTCCAACCTTGTCGCCTCGCGGAAGACCTCGACCAGCTCATCCAACTTCCCACCCTTCCCGGCCGCAAAGGCCGCCCCGCACCTCCTTGCTTCTTCCTCTAGTACTGCTCGCCCGCGGCCGACCGCCTCTGTGTAGTCCCCCGCGACATAGTTCTCCACCCACTTCCAATATCTATTCCCCTCCCTCACACTCTTCGCATCAGCATACAACCTTTGCGCAACAGCATGATACCCCAACAAACACGGCGCCAACGCCGTATATAAGGTAAGAAGGTCGCCTGCGGCGCCCACGTCAAGAATATACCTCGCATAAGCCTGACACGCACTACTCTCCCTCGTCCCCTCGATCTCCTCCCTACTAATCCCAAACTCCTCAGCGCAGTAGGACAAATGCAGCGACATTTCGGTGTGGATGTGCTGGATTATGGCGGCGTTGGCGGTGATGGAGGTGATGGATTTGGCTTTGTAGGCCGCGAGGGCGTAGGTGCGGGCGAAGTGGGTTAGGTAGAGGTAGTCTTGGATGAGGTAGTGTTTGAAGGTGGTGAGGGGGAGGGTATTGGTGGCGAGGGCGGTGGTGAAGGGGTGCGTTTGGGTGAATTTGCGCCAGAGTGGGGTGATGGAGGGGTGGGAGAGGAGGTAGGTTTCGAAGGGGCCTGCTGAGGAGAGGGTTGTGGGTTTGGTGAACGTTGGAGGGCAGGGGTGGGAAGGCGGCGACGCCGAGGCTGTGGAAGTGGTTGACGGGGCCGTGGGCGCCGGTGTGGGAGATTGAGAAGTTGGGGTAGGAGGATAGGCGGATTGCGTGGGAGACGTAATTGATGGCCTTGCGGGTGAGATCGGCAAGTGGAGGGGTGGTCTGTCCGGAATATTCTGTGTCGCGCTCATGGATGGCGAGCTGGGCTGCGAGGGCGGATGCCAGAGTGCAGCCTGTGCCGTGCGTGTTGGGAGAGTGGAGGAAAGGAGATTCGATGATTTCGAATGGAAACGTGTCGCCGTTGTGGCTGTACTTTGCTGGGTAGAGGATGTCAACCGTGACTGCTTTCTCATCGTCGGTCTTCGCTTTCTCGTATGCCTTGTTCAGAGGCATGTGGCCGCCTTTGAGCAGTACGTGTTGAGGACCCAGTGCCCGAACAGCCCTGGCCAGCTCTTTCAGGTCGTCAAGATTGGTGGGCGAGCGGAACTGCTGGTCTGGATGTGCATCTCGGAGTAGTAGCAGTGCCTCTGGAATGTTAGGTGTGAGGATGTATGTGACAGGAAGAAGTCTTCGTCGGAGGTTGGAAACTGCGTCACCTGGGAGGAGTTGATGACCGGACGTTGAGACCATGACCTAAATGAACAGTCAGCATGGCCATATTGTCACTCGAGACGCAGATGCTCATGTGCTCAGCCATGGGAGGATGCTCACCGGATCAAGCACAATCTTGATTCTCAGCCCGGGACCATGGCCGTCCTCGAACTCGTCCAGCACCTTGGCAACGCTCGTGATGGTGTCTGTAGATGCTAGCATTCCTGTGGAGACTAAGGTCAGCTTCAGTTGTCTCACTCCCAAACCGTCACGGCATGCCCGCGGAACAAGTTCCCTCTTCGGGACCAGGCCTCATAAACCGCTCGCCCTGATGTCCCTCCATGACCTTGAGTTTGTGCCATCGCTTTTAGCGGTCGCGACTCAATGCCACTGCAGACCTTGAACTCCTTCCACCCACCACGCCTCCCTGCCGTCGTCGCCTGCAGCGCACAGTTCGGCCCCGCTTTCCCCTCCCTATTCGCCTGCGGCGCTGCTTCCGGCCTCACGGCCTCAGCATAGTGCTCGCTACGCTCGCGTAGGGCGGTGGGAAGGCGGTGGCCCTTACGGGCCACCACCTCCCCACCGTCCCCAGTCATGTGCCTTCTACTGTCCAGTGATCCCTGACTCAAGCCTTGCGGGTCCTCGCGGTGCGACTGTCTCGGACTCTGCACGCCCACCGCATGGCTCTCAGGAGAAGTCCGCCATTAACTAGCCTTGGTCTCGCACTTACCGATCTTAACAACGCCCCCGCAGCCCCCATGATCCTCTTGCTCCAGAAACCCATCCTCCAAGACAGCCCTTATCTGCTTCTCCACAAATTCCGGCGGCGTCACGAACACATCCCTGACACCATTGGTGTTCTGGGCTGTGAGGGCCGTGGTGGCTGTGAAGGCGTAGACTTGGTGGGCTGCTAGGGTTCTTTGGTCTGCTTCTAATCCGCTGTTCCGCAAGCGACACCGAGATGAGTGTCAGTGGTGTGTCAATGGGGATAGAAAAATTACATTGGTCAGTGCACCAGATAATCCCACGTCTGGGACATGGCTCAGGTCCTTGAAAGAAAGGGGACGTGACTTACGCGCCGCCCGAACTGTCCGATCCGGCGATGACGAGGACTTTTGGCGTCGCTGCCATCTTTCCTTGATCGCCGACCGCACGACCAGATGCCCTGTCCTTCGAAGTGCCTGTCCCTGAGATGACGTCGAAGCAATGCACTTCGGCGCAAGATCAAGAGAGTGCTAGAGATTTTGCAAGCTCGTCTTGGAGACCAGATGTAGTTCGTTGTGAAGACCACAGCCAGAATAGGAAATCGCCAATAAGAGGCCTCGACGTCATCGGATCATCATTTTTGTATACGCGGCTAAAACCAGAAGCATATCCTGACCACCGCGCCATCAACGCCAGTCTTTCCACTATCCTGGCGTGTCCTAGAGGGACTCCTCGGGCACACGTAGTGCCGTCGTCGTTCGATGCAAGATTTTGGCCTGTCACAGCCGGTTTCACTTCAATGCAAATCCAAACAACCCATCCATCTCAACCCACTGCCGTCCACACTTCTTCAGATACGCATCAACCACCGCTTTCATCGATCCCAACATTTCTTTGTTCGTTTCCGCCAACACGGCCACCCTCGCACTAACCCCTTCGAATTCCTTGACGGTCTTACTTTTAGCCTTCGCCTTCTCCCCATCCCACAAACTTGCATAGTACAACAGCTGATTGTACAGCTGCTTCTCGCTGTACTCGTACGACATCCTGCCCTGGCAACCCTCTGCTTTGCCCGCTGGCCCCAAACAGCGGTGGCCGTACACGGACATGGAGCGCGTGCGGTTGCCGCACGATTCGTCGTCGCAACGTAGCCAGCTTTCGTAGTATTGGGAGGTTTGGACGCGAATTTGGGATTCCAGTTGGAGGACGATGGACATCTTGGTGAATGTTGTGTTGCAGTCGGTGTTGGTGCATTGGAGGCCGGTAGGTGTGCACATGGCTGCGGACTCGCAGAGGCCCTCGAAGGTGGATATTGTCTGGCAGTTTCGGCAACGAATGGTGAAGCGGGCGGCGTCCTTGAAGCGGATGCTGTCGGGAATCTGAGATTCGAGAGGGAAGATCTCGGCGTTCTGTTTGGTCGAATTCGAAGACGCGTTGGTTGCATATTTTCGAGTGTCAAGACCAAGGCATTCCGCCAGTCGCACCGAGTCTGTACCAGGCAGAGGCGCACAGAGACGCTCGATGGGCGGCATGATCTGCTTGTACAGGTAATACTCGATGTCGGGTGTGAGACCAGAGTCCTTCTTCAGGACATCTTGCGGCGTGTATGAGCGTTTTGGCGCCGGGTAAGACTTCGTCTCATCGTTGCCAGTGGTCACGATATAAGACATGACATCGTTGACGCGAATGTTCTTGCCTCGCGCAATCTCTCGCAATGCGACTTGAACCTGAGGCATTGAGTCGGCATTCGGGTAGTCTTTCGGGTTCTTCCCAAGTTTCTGTCGTTGTTAGCTTGATCAGGACATGGCTGAAGCCGACTTACTGTATAGATGATGTACTTCTGTGCCGGAATCTGACCCTCACGCATCTTCTCAGAGAGTTCCCGCAAGTACTGGTGAATCTTCTCGAGCGCAGTCTCCGGATCCTCGCCAGACAAGATCTCATTGAGCAAGTGCTGCGACGCCTCTTTCGACAGAGCACAGTACTCACGTCGTCGCATATCCAGACCTTTGACTTCGAGCTTGTCGACGTACTTGCCGTCCACTTCAGCAAGATTGATGGCGGCGTACTTCTTCTTGGCATGGAGGAGTAATCGGCGGAAGATGTTGTCGATATCGATTTCGAGTAATCTGTATCGCTCATTGACCATCTTCTTGATCTCATTGCCGACTTTGAGTGCATCAGAGATGCTGTCTGCATTGCTGTTGATCATGACCGAGTCGGTATCCCCGTAAATGACCTGGAGCTGATTCTCCTCAACCAACTCTTTCGTGCTTCGGAGAATCTCTCGTCCCTTGAAGGTCGTAAGCATAGCTAGTGGTCGAGCATAGAATCGCGACTGTGTGTAACCCAAACAACCGTACATGGAGTTGGCTGTCAGCTTCAGAGCCATCTGTTTCGTGTCCCACAAAGCAAGCTGTTCAGGGGTGGCATTCTTGTCCTTCATCAACTTCTTCACTTCTCGTCGTCGAGTGACCAAGGTCGCAATGAGCTTGGGCAGGATACCAAGAGCCTGATCTTGCGGCACTTCCGGAACTTTCTCCTCGTGATCGTTTTCCGAAGATGTCGTTCGATCCACCGTTGTGAAGCAAATGTTGAACTCCTGAATGATGCTGGGATACAGACTGTTGAAGTCCATGACAAGCACGAATTTGTCGTACAGACCTTTCTCAGGCTCAAACACAAGACCGCCCTTGTATTTGTCCTTCTTCTTGGTATCTGCGCTGTCTTCGTCGTCGTTCTCTTCCTCGACCTTGGCACGACCCTTGCCGTAGACCTTGTCGGGGCAGATGTACTTGTTCCGATGGAACTCGTGAAGCAGAATGTACTCATTTCGCTCGGCTCGTGTACCAGTCAATGTCCGTGCCCATGAGTTTCCAGCAAGTTCTGTCAGCACTTTCGTAAGTGGAAGCATCTGCAATTTGATCGCAAGAGCTGCAATGAAGAAGGTGTCAGCTTCACAATGGCCGACATAGTTCATCAGCCCGTCTTTCGTATTTGCCCATGACTTTAGTGCGGCGTCGTTGTCTAGCTCTCTGCGAGGGTTGCTCGGACCCAGATAGAGCTCACACATCTCAGTCAAGCTCCACTGTTGACACTTCATCATCAATGACTTGCCCATGTCATTGGCAAGGTCACACATCAGTCGACCAGAGACAAGCTGACGTTCAGCAAAGAAAGACGAGCCACTCCTGCCGAAAGTCTTCGGCCACTCTGAGCGCTTCAGCCGACCGATACGGGACCAACCTGGCGTCTTCTTCTCCCGAAGTCTGCTCAGGAAAATGCTGTAGTCGACTTCTTGCAGTTGGTGGCCCATCAGGACGTCAGGATCAACCCTCTCGAACAAAGCAAGGAACTTGCTGAGCAAGAATTGCTCACTCTTTTCGAGCATGAAGGTGCCAGCATTCTTCTTCGCCATGGATTCGGTTGCCCTGGTCTCGAAGCCGAGGGGATATTTGCCGTCGAGAGGTCGCATGACCGTGAAAGTGCGAGACGGCATCTTCTCGGGTGGAGTTGTGTCTGTTAACGAGACATTCTCGTAGACTCTGGCGCTGGCGATCAGCAGCTCTTGCTTGTTCTCCTTGACATTCATCTGTGTGCGGAAAGACAACGACATGAGAGTCAGCCGGGGCGTCTCGAGCTGCTCGGTGTCAGGGACGACCGAGATATTCGCCGGATTAGCTGCTGAACATTCGAGCTTGCACCAGGACGAGTTGTTGACTGAGGTGAAGTCTGCATCGTCGATCTTGAGCCAGCAGGGACCCATGATGTTCTTCCACATGACGAACTGCTCGAATATGGATGTATTCGTACCAAAGACTCGCGAATAAGTCTCGCCAGACTGGTCCATTGGCAGTGGACTCTTGTCATATGGATAGAGCAGCTTTAGATAATCGGTCTCCTTGGGCACATCCGGCAGCTCGAAAGCGTACTTGCGCGTGCAGGGCTTGACTTTGCGAGTAGCGACCTTCATTCTGGACATGAGTGTGTCGACTTCTTCGTACACATCCTCCATACCAACCTCGTCATCTGTCTGACGTCCATTTCGGTACTTGTTGGCTCGTGGGAGGAAGTAGAGCTTGCGTAAGATGTTGTCCACTTTGACAAAGGCACTCTGATACTGGCCGGTGGTCTTGTGCTTGACTTTTCCGAACAGGCATAGACTGCCGTTGACATCGCTGTAGTCGAGCCAGTAGAATCGCAGACTTCCGTCGTCTTCAACAGCTTCAGACGCCTTCATCTTTCCAAATTGCACAGTGCCGGAGGCAGGACTGCTGGCCACAGCAAGCTTGTTGGTCACATTGGTCCAGGTCGACGCGTCAACATCTGATGCTGCGGGCTGAGGTGGAGAGGAGCTCTGAGGAGAGGCTAATTGCTGCTTGATTTTGGGCGGAGGTCTGCTGCCTTTCATGTTGACAGACTTGGACACGGTACCCTCGTGGGCCACAGCCGGTGCAACATCCATGAGCTCGTCTTCCTCAGGCTCCTCCTCTTTGATCTGTACCCTGGCTTTTCGTTCGACAGCCTTTGCTATGGGCGATGACGGGAGTGGGGGATCGCTGGTGATGTTGTAGTCGTCGTCGTCATCAAGCATCATGTTGTCATCATCCATGGCAGACTGCGGAGGAGGTGTGTCGACCAGTTCTGTGACAGGTGGAACGTATTTGCCTGACTTGTTGCGGTGGTCTGTGGGAGGTGGCGAGAGAACGCGAACTTTTCGACGTGATTCGGACTTGATAGTTCTCTTGTTGTACGAGCGTGCAGGCGCAACATTGACATCGACCTCACCGAGCAGATCTGCCATGAATGCTTCGTCCTCGGCAGATGTTTGGACCTGTAGAGATCAGTCCGGTCATAACAGACACGGCATGGTAGCTCACCTTTGGCTTCGCAGCGGCAGCGACAGGGCCGCTGTTGAAGTAGTTCTGGATCTTGTGGTTTGTCTTCTCTGCCTTCTCGAGATCCTCTTCGCGTTTCCGCTTCGCGGCATTGCCTTTCAACGGTGCTTCTTCCTCGTCGCTGGAGTAGTGCGTCCGTTCATTCTGCCACTCTTCGCGTCCATCGTCGGCATAGCCTTCGCCAGTATCGTCAACGACAAAATCATCTCGATTGAGGCGTTTGCGAACGACATTCTTGTATCCTTCTTCGTCGACTTCGTCGTAGATGTTGCCCGCGTCCTCGACCTGGTACGACTCGAGTCGCGACTTCCCACCCGCACGAGCAGCGCGGAGGGCGGCAAGAGCGCTCCGGTGAGACATGATGCAGGATGATGGGCCTCAAGCGAGCCCTTGTTACATACAGATCATGACGCTATGCATGCAAGTAAGAGCAACGAGGTTGAGGAACAGTGAAACGCATTTCGAGTTGGAGAACATTCACACGCGTGGTACGCGATTTCGCGACGCGCCAAATGGCTGGGGGCTTGGCAGCCTTCGGCTACCCACCCACAGGACGGCTTCCATCACGATTATCATGGTCAATACTTCAGGCTGTTCGTTTGGATATCATTTTGTCTTCGTTGCTAGCTATCGCTCATCTGGGACAGCAGCGAACTTTTCCCCGGGCTGAAACTCATCATCGTATGCCACGAGTAAATGCTAGATTCCCTATGTCTACGGCCTCCGACACAGGTTTGACCACCAGTAAGAACAGCGCCTAGTTCATCTGTCTGATGAGAGAGTTGATGTTCTCCTCCCGGTTACCCAAGTCGCCGCCCTCGATGAAATGTCTGAACTTGCGTGCACGGAAACCACCAGTAGGGTTGGACAGCTTGAAGGGCCAGAGGAAGTTGCTGGCTTGCTTGAAGTTGGGACCAACAGTGAAGACCTCGTGGATCAAGTCTTCCATGCAGACAATGCCGTACTTGCCAAGGTTGTCCTCGATCAGCTGATTGTCGGACAGAGCAATACGCTGCTTGTCGATTTTGCCGTATCCACGCTTGTAGATGAGCTCACGGACGGACTTGAGATTGGGGTAGCCATAGGCAATGTATGGGTTGACAATGGTCAACATCTCTTGGGTGGCCTTGGTAAGCTTGATGAAGACGCCGTTGTTGATCTGGAGGAGACGGAGGAGTTGGAGGATCTTGCGCGGCTTGGGTGCGATCTTGTTGATACCCTTAATGCGAATAACGAAGGCAAGCTTGGGCTGCTCATCGACGTAGAGGTTGCCGCTCTGGCGTGCTACGCGAGCGAGTCTGATCTTCTCACGTTCCTCATCGCGGTATTCCTTGACGTATGTCTCGGCACGCTTGAAGATAGCCTTGCGCTTGTCCTTGTTGGCCTGCAGTCAAATTGTCAGTATGGATCTCAGTACAGTTTGATCGCATCCAGAGAAGTATGCATGCTCAGCCCCGAAAGATGGTTAACAAAGCGACAACATCGACCGAAGTCTAGCCGCATGGTTGGTAGATATCATCACCGTATGCAGAATCGGAAGGGAGTTGTGCAAACGTACCGTCTTTCTCTTCTCGATCGCAGCATTGCGCTGCTCACGAGCCTTCTCCTGAGCCTTTCTCTTCTTCAAGAGAGTTTCCGGCACCAGGATTTGGTCCTTGGTGGGAGCAGAACTGTTCAATTGCATCAGTATGGTCCGACTGGAGATGGCTTATCGCCGAGTCGGAACTGCAGCACATGGCGCATTCTCGAACTGGAAGATACGTTTTTGAACTCGACGAAATGACTTTTATCCGTGAGATGCATTGGCGGTAAGGACGATGTCTCCATCGCACTGCGCACTTGCGGTTCTCATCAGACAACACCCCGAACTGAATCAGGAGAATATTTCTGTTCTGAGCTGTACAGACTCTCGTCCGGGCTCACGCGCAGAAGATATTTCAAGGTCAAGATTGTGACATCTCGAACCTCATCGTCCCGGCACTGCGACTTGGTTCTCTTCGTAAAGGTCTTCAAGGCAGGCGTTCGGGATTATCGAGCTGGTTCGATACCAGCGAAGTTGTGCGGACCATGACTGACTGCAGCTCCGATCAGCATGAACGAGAATAGTACTTACGACTTGGTGACTGGCTTAGGCATGTTGGCGATTGTCGTTATGCGATGTGAGAAGACGAGCACAAAGAGTTGCGATTCGAGAGTGCAAGTCGACGGCCACGAAATTCCGCAGGTGCGCAAAATTCTTAGTCTTGGCATGTCGACCGACCTTACCGTTTTCGGACCGATGCGGCTTTTCGCAAGACCGGGTGACCATGCCGCCTTGCTGATCTCCCACACTCTACTTCCTGTCCAACTATTTCCACGAGAGTACCTGAATCTCACCCGACGATGGCTGCTTAGCTAGAACTAGCGTCAAGGGACTCGCCTATCTGCTCACACTGCGGGAACTACACCTTTCAACCAGATGCGCCGTCCGGAAGCTGTAAAGAGAAGCTCAAGGGAGTCAAGCAGATGCGTTTGTATTCTCAGATCCGCGAGATGATGAGATGTGGTATGTGGCAGCATTAAAGTCTATGATTACGGGCTATGAGATCTATGTTTGTTCCTAGGTTATTCCCAGCTCTGATTATACATGTGTTGCGCCTTCATCCTGATCTTCTAGCGTACGTTATTCTGTGGTTCCAAGTCCGCAAGCGTTCAAGATTCAACCTTCCAATTCTCAAGCAGCTTCGGAGACCCTGTGGGCTCGACTGAGGTGACTCGCCCTCAGTCGTCTCTCATCCTCAAAGCACCCTTGTGCAAGCTATGCCAGTGGTGGCCAGATTTTGACGCATCGTCAAGTCTGTCCACTCTCGGCTCCAGTCCCAGAAACTTCCCACTCCACGTCATCGGCACCGTGAAACCCCAATTTACGAAATAGATGCACAACAAAAACACAAAGAGAATGATCGAACAGATCTTGAAAGCAGGCGAATCCAGGTCCTTGCCCAATCCTGACAGCGCAGTGACGACAGTGCCGACTGGGAAAATGCTGCTCCACCAGAAGAGACTGGGGTGGATCTTCCGTCGGATCAGACCGGTAACGAGAGCGTAGTAGTCGACGCACATCCAGAAAATGGCGAAGCCGACGAGGAGGAGAGCTGCGAGCGTACACTGGATGCGGATGATATCGGCGCCTGTAGAGGTGAGGAAGAACCCCTTGGCATACTTTTCGAAATTGCCGTGCGCGACGGCGGCGGCCGAGAGGTTGAGGAGGGCGGACGCGGACTGGCCACACGGTCCGATTGTGAGAATCATGCTGGGGATCTTGAGTGCTTCGGGGAAGCCGGAGGTCATGAGTCGATGCGCGTAGATCGAGTACATGACGATAGCGAGACCGAGTCCGAACCCGACAAGCATGAAGCCAACGATGATGATTGGGACGGCCATGGCGGCGGACATGCGCGTGTCGTTGATTGCGCCGTTGACGATGACGCCCGCGGCGTTGGCTTGTGTGAAGATGCCGACGATAGGGATGAAGACTGCGGTTGGGAGAAATCGGTCGATGATGCTCTGGGAGGGGTGCTTGATGAGGTGCAAGTACAACGTAACGCAGATGCTCACGATCCAGACAAGCCCGATCCACCACATGACGTACGCGAGGATCGTGCAGCCATAGCCCCAGGATTGAGCGCAGGTGAGTTGGACTTGGATGGTGATCAGAGCCCAGGTTATGGCTGGGCAGGCTTGTAGCGCGATCTCTTCTGCCTCGAGGTGGGTGGCGTTGAAGGTGTCCTTGCGGAATCTGGTCCACCGGATCAGATAGATCGAGGCGAAGGTGGCGGCTAGGACGACCGTTGTGACGAACATGATCGCACTACAGACGCGGGTCCAGTGGGATGGGTATGGAAATTGCCGAAGGACGACACTGAGGACACCGGTGTCCATCGCTACCGTGAACCTAGACAATATGGGTGAGAACATATCAAGGGAATGGCGGTTCATCGCTTACCAGACCGTGGAGAAGTTGTGGCAGACCCGCATGAAGGTGCTGCTTGGGAGGGACTGGGGTTCAGGCTTGACATCTTTCTCTGCGGTTGCACCGTTCGTGGCCTGGGACTCGATGTCTTCTCGCTGGGGCTCCATGTCGAGTGGGATAGCTGCCACAGCAAGAAATGATGCTGCATAAGCTGGGAGAGTGTATCGCAGTGTTGTCGTTGTGTCGATGTTGCTGTGTCACAAGGTGGACAACCATCTCGAACTTTACCATTTACTTATATCCATCATACTCACCTAGATACCGGTGCTTAACATTCATCAGTCAGAGCGTGAGCCTGGCCATCAGACGTCATAAGCTGTCGCTCGTCTTCCAGCTTGGACAAGGGATGAGGCTGGCTGGTGCGGTCAACTTGCGCGATGGACTGGCCCTGACGCAGCAGAGTTTACCCCGGAGACGGCATCAGTCAGCGATAGAGATAGTCAAGCGCGGGCACTGTCCCAGGTTCGGGGCAATTGTGCGCGATCGTGTTGCAGCAAGGACAATTCGTACCAGAACCTTGCAAGCATTCAGCGACCGCCACGCAATGACTAGGGAGGAGCTTCCGCCATAGCAGTGTAGACTAACGTCGTCATTCGGCCATCGTACGCGCCGATATTGCCAAGTACCAACTATCAAGAGTGTGTATACCTTCTAGAAGCGTTCCTAGTCCGACCATCTAGGAAGGACCCCAGGCGGTAAAATGTTCTAGCGAGCCTGATCTGCGATATTTTTGGTAAATATTCATCAATTCCGCGTACCTGTCGATCAGTCTGTACACATAATCTTTGCTTTCGCGGCGCTGTCGTACAATCGCGGCACTTCACCAACCTGACTTGTATGTTGCTGAGCACATGGCGATATGACGTCGGTAAGTGAAGTGGCTTGAGACGAAGCATTCGAAACTTCGTTGCAATGTGGCTGGACTAACCCACACGCGATGCCCGACTCGACCAAAATCGCCGTGACACAGCATGTCGTCCTCGCGCAAAGTCGCCCCGAGCTCGACGGACTGACGCTCTATTTTGACTTACATACTCATCGTGCTCGCGACAGACGCGACGCGCTGAGTCCGAGACTTCGGTTCTACGCTGTTTTGGTAGTGCGCAGTGTCCCAGAGCTGCAATAGATGGTAGGTGGGACCACCTCATCGCGTCGATCTCGCCAATGGAGAAGTCGCCCAATGAAGGAGGCGCCAAAGGCTTGTTGTCGCAGACAGAGCAGGTACGGTATGACGTGCCTGACTAAGTTCACACGAGTTCATCGAGTGCGGTGCAGAGAAGCAGCCTCGCCAGAGCTAGCGGAATTTGCCGCCATAGGTCATTGGCCAATTAATCCTCCTCATAAATGAGTAAGCCAACCCTTGTCCCAAAGGTCACTGACCCAAAGTTCAAGAACCCTGGCGGAAGAACGATATGCAGAAACCTTATTACTTCGCGGCTTCTTTGAGCCATATCGACCAGACCACGACGCAGCCTTACGCGTTGTACGAATTCGATAGAGGACGTCATGGGCATGATGTCCGACGGGTGCGTCAAGTCGGTATGCTCAGTAAGGCGAGGCTGGCATGCATGGGCGGTAGACGCGAGCGTCCGCGTCAAGGCATGGATCGAACTATATAACAAGGTGGCTTGATGCTCCAGACGATGAGACCAACAACAGCAAACCAAGCCACTACTCTATTGAGTTACACTCAACAACCGCCATTATTCTGCAACATCTCAAACTCATCTACATCCTCTACCGACACGTCCCACCCAAGCACCTTCACCACAACCAAACCCATCAGCCAAAATGACGACCAACGGCGCCACCCCAGTCCAAGACCGCTCCTCCAAGCACAAGATTAACCTCCGAGACAGCCGCCCCGTCTTCTCCAACGCCAATGGCTCAATCCAAGAGTTCACCACCAACGAGCTCCCCATGCTCAAGAACCTCTCCCTCCAAAAGATCGAGCTCAACCCCGACTGCATCCTCGAACCAAAGTGGTTCGTCAACTGCAACGCCATCGCTTACGTCCTCACCGGCAACACCCTAGTCCGCACCCTCGATTCCGCCAGCGACATGTCCACCTTCACCGTCTCCGAAGGCCAGATGTTTCACGTCCACTCCGGAGCCCTCTTCACCGTCGAGAACACCTCCTCCACCACCGCCGCCACCTTCCTGATCTGCGCCCGCCACGAACATCCCAAAGAATTCACCCTCTCCCGCAGCGCCGCCGCCTTCACCGACGCGGTCCTCGCCAACACCTTCGTACGTCGACGCTCCGTCTTCGCCAAATACTCCCCCCGCTCCACCACCCCACCCAACCCAACCATCATCAAGCGCTCCGGCCCCGCAGAAGTCCCCACCAATGCGAAATGGCCGCACCCAAACCGCTTCGACGTCGAGGACATGCAAGCCCCAACCTTCGCCGCCGGCGTCGGCTCCGCCAAGAAAGCCCGCGCGCAGTACTGGAAGATCCTGACCAACATCGCCATGTACTCCCTCCGCATCGAGGACAAGGGCATGCGCGAACCCCACTGGCACCCGGACACCGTCGAGATGGGCTACATCAAAGAAGGCCACGCGCGCATGTCCATCATGGACCGGATGGGTCAGTCGACACATTCACCCTGCATCCTGACGACGTCTACTTCATCCCCGCGAGCTACCCGCACCAGATCGAAGTCATCCAGCCAGGCCTTAACGGGGAAGGGTTCGTGCATCCGCAAAGCGTCAAGGCTGGAGAGGAGATCCCGATTCATTTCTTGATCTTCTTCGATCAGCCTATGCCGAAGGATGTTGGGTTCCGACAGGCTGGCACGGTCATGTCAAGGAGGGTGCTAGCGGCCGCGTTCGGTATGAAGGAGGCGGAATTGCCGGAGTTTCCGTATGATAATGAGGATCCGTTGATTGTATTGAAGAAGAACGTGGCTGATCCGGTTGTTTGAGCGGTGTTTGGGTTGGCGATGGCAACGGCGCTGGATAGAGCTTGGTGGGTCCCGTCGCTGGTGGTTCTCGTTGAGGTTTCGAGCAGATAGTCAGTCAGTCACCTTAATCACAAAGCAATGCCTACAAATCGAGTCTTGTAGCACTTGGAGCCACCGTCTGCATCCGGTCTGGTCATCTGCCTCACTGCAGCTGCACAGGCCCGAGGCCAGTCCAACAGCAGTGGGCATCAGGGGGCTGGAAAAGTAATGTTGACTGCGTCGACATCGTCGCCCAGCTGCATGACTCGAGGTACGAAGCGAAACCTTGAGTAGCATGGTTGGATGCGTGCACACTGGATCAGTACTTACGCTCGACTTCTCCGAACGAGCTGGGGTATAGCGCAACCAGAAGCAGCCCACAAGGTCTCCCAAACCACCAGATCCATCACCAACTCCTAAGCATCTCACTCACCTGCAGCTAACTGAGCAAGCAAACAAACAAACAAACATAGAAGGCCTCCTGCCTAATCAGGACTTCTATCTGTCCAGTCAACAGTTCCGCCTCATCTCGTGTTTTGGTTTTCTATCACCTAAGTTTCACCCCAAGACCTGCAGCAGAAAACCGCAAAAGCTAGCTGTTAAACGTTCAGTTTTGGAAAAAGTTGTGAACAGATAATTGTTATCTCCTAAATCCTACTAAATGGTATGATCTCCTGAGAACTATGGTCACACAAGTGAAAGATAAAGTGAGTATGAATGATCTTTTGATCCAGCTGTCGAGAGCCAGAGTCCTCCCTGCGAAGTTTTTGGTGGCCGTTGTCGAAAATGCATGCTTTCCCATAGAGTCCTCTCTGACGGTTCAATCCCTCGACATTGCCTTCAACGCCTATGCGATTCCTGTTCCCCAATCCTTCGACAAAAGAAAACGCCGTGTGGTGTTTCTTGCTGGAGTACTCCTGAGCCATGTGGTGTCTCTATCATGCAAATCGTGTCCCATATTCCGGCAAAACATATGAAATGCTGTTGGGTTCAGTAATCGTCCGAACCAAGTCGTGAGTGGAGTGGGGCTCATTGTCCAAGCCTGAATCCTGCTTGCTCAGCGCTTGCGCGTCTTGACAGGCATCATCATCATGTCGTCTTCATCACTTGAGTCGTAGTCGTAGTCGTCGTCATCCATTGCTCGCTGCTCCAACCCCTTGCCCATGGGCGCCGCTTCCCGCCCACGACCACGCTCGATGACTGTCTCTCCTGTGCGCATCAGCTCAGGATCCTCTGAGACGGTGGCTGCAGTGGCCGGAACCTCTTTGTTGAGGTTGAAGTAGCTGTCGGTAGGAGGCGATGATGCACTGCTACTGACCATGCCGAAGGACGGATTGGAGGTGCTGTGACTGATATGTGCTAGATCATCGCCTGATGACGCAAGGGTGCTAGCCGACGGCATAGGCTGCATATCCTTTCTCTGCATGTAAGCGATGTCATCAGGGCTCGGCGGGCAATCGTCGCTAGTGGGCGATTTGGACTCGTCCTTGGCGTGTGCATCTGCTTCTGCCTGTGCAGCTTGCTCTCGCATGTATCGACGCTGATTGAGTTCTTGAGCGTGCTCGAACGCTGCAGCATCGGACTCAGGTGCATGTATGGACATGTGTCTCTTCGGGCGAGAGTCGCTTGTAGCCAAGGAAAGACCTCGAGTTGGTGGCTGCACGTTGTAGTCAATGGGCGAGCGGAGCACTTCTGGAGTCGCAATCGAGCCTGTCACGGAAGCTTTTGTGACCGACTGACTGGCATCGCTGTGCATGTCGCTACTAGAAGAAGCACGACTTGCACTTGGCGAGCGATTGCCGAACCGAGCTACACTCTCTAAGGCTCCTTCGAAGAACTGCTCGATTTGGACCTTTAGACCGGCGCTTTGCTGCGGGACGGTCTCGGATTCGACGGGTAGTTCATGCTGAGACATTGGAAGCGGTGGAGGGACTGACCGCGGCTGCGGAGCTCGAATGGTTCGAGTAGAATCGACTGTCATGGTAGATGTAGTCCGGTCTGGTCCATTCGGTCTGGATGGCTGAAGAGTGTTCGGAAGTCTTTCGTCGGGACTAGCAGTCAAGCTCTGCGCTAGAGGGTGCTCAGTAGTCTCACGAGAATTCTTGAGCGCAGCCGCAAAGATCTCGTCGCCGCGCAAACTAGTCCGTCGTGCATCTCGAGCACTTTTCCCGACCGTACTGGCATTCGAAGTTGGCGAGTTTACAGACTCGCTTGAGTTGCTGGCCGATGTTGCAGTGCTTGATGCGCGCTTCCGATCGTCCTTCTTGGAATCTTTCCGACCTAGTAGATTGCCTGCAAGACGAGTGGCGCTAGACACGACTCGCTCAACAATGCTGCGTTTGACAACAGCTTGGGTGATTGCTTTCTCGTCGGGGTTGACGATGCGAGACTTCTCCTCCTCGTTGATACCTTCGCCGGCCCAACCAGAAGGATCGGACATGTTTTCAACAACCCAGGGATGCTGCTTGGCCTCTTCGATCGTCATGCGCTTTGCTGGATCCTTGATGAGAAGTCTCATAATCAGATCTCGCAAAGCCTCAGGAACTGGCTCGAATTTGAGCTCGTAGTCAAGTCGTTTGTTGCTGTTCATCGATGCAGGCGCAACGAGACTGAACTTTTCGCTCGACGTGTCGACTGGCACCAATCGCTCGCTAGGACAGAATACTTCTTCGTTGCAGATCTGCTCAGCGAGGCCCATATGGCCTGATTCGCTCGAGAATGGGAAGCGTGCATAGACCATGGCATAAGTGCAAATGCCGAGCGCCCATAGATCGACTGCGCCAGAGATTTTCGGTCGCACACCACCGAAGATGGTCTCATCGCCTGTATAGCATACCTCAGGCGCGTAGAACATGGGCGTGCCAACAGTTCGGACCAGCTCCGCATCATCACTCAAGTCAGACACGTCCTTCTCCGCAATGGTGTCTTCGTCGGGCTGGATCGCACGACCAAGATATGAGACACCGAAGTCGGAGATCTTGACCGTGCCGTCCTTTGCAACAAGCAGATTCGCAGGCTTGATATCTCGATGAATGATGCCGATCTTGTGCAAGAAATCCAGACCCAGTAATGTGTCTCTGAAAGCCCTCTTGATCTCATCCAGAGTTAGCGCAGGTACTCGGCTTTCGTCCTCATCGATATCAAGCTCAAATTCAGACGACATATGCGAGGCATGCGAGAATGCGCTCATACCCGCAAGACTGAAGGCGCGATCGCGAAAAGGTTCGTTGGCGTAGGATCCGAACATGCTACCATCGAGTGCTTCATTGAGCGGTGCTTCCCGACGAGGATCATTGTCGATGCCAGCGCCAGAAGCCGAGCGCGAAAGATCTGATAGATACTCAGACTCGTCGTCATACGACTGAGCAAATTCAAGACTCCATCCGCCAGTATTGTCTCGGTTCTTTGATCTAGTCCGCTCAAGTGCTTCAAGTCTGCGGCGAAGTTGGGCGACAGTGAACTGCTGCTTCTCGAGCTCCCCCGCGCCGAGAGGAGAGCCATTCTTCTCCGCCGCATATCGCTCATTCATGGCGACGACAATTTCTGGCACACCTCGTTTGAACCATGATATCTCACCATTCTGGACGTACTCCAGAACAAGGTAGACCTTCTTGATCGTTGGATCATCGATGACCTCGAGCAAGCTGACGATGTTTCGGTGACGAGCTTTCTTTAAAATGGCCACTTCTTTCTTGGTCTGATCTTCAGGAGCACCGAGCTTGCCAAGCTTACGTTGACGAGAGTAGCGAGGCACAATCTTGACAGCGACCTGAAGGCCAGTATCTATGTTGCGACCAAGCTTGACCTTGCCGTGCTCACCACGACCGAGCTCGGAAAGCATTTCGTAGTGGTTGATGAACTTATTGCCGGAGTACGTATCATAATCGATCTCGGCACTGTATGTCACCTTTGGCTGATGCAGATGGTGCAAGTTGTCTTCTGGAGGTGCCGATGGCGCACGAGCAGGGAGTGAGAACAGGCCTGGGCTTGCGGCTGGAGTGTTGCCTGTCGTCACCGAACCGAGTGAAGGGTGTTTGTCTCCATGCTGTCGTCGAGCTAGATCATTGTAGATCATGTTCTGTGCTGGATGCGACGAGCGAGTTCGCAATGGCTGCAGAGGTCGACCGAGATGTGCTTTCATGAGCGAAACATAGCTCTGATCGGGATACTCTGGTCGCTGTTCGTTGGGACTGAGCCGCAGCGCATCGACCGAGACGGATTTGCTATGAGACGGCTCTCTTCGAAGCGGGCGGCCATCTCGTGATCGGTCTTCTGACATGCGTTCTGGGAATGTTCCCGTGGGCGTCCGGCTCTCGCAAGTACCTTTCGGCGACGAGGGCGCTACAGCAGAAGCACCGTCTGTCTGTGCGGCTACAGGCTCCAAGTCGAAGTAGCCCTGCTCTCGCGACAACTGCCTCGCAACCGGTGTTGCCGCAGTTGTGTCATCATGTCTCTCTGACTGTCCCGCATTCTGGTCTTGTGCAGGACCGCTCCTCACATCTGGAGCCCATGTTATGCCGGTAGGATCTGGCATCACTGACTCCTGCTATGCAAACAACGCCTTCAAAACACCACAACCATCCTACTCAACAACTAGAATCAAGGTGGGTTGCACTGGTCTGTGCCATGGAGGTCAGCGGAAGTGTGACCCGAAACTCGAGGCAGTCGGAGATGTTCGAGGGTGTGAGTGGGCAGTGTAGAGTCGCTAGGAACAATGAAAATTATTTTGGGCGTAGGATGAATGACTTTTGTTTGTGACAGCGACGACGAGGTCGAGAAGCGCAGTTGAAGGAGTGTAGTGAAGTGACGAGAGAAACGAGTCGTCAATTGGTGTGGTGAGAAGTACAAGGTGAAGTGTAGAGAACAATCGCAGATTCGGGCGGCGGGCGAGCGACAGCGGGCAGTAATGGTTCCAGGCTAGGCTTGATGGGGCTTGGGTGGGCATGGTCTATGCTCTCTGCAGGTGCAGTACAGGCTAACGCTGCAGACATGGGGAGGTGGGCTCGAGTTATTCTCTCACTTTTCACGTTGAATACGATGCAGTCATTCGATCAACTCACGCTACACCCTTTGACATGTTGTGCAGCTGTGGTTGTTGGGCTTGTTGCCTTGTAGCTATTGGCTGCCTTCGAAATCGCCGCCAGGAAGGAAGGAAAATCCATGGTTCATCGGGAACATGAGCGAGAGACGGCGCACGAAAAGCATGCGCTGCAGGGCGGCTTCTCTTCCAGTTCTGCAGTCTATCCGCTCATGAAGCCCACGTCAAGACTTGCAGATAGGCATGTTGTGATACCTGCAGACTCTCATTGCCATCCACCATGTCGCCCACCTCGAAGACATGATACTCGTCGCTGCTGTCGTAAATGTCATACGAACTTCTCGCCCGAATCTCGCGCAGCTGCCTGAACGTTGAATTTTCACATGTCAGTGCTTTGGTTGGGGTACGGCAACCACGCTCAATTTTTCTCGCATTGGCGCTGGGCTGAAGATCGTTCCCCAAGATGTGCATCGTAAAAGATCGGCATCAGGTACCCAGCCTATCGAAACCCGCCCAAATTTATCCTGCTGAACCAGCTAGAGGCTCTTCTTAGGGCCTGAACGTACTGCTCCGGCCTGTAAGCAGCTGCGGAATCGGAATCATCTTATCAGCGAGCACCCTCTACACAATTGCTAATCAAGACAAAGTGTCTGCTCCAACAGTGACTTTGTCCCAGCCGCAAACCAGCGCACGTCGACCTGAACCTCGAGCGGCCCGTAATCTTGGTCGAGCTACCACTCCAAGCCTTTTGTCCATTGCCCATTCCGATCTACAATCGCACCTCTGTCGAACGAGTTCTTGCATCGTGCAGAGGCAGTGCATATCTCAACGCACCATGACACCACAGCTCCATCTCTCCACCGTTAGGAGATTTTGCTAGCTCGTACGCAAGCTGACTGGCTTACCCCAGGTTATCCAGTTCTAGCCTATCTTTTCTTTGCCATCCAATAGTTCGCTCTTTCGCGGGCCTTGGTTTTTCGCAGACCATCGCCAAAGACGAACTCTTCGGCAAAGCCCACCTAGCAGATGACAGCTCGTACCGACGATGCCCACGAGAGCAACGCCATTCGTTGTGCTCACCACACCCTTTCAGTGCATCTCAGCTGTTTCATGGACCACAGCCACACCTATGGATCGTCCAGCTAGTCGGGTCTGGCCATCATAGGGGTGTTTGACGGGCTGTCCGCAGCACGAGTTTCTGCCCCGAAATGTCGTATAATGACACCCAGATAGTTACAGCTTTAAGCCACCGGAAAGCTCGTCCGTACTCTGCTGACACTTTCAGGAACCCTACTGCAGCATCAGATGTCGCCGGCTTCGCACTCGAAGATTCAAGATCGATCAACGGGAAGTCAATGATGCGCTCTACTCAAACTCCACTTCCCATGTTTGGATCTGAACTGCATCGAGCTTCATGCCAACGTCTCCTTACGATCTGCGAACCTGCGCAACAATAATCCTCGGTTGAGGTTGCGATACAAGGCAACCAGCCCTCAATGCAATCTCACTGATCCCAGCTCTTTTCGACATCACGACCTGCAGGGCAAACCACTCTTGTTCAAACCCCGCCATTTCAACTCATCTCGCGCGTGTCATACTAGTGCCAACAAGCATACTCGTCGCCCAACAGAGACAAGCCAGAAACAGAACACCAACATCCAGTGGCAACGCTCACAAGCTCCCTCCTGCATCGCTAGATTCATCAACCCGCATGAGCAACCCCTGCTAGTCCTCCCGCCCGAACTCCTGAAAAGATTGCGCAACCACGCCCCCTCCAGCCAGTGAAGAGCTCGGACCATCTGTGGGGATGGGTTTGCGCTACTGGCGGCTAGACGCGGTTCGAGGCGCTAGCCTTCGTAACTAGTTCGTGAACTACCTTATGAACTTGGACGTTCGCTTGCTGATGAATACGAATTGGGAAGCGGACTGCAGGTAGGTTGAGACAGGTGATCGTCGGCGGAGCTCGATTGAGGGGAGAGAGTCTGCGGAGACAAGCTTGGTTGCAAGTCTGCGTTGACGACGGCGCTGCTTGGGAGAAAGCATGGAGGAAAGTAAGTTATGCAGGAGGTCTGGGCACGTTCGTGCTACGAGAATGTTCGTGATGGTTCGTGATGGTTTGTGTGGGCTCTGCGTTCCCTCGTTGGAGACGTCCAAGATGAACAACATTTTAAGTGTCTTGGAGATGAGCGTGCTGTTTCACATGTCGTTTGTAACCGCAGGATACATCAGCATTCAACCCACCGCCATCGCGAAGGGACACTCCAGAAAGCTGAGCTCGCCCCATCAAGTAGCAGCAGACGCTAGCTGACATGGCAAGTTGGGTGCCATTTTCGGCAGTGTGGTAAGAAGGAAAGCAAGAAGATAACGAGGACAAGCAACATACTTATACCTCTGCGACGCAGTGAATATCAAGGCGAACACTGAACAGTCACGACACTGAATCCGTCTCCAAGCATTCACTGCTCGTCGCATGATCCAAACTCATCCGAGTGCAGTCAGAGTCTCGGAGGACTTGAAGCTCGTCCCAAGAACTAGCAGCGTATGCTGTATTGAAACGGCAAGTAGTATTGCTTGAGCGCTTCGGCCGTGAAGAAGCAAGAAAGAAATTCGACGACAAGAAGACGGCCGGCTACTTATACCTTCTCAACAATGTAACGACTACAACGAATCGAAGCAATCGCCCCCCTGACCCAGCCAAGAAGCATTCACGGTTTGTTGCATGATCTGAAACTACTCGGCTGTACCTGGATAAGAAGGCTCGAAGACTCGAGTTGAGATTCGCCCCATCAGGTAGCAATGACTGCTACCTTGGCATGGCACAGCTGTGTCATCTTGGCCACCGAGCCTGGAGAAGAAGAAAGAAGGAATAACGTTGGCTTGAGCGCAAGACACCTATTTATACCTTGTCTCAAAATTGCACACCGCGGCCAACCGAAGCAGTCACCGTCATGACTTGACCTTGAGGTCTTCAGTGGTCTTCACGCGATCTAAAGTTGCGCTGCTGCCTAGCATATTCACTCGAAAAAGGCCGTTGAATATGGCACAGTGAGAGGAAGCCATACAATATCACGAACACCACCTATACCGACCCGACAGGCTCTCACAGAGCCGAGCTGGCCACAAGAAGCAACAAAGTGCTGACGACCCGAGCGAAGGAACAAAGGGCGGCGCAGTCTCGTCACCGCCGTCCAGGTAAGCTCTTCCTCAGATAGGCCAGTGGCTTTTCAGTGATCCGGGGTTCGAAGCTGGACAAGTATAACGGTCGCAATGCAATTGTATGCTCAGGCTGCATGTACAATTCAAGTACTTTCTTCGAAGATGATGGTTTGTACCTCGTGTATGTATAGATCTAGATTGTTGGTACACCTGATTGTCAGGAAGAATGCTGCCGTGCCTCTCTAAAAGATGCTGTCCAGTTGTCGTCTACAGAGCAGGAACCGCTTGCCTGCTCACCAGTCCTATCCGCCCCATTCCGCTGCCAATCTCTCTCCCACCCAATGCTACACTGTTACACGCTCGGTCGGTCCAGCACTATCGTCAGCCGTCACCATCTGTTCCACTTCAACGCGCCGAACGCCCTCAACGCGTCCAACGCCCGAAACGCGCCGAACAACACGCCCGACACGTCGGATGCGCCCGTCAAACGGCACAGCAGTGTCCCCATCCGGCAACAACTCCTCGACGGACACATCATCCCCCTTCGCCTCACCAACACTCAAATCCCCTTTCTCCGCCCTTATCCTCTCCGACTCCGCCGCCCTCCACTCCTCATCCTCCTTCACCGCTTTCCCAAACGCACTTTTCCTCTGCAGCACTTCAGCCTCCCAAGCCTCCTGCCCCGGCCCAACCAGCCTCCTCCCTCTATACCACGCGCTCCTTGCATCCTCAATAATCTTCCTTGCCACATAATCCACATCATGCTGCGTCCTCCCACCACCCAACCTCCTCGGCTTGAAAATCTCCTCAATTATGTCTGGATGCGGCAACGGCTCCGGCGCCTCCCCGGTCTCAGCGTTAACATAAAACCCAGGATTATACGTATACGCATCCAGCACTTCTCGTCGTGTATCCCCGTCCTCCACTATCCCCTCGGAGCGCTCTTCGGCGGGCCAGTCGACACGGATGTTCGTGCCCGTGATGAAGCGGTCGTGTGGGGGGAGGCTGCTGCCGGGGAGGCGGGGAGGGAGGTTGGTGTGTGGTGGGGGCGCGCTGCGGGCGCGGCGTTTGGTGAGAAGCGGATGATGCAGTCTTTGAAGGTGCGGGTTGTTTGGTCGTACATTTTTGTGACGAGGCGGATGGAGGAGAGGGGGATGGGGAGGGCTTGGGGCACAAGGGGGGTTTTGGAGGAGGGAGGGGCGGGCTATTGCGGGGGTTATTATGTCGGCCTGTGGTGAACTGTGTTAGCTAAGGGACGTCGTGGTGGTGGTGGTGGTGGTTGATCGCGGTAGAGATACAGGCTGAGCCTTCGCAGACCTGTGATCGTAGGACGAACTCACCATAGCAACTCCCTTCAACGTAACAGTGTCTTCCTCCTCATTCACCTCCTCCACCTCCCCAATCTTCCCCTTATCCACTCCCTCAATCACCACCACCCGATCCCCCTCCACAATATTCCCCTTATTCCCATGCTTCGGCCGATCCTTCTCCCTGAACATGCTCTCCGGCTTCCCCTTCATCACCTCTCTCCAGTTACTGTCCAACCCACCCAGCTTGCCCTTCTCGAGACCATTGTTGCGGTCGGGCGCCAAGGGACCGGCGAACCAGTCTTCGCGGCGGTGCTTGCGTTCCTGCTTTTCGAGCTGCGCGCGGAGGGAGATGATCTCGCGGTTGCGCTCGACGTATTTGGAGATGTCGCCCTTGATCTCGCGCTCGGCGACGCGGACTTGGGCTTTGAGGTTTTGCTTTTGTTGTTGGATGTTGATGCGGAGGATTTTTTGCATGGTGAGCTGTAGGTACGGCTACAGCGTGGTCAGGGTCCGGCGGGCAGGGGTCAAATGCTATCGTTCCATGGGTCAGACGGGAGCGATGAGAGAAGACGTTGTCTCCGTTGAGATGCGGGTGAAGTCGAGTGCTTGAAGCTTTGTCGGATCTGAAGAGTTGCCATGCAGTCCATGATGCTCGGAGTGGAAATATCTAGGGTTAGGGTAGGAGATGCTCGGACCGCGCCTGCCAATTGGACACCTTCTCCCTCTGCCCTGCCTTCTCGCGTGCTTTGCTTCCTCGTGATATTCATCAGATCATTCTATGTAAAGCTACAAGAGGTCTACTTGAATACGACTCTGACACCTTTCGAATCTGCTGGACTATGCGGGATGAAGAAGTCGTGCGCGATCTCCGCGTCCCTCGCCGTCGTCTCATACAGCTCCATGTCAAACCTCCGAAAGACAGTTGCTAGAGTCAAATAGATCTCCGCCGTGGCCAGATTGATCCCCAGACATTGTCGCGTGCCCTTACTGAATGCCACCAGATACTTCTCGAGCCTGCCATCGCTCTTCAACCACCTTTCAGGGTCGAATTTCTCCGGGTTCGGGAATTTGTCTGAGTTGCGATGCTGTAGTAGAGAGCTCATCGCGACAGGCGTGCCTGCTGGGATGACCCAATCGTTGTATTGCAAAGGCTTGTCGGGTGAGATGCGCTCGAGCCGGCCGACGACGCCATGGGAGAAGCGGTGGCCTTCGCAGACCACTGCGTGCAGGTAGGGGAGCTGTTCGAGCTGCGCAAGGGCTGGGATCTCACTCGGGTTTGGGATTGCCTGCTTGAGTTCGGCTTTGAGTTTGGCGCGTATCGCGGGATCGGCGAGAATGTAGTAAGTTGTCTGTTTGAGGAAGAAGGATGAGGTCTCCTGGCCTGCAGCGATCATGGTCTGACCTTCATCGACGAGGCGTGGGAGCGTCTTCTCTTCGCTTGGTAGGTCGCCTTTGATGAGCTCTGTGAAGATGTTCGATTTGCCCTTTTCGAGCTCGGCCGTGTCCTCTTTCATCAGACCGCCAATTTGACGAGCCAGATCCTGCGGTTGTTAGTGACTTGCATCATGGCTGGGACTGCCGACTCACCTTCTGAAACTTGATGAGGTTCATGACCGGCGGATTGACCTTCTCCACGATCCACTCCGGCGTCGCTTGCATAGCTGGAAAAACCCACTTGAACTGCTTGTTCAAATGAGCACCCTTCGTACTGTCAACCATGGCTTCTGGCCACTCCCACCTCCAGCCCGGGTCATCAAGACAATCATACGAGGTACCGAAGCAATACTTGGTGATGATATCGGTAGTCAATGCCGCGTACGCCTTGAGCGTGTCAACAGGCTCAGCAGTCTCTCGACAACGCTCGAAACGAGCACAAAGCTTCTCGATCTGCGCACGGATCATGGGCTCCATGCGACCAATGGCTTGCTTTGAGAAGAAGGGGTTAAGTGCGTTACGTCTGAGTCGATGCAGGTCGTGCGATACGGTGCCGAACCCGGACGAGCTGTTGCCGAAGAGCTCGACAGCCCATACCCATTTGTCGCGTCTCTGGCCCGGGCCGCTGTAGAGGACATCGTAAAAGTCTGGGTCGCGAACGTGAAGCTCGTATGGGTTGATTCGGATGATTGGTCCTGTAGAAAATAAGCAATGTGTTGTGTAACCTAGACTCTGGCCACGTCTACTGACCGTACTGATCGTGAAGTTCGTTGATCTTGAAGACATACTGTCCACCTCTCACGACATCGTGGTAGAATTCGTACCACAACGTGAGCGCTGCAAGCTTTGGACCCGGAAACTTTGCGATTGGACTGAGATACAATCGGTAGAATGCCAGTCCGCAGAGATACAGCAGATACGCAAGAGTCCCCAGACCGCTGAGATAAAGCAACGAAAACGAGCTGCTTTTCTCGGCCATGTCGCAGGTCCTGGGCGAGCACAAGCTACAGAGTCAGCACACTGCGGGAGGTTTCGAGTCCTGACAGCTTCCCACACGGCTCTGAAGCGCAAGAACTCTGGTTGAAGATATGTTGCCAACACGTCTCACACAATTGGACAGTCTTGACGGGCATAACTCACGACCGATAGCGCTCGAGGTTGCAGTCGCGGATGCGGGCCGTTGCATTCTGGCTAATGGCCCACCAACTGATTAGAGTCCTGTCTGGATTGTGAAGTCATTACAAGCTTGATAGCAGCTCCAATGGTCGCGAACGATGGACCGGGGCAGCAATTGCCCTGGGCCACTACAGCCTATAATGTGTGAGTATACAGGCGTCAAGAGGCGAGGATGGATCGCCGCGAAGCTCCAAGCGCTTACGTCTTGCCACGTGCGTGAGCCTCCGTGACACGATCAAGTTATGGAAGTCGCTCCAGATTTTATGCAACAAAGGATCAATGGGATGTGTAATGACGACAATGTTGATTGCGGTTGATATCGGGTGGCTTGTGTGGCTGGCGACTGAGACTTCCAGGCCGGCAACTCTACTTCAAAGTACATTGCTCTTCCTCAAGGGATATGGATAACGATAACCACCTTGCTTGACGTTAAACTCGCTCCTTCCGATTCATCTCGACTGTCTTTGTCGGTTTGGAAGAGAATGCTTTCAAAGATGGATTGTACGCGGTAGCAGCGAGCAGCGAGTAGCCCCTCACCCGGCAAGAGCGACCTCGGACAAGATGTCAGCACCGCCTTCGGAAGTGTCCTTCAGCACGTACGATGTCGATAGAGACGACACAAGTACTTTGGCAACTTCCATCTCTGGCAATCGCATAGACATTGACTTCGACACCGATACTGACTCGGCTCTTGGATCTGATGACCTAGATCCGGACACGCGATCTCTGACATCTTCGATCTTCAATTATCGCTGGGAGAACGGACGCCGGTATCACGCTTTTCGCGATGGCGAATACTGGTGTCCGAACGATGAGTCTGCCAGCGAGCAGCTCGATCTGGGGCACCATATTTATCTTCTTCTCCTCGATAATCGCCTTTTTCTAGCTCCTATAGCCGCCGAACCCCAGAGGGTACTCGACATTGGCACGGGAACCGGTATATGGGCAATCGATTTCGCCGATCAGTATCCCTCTGCCACTGTCATCGGTACGGACCTCTCACCGATCCAGCCCGAGTACATTCCGCCTAACTTACAGTTCGAAATCGACGACGCCGCCTCCGACTGGACTTTCCCCAAGAACAGCTTCGACTTCATCCACGTCCGCGGCCTCTTCGGGTCGTTGCGCGATTGGCCAAGATTCTATCAGCAGGTCTTGGAGCATCTGAAACCTGGCGGCTACTATGAGCAGTTAGAATGCAGCTGCTATTGTCATGCCGACGACGACACGACGCCGCCGGGCTCGCCACTTGCGCGATGGGGTCAGTTGTTCACGGAAGCAGGGAGGAGGACGGGCAAGGAGGTCGATGTTATCGATTACCAGTATCGCTGGCTTCGCGAGGCGGGGTTTGAGGATGTGCGGGAACATCGCTTCAAGATGCCGGACTCGCCGTGGCCGAGTGATAGGACTCCGGAAGGTGCGAAGCTGAAGGAGATTGGTAAGTTGAGGAGGTTAGAGATCGATAGTGGAATGGAGGGATGGAGTCTAGCTATGTTCACGCGCGTGCTGGGCATGAGCTATGAGGAGGTGCAGATGTATCTGGCGGAGGTGAGAAGGGACTGGGCGAACAAGAGGATACATGCGTACACGAGGGTAGGCGTTGTGTATGGGAGGAAGCCGATGTGGCCGTGAAGATCTCGAAGGACGATCCATGTGTCAGAGAGGATTCGAAGAGCTTGCGGACGTCAATCAAGCCGTTTCGAAAAGGTTTAGGTATCAACAGCGGCGTTTTCCATGCTGATCGCGCCACGAGTTCGGACTTTGCTGGTGAATTCTCCGAGGATTTCTGGACGGCGACTTGGATTTGGAACAGAAGGTCTTCGAGAATCCCAGTTGGCACGTCGATCAGCTGCCTTGGCGATCAGTCACTCTATGCTACGTGTGCACACTTCACTCAGGCTATTGTCGCAACTTCGAACCGAGCATGTGGTTATTATCAATGAACACGGTCAAGGCCCTCAGACCAGGGTATCATTGCAGAGTTGAGCAGTATCGGCGACGTTTACAAAACCAGTGTTTTGATTGCTCAGGTGTTCACTGCTTATCTGGGTTCAATAGCCTCTGCGACAATCTGGTACCTGGGTTTGAGGTATTTACAGGAAGCCCGGTCACGGGCTCAGCTACCGGCTGGAAGGAACAGTTGTCCATCTTGGGAGCTGAACACACTCAGGCATCATACAGGCAACGCACTGGAGTTTGTCCATCACATGCTCATCGCACCAGCATGCCCCCGTTATTGATCTGTTAGCGGCGTGGCGACTTTCAGTATCCTGCCCTGCCCCAACTCCAAAGTGCTGCAGCTCGGAATCTGTGAGTTCGCGTCAAGTCGCAACGGCACAAGAGCGTGTATCTTCTCGATGCCGCCAGTAGCTTCAGTGCCCCAACTGAAAAGCACGAGCGTCCTTTACGGTTTGAAGCGGCTTCCAGCGTTGTCATGCTTTCAACCAATTGTCGCAAATGTACGCAGGTGGATCTATAGCGAGTCAAAACGATCTGTGTGTTGCGTCTGACTTGTTCTACCACAACGGAAGATCCCAAGACCTTGGAACTTTGGAGGAAAGTCAAAGCAAAGGTACTCAGCTCACGAGGCAAATAGACGCACAAACTCGAGAGGCCATGTTCTGATTTTATTTTCACACAAACACCGACTCTGTCCTCTTCTTCTTCTTCACGTCGCCCCGACCTTCGACTTCCGCACAGACGTCCAGAGACTCACCTCCCCGCGACTCAGCGCACACAAAAGTCGGTCGCATCATCTTTCCGACCGCGCAGCATGGTCAAAGTCTTGATGCTGGCCGCTCTCGCGGCCTCTGTCTCAGCTCTGCCAAATGGTGTGCAGGAGCGACGATTCCACGGCAGCCCGACACCCAATGAAAATGATTGCTACTGGGACCGTAAGCATTGCTATGGGTACCATCCTAACGGGCACGGATGTGACGAGCCATACCAGAAGTGTATGGCCAAAGTGACAGCATATTCCTCTTCAGTGGCAGCAGTTGCCTCTTCAGCAGAAATGTCACGGCTTAGTGCTTCCTCTTCAGCAGAAGCATCGCGGCTTAGTGCTTCCTCTTCAGCAGAAGCGTCACGGCTTAGTGCTTCCTTTTCAGAAGAAGTTGCACGGGTTACTGCTGCACCTGCGTGGATTCCTCAGACTCCTGGTCCACAAGGCACTAGCGTTGTTGGTGGTGAAATCGTCCCGCCGCAATCGGACTTCAAGGGCTGTATGGCTCGAATTGGTGGCAGGGTTGTACCGTGCAGTGAAGTCGACTACTCGCAGGGAAAGCCTGGATATCAAATTGATTCAGACCACTGGCTCACCGCTCGCGCCTACCCGACTGTGTCGGTGTCTATCCCGACCATCGACGTCCCGCCCGGCGGCAATCCACCCTTCGACATGCCGTCCGGCACCTCACCGACTGGGGGTGTGTCCATCCCGACCATTGACCCCCCACCTGATGGCAATCCACCCTTCGACACGCCACCCTTGGACATGCCGTCCTTCAGCATTCAGCCTGTCGATGATATGACTGAGCCGTCTACATTCGCTGTCCAGACGATGCCACCAACACCTCCTTCAGAAAACGCTGCCCTGGACCGCCGAGCTCCAGGTGGCCGGCCGGAATGGGCAAGTTCACACATCTCCGAATCTTCGCCATTCGGCGCTCCGGAAACGCGCCTCCCAGATGGCGGCTCTGTTTCTGCCACCACACACGTCGTCGCGAGCCCAACTCAAGCGCTGTCGCTAGTGGTGCGTGGTACTGAAGACGAAGACCTCACGCACGGACCCGAGATTGGAGAAGACGACGATCCGTCATGCCCCCATGACAGAAAGCTGTCTTATCTTTGGTGCAAATACTACGAGACCGCCCTACCAGATAACAATTATCAATGCGACGAGAAGTATCCTGAATGTGTCGAGCACCTCCCAATCGAGGTAGTGCAAGGACTTTTACTAGACGCGATCTCGAGAGAAGTCGAGCACCTCCCAACCGAGGTTGTGCAAGGACTTTTAGCAGACGCGATCTCGAAGCAGCAAGAGTATGCTCCTCAGGAGTCAAGTGAAATCTCTAGGCACCTTTCGGAAGTCGTCGCAGGGGGACTCTTCGACGACATGAGTTGCTTTTTACGTCTCGGTGGGTGCGGCTTCTTCCGTCCGTCCAGGGAATGCTGCATTAGGCATCCGGATTGTTGTGAAGGGAAACTGCCCGCTCCAGCCCCCACCCAGGTCATGCAAGAGATCTCAGCAGATGCGGAACCGACGCAGCTGGGGGATGCTCTTCAGGAGCGAGGTCCACCACCAATGCCCAGCCCCGGCTCATTTACATGCATTTATATCCTTCAGACGTGTTATCTAAACAATGATAAATTGACTGGCCCACATCAGCCGAAAGACCTGCTCCCCAGGGCATGCTGCAAGGGTTATCCGAGCTGCTGTCTCCCTGATGGCCTCCCCCCGGGGTGGCATGAGATTGCAGCAGAAGCGGAGCCGAAGCTGCTGGAAGATGGTCTTCAGGAGCGAAGTGAGCACGAACTGCCGGAACGTGCACTAGATGACCTTGAGGAGGCACTCAACGACTTGGACACCATTCCCTCTCATCTTGCGGGGCAAGATTGCTCCTACAAATACCTGAAGTGCAGGCTTGCCGATGAGGAGGACTGTCTCGATGAGTACAAGAAGTGTCAAGACGAATCATTCGGTGCTGATGGTGAGGCTGTGGTGCGCAGTGCGACATTTGCGCAGAGTCTTGAGGAGGACATGAATATGATCGCGGATCTTATGACGAAAGGCGACAGAGCCGCACTGGACACTTGCATTGAGCTGACAGCGTGGTGTGCGACAAAGGGAACAGACGACCCAGCATGCTCTACGGTCATGGCAGCCTGTACCAGAGGCTCATCTTCGGATCCGGCAACACCAGCTCTGGCAAAGCGCGAAACGGTCGAGGATTCTCCAGAACGCAATGAGACAACGTACACCAAGACAGCCGACCAAATTGGGCGGACCAAGATGAATTTTGTCATGAACGGCCTTCTCCCGAACACGGTAGGTATTCAAACACGATAGCATCAGAGAAACAGACTGATTGCGGGCGAGAATTCCTCGAATGTTTGAATGAAGACCGATCTGATACCTGGAACTGCTATGACAACAGAATGAAGTGTGAGCAAGAAAATGAGATCATCCACGAATCTGCTGCCAAAGTTCCCTCTGGACTTACAGCCATCGCGAGGACTTTGACGCAGTCTGCTGACGAGTCCTCATCCTCTCTCTTATGACAACCACAGAAGGATCTGAAGGATCCGTTGCTCACACCAGAAGCAACACTCGCTCCTCGAAAACGATGCGGCTTCTTCAGCTGGGAGAACCTCGTTGGCGGCTGTAAGCAAAAGCAGCGCAGGGGAGATGCATCCGACTACGGCAACTACGTGAAAAGCCACTACACCAAGACCCCATCCATCGCGCCCCAGCCGACGACAGATCCAATCACAATAGCTCCACGCAGTGGCGGCCGCCCGTGCTGGGACAAGACCTGCTGGGCAAAAGCCGAAAGCACCTCTGAGATTCCGGACGCAGCCCCTGCGGCGCCGAGTGGGCAACTGCCAGCGCTGGGAGATCTTTGCTGGTATACTTATACTGGAAGCACCTTGAAGGGCCACCACCTCCACAAGACATACGAGTACCACCTGACCTCTTGGCCAAGACCGTGCGCTGAGACGGCTATATCTTCTGCTTTAGAGGAGATTGGTGCGTGTTGGACTGAATATGGCGTGCCGCCTTCGCTACATCTTGTGCCGTGTGCTCAGGCTATGGCTACTGATATAACGACCTCGGAGACTGCGACTACGGGGATCTCAGATACCCTGACTGATGTTGCAACGACCTCGGAGCCCGTGGCCAACGTTACAACGACCTCGGGGACTACGTGCTGGTCTTCATATTCGTACGATGGAGAGACCAAGTCCATAGAGGTGCCGTGTTCAACCAGCACGTGCTGGACGACTCATACGTACAACGGAGTCCCAGCGTCCCTCCGTGTTCCGTGCCCTACGGAACCGGCAGCTAACGTGCCAGCGACGACCACGCTGGCAACGACCACACTGTCAAGCACTTCACCTCGACTTACCACACCAGGTCCGACTATGCCGTCGGTCTCTTCATCATTATCAGCCTCTCAATCATCGTCAACCTCTTCATCATCGACGACTGGATCATTGACGACCGGAACATTGACGACTGGATCATCATCGACTGGATCATCGACGACTGGATCATCGACGACTGGATCATCGACGACTGGATCATTGACGACTGGGTCATCATCGACTAGGTCATCATCAACTGGATCATCATCGACCTCATCAACACTGACCAAGTCATACATCATCCCTCGACCGACTACACCGGTCACAACTACATCGTCAGTACCTTCCTCATCTACAATTGCATCGTCAACGACCACTTCTCCAACGACTACACCTACACCGGGATCGACTGCACTGTCAACCACGGCGCCGGCAACCACAACTACTAGTGCAGAGAAATCAGAGCGTCTGTGCTGGGTGACCTTAACTTTCAAGGATGGTCCTCAATCAACGCAACGGCCATGCTCGGCTACAAATTACTATCCAGGCGTGAACTCTACGTGCTACTTCACCTTTACTCACGACGGACAGCAGACTTCCATAGAGACGCCGTGCTCTACCACACCAGCAGCTACGAGTAGTCGCAGTGGAACCGCCACAAGCACCGGCACTACAGGCACTGGTACCACAACAAGCACCGACACGAGCAGCACTCCCGCATTGGCCAGACGCGATGAACTTGAGCCGACGGAAAGTCCGTCTAGAACAGTCTCTGAGAGCACACTTTCGGAGGGCGCTTGCTGGACCGCTTACGGCATTCCCGTCACAACAGTCGAAGTGCCGTGCTCTGCTGCAACCGCATACATCGGCACTGCTGTAGCAGCAACCACAACCTCATCCGCGATAACTTCAGAACCAGACCTGTCCACGTCGTCCGCCTCGCTGACCTTTGTCCAAGGGGATTTCGGTACATCAACGGCTGCCCCCGAGCCAACTTCTTCCACCACCTCCTGCTCATATGGGAACTGGGATGCAGGGTGTACTCTATGGGTCCAGACCGAAGGCGATTTATGCGTGACTTATAGCATCGGTTATCCCGACGTTTTGACGTACAGATGGCCGCTAGCGTGCAGGACTGCTAAGACTAGCTACACCTCGCCTAACGACATGGGGCTTGCGGAGGTCGAGCCGCCGAACACGATGTTGGGTGTGGGTGTGCGTGGTATACCGACGACAGGCCTGCTGCAGCCGTGCCCTGATTCTACGAAGGGCTTGTGTGTAGGTGGAACTGCGACCAGAGTGTTCCCAACAGGTGCTTGGAAGACAGTAACGAAGGTGTATGGGGTCGTGGTCGAAGCGTCCTACACTGCCGCAACAGCATATATTGGGACCGCCGTCACAGCAGAAACAACCTTAATCTCCTCCGCGACAAGTTCGGTGACGAGGGCGTATGGCGTCGTGGGGGAGTGGTAGGGCGGTAGGGTCCGGTCGATTCATCTGAGACGTGTATCATTCGTTCGGGAGCAAGGGCGTTATTGAGCTATCGGACGACGGTAAACGGTTTTCAATTCTACGCTTGGGTATGTGGCTCGCTCATACATGTAAGCGGCGTCGGAGTTTGGCTGCTAATGCTAAATGTAGTGATGGAATACGAGATTTTGGCATTGCACAGGATGGATGTTCAGACAAATACAAGAAGACAGATCGAAACAAGAAGAGAAATTTGAGACAAGAAGTCGGATTGAGAAAAGGAGGACATACTGAGACAGTGAGCTTGACCAGACTCAGACCACCAGACTGGTCCAGGCATTCCAAGACACCGTAAAGACAGTATCGAGACAAAAAGCATTACAAAATTAATCAGGACTTCACGTGACCATGTTGAATTTGCACTGTGCCGTCGAGTGGCAGTACCCGTGAGCTACAGAGTTCACGAAGGTGGTTCGTTGAACAGATCGCCTCCTCGAAACGTAAGAGCTAAGCAAAAACAATCACATGTTCCGAGGAGAGGAAGCTCCCCCATCCGAATCCAGGCGTGTGAATGCCTCCGCCAGGCTGACAGACCCCTTCGAAGGCATGAAACTCAATACCTGCTCACAGCGGAGCGCGGAGCGGAAGCCTATCTGGACCCCAGCAAAGAAGCTTCTGCACGTGAGGCATTTTGGTCTCCGTAGAGGTCTATCATGTGATTTCGCGTCGAGAAGCATATAGCGAACGCGTGCCCCACAAGTTGCTCGCGTCCGTGAAGGTACCCTGCGCATGAGTGCGGATGTGATTGATGGCGCCGGGCGGCCTTTATCGGCGTGGAATGGCTGCAAATGCAGTGGTACTGCCATGGTGGTCTGCTGAAGATGACATTCGCCGTCGTTGTCTCCCCTTCTGAGCTTAAGGACCAGGGATGAGTTGTTAAGCCGTCGCGTCCTCGCGGGTAAGAAGAGCACGTCGGCGAGACAAGCTCTTGCGGCTGACGATAGCACATCAGAGGATACTTTCCTGGCTGACAGTCGACGCAGTGGGAGTGATGACGCTCCAAGCGCTATCTGCGCATAAAAGCAGCGAAGACCTCTAGCTGAGTGTGTTGACATGTCGTTCTTAGGATTTTGATAACAAGCACTCCACTTTGCCGCGACTGTTCGAGAGTCTGCCCATCCGATGATGTGATAGTTGCTGATAGCCGTCCGCCTGGAGCGCTGAATCATCTCGTTACCTCAGGCTCTGCAGACGACTTTGCACCCAACTCGATTGTTCTGAGCTGTCGCTCGGGCAGTAAGAAGCACAGATTCCAGGGACTTGAGAATGGCTTGAGCAAGCCTCAGCGCGCAACGGAGCCTCTCTCATCGCCGTGGTTGCAGAAAAGCGATCGAGTCTTCAAGCCCTAACAAAAGGGTAAGCGATTCTGGGCTCAGTGTATTTCACCTCATCGAAAGCGCTGACCACAAAGGAAGGACAAGCACAAGACGGCGCGAGGAGGACCCCAACACAATAGCAATGCTCGAGTTCTTGCGCCATCCGAATGCCGGCGATTGGAAGGGATATGCGGCACTCGTAGCGTTCTTGGCTTTCCTGCTGGTTGGCAGCCTTTTGATCTTACATTTGTGGGGCTGCTGCGGCTGGAGCACTCCGAGGGCAGCCTGGCGGCGACGGCGCAGCAAGAGTCAACCGACACAGAGCTAGGAGAGGTATCTCCTGTCGTTCATGAGGACCATATCGTCCAGAGCCGGAGCGCAGCTTCTTATAGCACTCATCCCACGACGAGGCTCCCCCCGATTGATGCAGAAGCTCTTGCACTCCCGGAGCTTGCGCATATCGAGAATGTTGGGTCATCGATCTCGGACTCACGACCAACAACTCCTAGGAGTGCTCGAGGTTCTATTGGCGACCATATCTGGGACGTCAGTACAAGCCGATGGATGCCAGGAATCCCGCAACGGAGTGGCCGCTGTACCACAATCCTCTAGGGATGTGGGGTCCGAACGAGGCGGGACAGAATCCTACTTTTCCATCAACGATAGCCTTGCACGGATGACGAATAGACGGTCTGTTGGGGCCGCTGATTTGCGGGTATGTCCTTGACCCGAGGCAGTCGCTGTGGTGCCAGATCAGCAAGCTTGCTAGGTGACAGGCAACTTGTATTCAGAGGGCGCAGGCAACGCTTGCAGAGATGAAACAATGAGAAGAGCTCCATGACACAGCTCTGGGACGAAACACAGGTCATATTCCGTCGCCGTTGGTCGATGGTTCCTCAAGTCAGAAATGAGAAAGAGATGGATTTCCATAATTCAACGACAATCATTTACGATGCCAGACATTGGTGTCAGGGAAACTTCTTGTGCAGCTCTCATGGCCTCATCTTGCGATGCAAAAAGAGTCAAGGCTGGCACTATACTCGCCCATCGATGCGATGAGCTTGACTGACCTTCATGTTCCTGCAGCTCACGTCGGGGAACAGCGCATTCAGTTGATCTCGGTATCCCGATGTTGCGGTCCCGCCCCTGGGCTCGGACGACCTTCTTCATGTAGGCATGAACCTCAGAACCAGTGCTGGACAGATAGACCTTGAATTCGCTTGTAAGCAGGCTGGCAGGCGCAGGTTAAGGTCATGTCTGTGGAGATGTTGGAACCATGAACATGCTTGCAGAAACGGCAGAGTGTTTCGTTGATAATCAGCTCACATGCATAGCCAGCACATACCTTTGACAAATACGTGAACTCGGGAACAGGTGGCCGAGAGACATCCAGCATACACCAGCGAAGCAAGACCCGACACAAGTGCTTCAAGAGGGGGCACAGGAGGAAGCTGCCCAAGCCACTTTCCTAAGCGACAGGACTAGTGCCCACTAGTACCTGACCTTGGCGAAGCGTGGACTCCAAGAGCTTTTGTTGGATTTTCGGAGGCGCTTATGTGCAACGTCGACGTCAGAATAAAGCGTTGATTGACGCCTCAACTGAGTGACCTCCGGCTCTGGGATTTGTCGATCCGGGGAGTGTCGCACGATGAGCAGTATGACAGCCGTTGACTGTGCCACCTTAGCACCCAACCTGTGCGGTCAGACTGATGCGCAATCCTGGAGTGGCTTAATTCCTGTCGAATCAGTCGAAAGACTTGTATCGTGGTCGGAGTGCTCCGAGAAATGATCGTCTGGACTGATCGACGACGCGAGCTGTATCGTAAGCGATATTGGAGGTTGGAAGCTTGCAGGCCAGGGGAGGCAGGAAATTGAGCCTGATGTTGAGAATCGGAGGTCCTTGCTCATGCCTACGCCAATCGCCTTGACTCTATCATCTTGGTCTGGGCATTCACTCGAGGTTGGACAAGCCACTGACTGCCACAGCCAGGAGAATAATTCGCTTTGTACGCCAGGCACAGCACCGGGGATTGACAGCTGTCGGATTGGAACCTCCACGGGATGGTTGCGCAAGTCCAAAGTATACGGCTTCCCCAGCATACCAAGACATACATATTCACCTGCATCAGGGGCGATTGCTGAGCCATGCCCATTGGAGGGTTGTGGACACTCGCATTTTCAACCTCAGCTGAACTTTGCACAGGACCCAAATCTTGACGAGACGGAACACGCCCCGGGAAATGTGAATTGACCAACGCCGCATATCCTGCGAGGATGGAGGGTCGTAAGAAGTTGTGGTGGGTCCATGACCAACGAAGTGAATCCCAACCTACACGCAAGCTTGCGCATAGTATCGGGATATGCTATGACCGTGAGACTGAAGATCACGAAGTCCAAGACCTCGACACTCTTTAGACACTGCGCCGCCCCCATCGTAAGCAAAGCAATCCCTCACTCGAAAGTGTCGATCGGAAGTGTAGTAGGGAAAGTCGCGTCCAATCGAATTGAAAGTGCCAAGCTTCATGCGGGCGCCGTTATGCGGCCGGGACTCGCATGCTGACCGCCATCTTTGTGCGCCGCGAGATCCCCATTGGTGTGACCGATCGCGTGGGCACAATATCCTCGTGCGAAGACAGTCTCTGAAGCAAAGTACTGCATCTCTTGCCTGTTTCTTGGGCGACCATGCTAGACGGGGTGTATGCTCGTGAACCAACTAATAGCCACTAATCTGGATTACCTTCGCTGATGCCAAAGTCGACGCAAGAGTAGGAAATTGAGTCGGCATACTGTAGGCCTCTTAGTGTCGTTGGATGCAGCTGGTTGGCTGCACAACGTTCCATGTGAACATCCAGTCTGTGCGTTCAGCCTCGTGGCATTTGATAATGGAGGATTCCTGCAGCCTTGAGATGCACCTCGTATTTGGGCGTTGTTGACTAGCGATAGACAACCAACAGGCTCTGCTTCCATGATTGGTAGTGGAGTTGGAGCAAAGGACCACCGAGCAGCGTGGGGGACACTAGTTCGATAAGGGCTACCTGTGGGTGGCTTCGTGATGTGTCCGAGATAATACAACGGATTTCTTCAGCAAGTCCCTCACGGACACGAATGTCGGCGGGTGTCATCCAGGGTTCTCCAGTGCACGGTCGGGCCCGCTTGCGTAGCAATGGGTTCGCTTGAGCTGCAGACTTCGATAATGAGCATAGGGAGTGAAGAAAACCGAGTTTCGAAGAGTGTTTGCGAGATTGTCGACAATTGGCGAGACAAAGCAATCGCGAGACAGGTCACTATCGGTTCTCAAACGCCTGCAGTAGTGCCTGCAGCTACCAGGTACAGGGCATCGCTGGATTCCGCTGACCAGTGCAAACATCCGGAAACCACATCCAGGTTGATGAGAATGACAACAAAGTACTGGCGACTTTGCTAGCAAGCTCCTCGTTTACGCAACGGGACAGGCAAACATCCGTAAGCGATGAAGACCTATACGAACATGAGGTGAGAATGTCAGAAGTCGCGCTCATGCTGATCGAGACTGCCACTGGCTGTAGCGGCACGAATCACGTGACTGTCTTATGCACGCTCCCGCTCCCGTCCCCACATCTGAACGCGCCATTCGTTGGTATCTTTGAGCTGCCAGTTGCCACGCCCATCGCAATACTTCTCGTTGCGTACCATCACAACAGCGCCGAAGGCCGACGTTGCTAAAGACCGTGTCTTGATATTTAGTCTCGCTCCAAGCAGCTCAACAGGCAATGTTTGATACTGCATCATCTGCATGAGATGAAGCAACGGATATGAGATTCGAGACCGTTGCCACACCAAAAAGTTACACAAAGACGTCGACAAGGCACCGTCCCTCTTTGCTCCGTGGAGTCGATCCTATCAGCAGCTGCATAGTCATAATGAGCCAATCACTATGGATGAGCTGCTGGGCGGAGAGACAGAGCACCAGCGAAATCCATCACCCCCGAAGCTCCCCTGCGCGTTTGCTACATCATGCAGGCTAATGCTCATTAGCGTATGAAATGTTCTAACCACTTAGCAGAAGCTTCAGACGAAGGCGCCTCGAGCCGTGCCGTTGGCTGCAAATCGCCAACAATCAAATCGGCGAGAGCCTTATTCTGAATCTGTTTTCCGAGTCTTGAGTGGTCATCCAGGGCCGACCATGTGAGGCTCTGGTCACTGAAGAGACTTACCCGTAATAGGAGTTTCATGTCCGAGCTTGCTAAGATTGAGCGCAGTGGAGGCCATATGCCGTCCATTGGGCTGTCCGATTACATCCATGGGTCTAGGTCGCAGCTCTCGAGCACGACATCCCTCAGGATCTGGATGCTGGAACTGTCTCTAATAATACGAGAGGGTAACGCAGCATAGTCTCCTGCGGCATCTGACAAGGTCCGCAAATGTGAACACAAGAAAGGGCCGCAGACTGCCACGTTGCCTAGCACGCTCGAGCTCCAGTTTGTGCTCTTCAACAGGTTACGAGATGTCATATTTGAATCCCTTTCCCATATCACTTCCGTCGTGGAATCAGTCAATTCCGTCAAGCCAGCACACTGGGGCTCATCTGAAGTATCTGACATCACTGACGTGGTCCGATCCGAAACATACAAAAGGTCTTTGTCACGAGGTATATACCGCCACGGCCGCTGTTCTTTAGCATACTCTTACGACTTGTCCATACTTTCAATAAGCCACAGACTGGCTTGTGATCTTTTTCAACGGCCTTTCGACGCATGTTGTGCATAACGCTAATTCATTGAACATATTTCTGAGCGATTTGAACGGAGCTGGTACAGATACACTTCGGCTGTGTGCTTCATGAGGGTTCTACAAGAAACCATGGCCGAGTACGCACCCGGTACGTCTGGGCAAGATCGAAATTCTACTTTCTCAAATCCAAGTCTCATCTCGCCACATTATACCAACGGCAATGGGGTCAACTACTTCCATCCCCAGTTTCCGCCGGCTCACCCTCCATACTCAGGGGCTGTGCCCTATACAAGCTATCCCGCGCACTACATGCTCAACACGCACGCCTCCAACCCAATGTATAACGCGGGAATGCAGTACCAGCTGGCACCTCCATCACGATCGTACGCTCAGAGTAGGACTCTGTCGTACCCACCATCCACTGGATATCACACGACCACGCTGCCGACCCAACGTCTGCATGCGCCATCACAGCATCGTTTGGCATATGCCGGAGAAATTGGACTTGGTAGCGTCGACATTGAGGCTCAGGACTCTGTCAATGAAGCCACAGCACTGTCGGAGCCGATTCTGCCTGTGCTGGAAGGCTACCCTGTTGCAAAGGACTTCGATCAGATCGTCCAGCTGTAAGGTCTGACCTCATCATGGAAGCCCTCGTTAATCAGATGCAGGTACGTTGATGAGCTCTCTCCCAAGAAGCGTGACAAGGCTTTGATCACTGCTCGACGAGCACGCAACATACGCACTGTCTTGATGGACACTAAGACCACAAGCGTTGAATCAGCGCAGTTCAGGTGACAAACATGCACATCGACTTCGAACTCGAATTAACCATCAGCAGATTCTGGGTCAAGAAGATGTTCTCATTGGAGCAAATTGGACCTGCGGGAACGCCTGTGAGTTGCAAATTCCACGGCACTTCGAACATGCTGACTCTGCATAGAAAAGCATTTGCCATTCCAACAAGCCAGTCGCTGTGCGCGAGAAACTGTTCAAGATCCTCACTCGCGCACACAAAGCCTGTCAGCATGGTGGGCGAGACAAGACATCACTGCAAGTCCGCAGAGTGTATTCATGGTACAGAATCTCAAGCTGCATTTGGTCAGCCGGCTGACGTAGATATGTTAGGGTACCGAAAGAGCTGATCTCTCGCTTCGTCAAAGCATGCCCAACCTGCAGGATCCGCCGGCCTTCCCGCGGCGAGGACGTCGAGATGGCAGGCTGCGATGACGGCAACCTCTCCGATGATGACTGCCCATCACCATCATCACCCGACTCGCGCCTTACCTCTGTTCCATCATCCAAGCGCGGCTCCGCATCCAACGGTATGCCAGGCTTCAGCGCCACCTTCGCCAAGCAGAACCGCTGGATGACCGACCTGCCCGAAACCAAGCTCAAAACCGATTACTACGACACCAAGCCCAAGCACGAATATTATGATACCATGAATTATGCACAACACGACAACCATCACGAGCACTACAACAGCAATCGCATCAGCCAGCAACTCAGCAACATGTCGTTTTCGTCTGCTTCTGATCATACATCTCCTACCACTGGATACCCTTCAAGCAATGTACGAACAACTAGTTCTAATTGGCATACGAACCCGGCGTACTCCGCTTATTCGGTCAAGGCAGACCGCCATGGAGAGCACATCAAACAGGAGCATCGCATGTGATACCCCACAGAGTTTTGAAATCTGAGCCAGACAGATTGAATATTTCCAGGAAAAAGTGTTATTCGGAAGGCGCGGTATGGCGTTTGCGGCTGATCTGGACAGGGGAGGGAATGTTACCGGTACTAGACCTCACGAATGAACGACCAACCTGTCGCACGCCAGCGTGTGTTGACCTTCTCGGGATTCTCTTCAGGGGTATTATTGTGCAGTGGATGGATGCACCAAAGCCCAGCAGGGACGCAGGCTTATGCTAGAGCCTCAAACCAAGTTCAAACAGCAGTGTAATAGTACCTCTTCAGAAACTGAATGACAACGACAATACTGTACACGTATTCGATCACATCGTGACGAATATATCTTTCGATGATGGATCGCTGTCGGCAAGCACATTAGCCTTTAATAGCAAAGATATGCTGACAACCCCTTTCAGGGCAAGCGGTGTGAGCACTTTCCGAATTTAGCAGTAGAGTATTTCTGGACCCCAGAATGTTGAACCTCAGCGAATGTCAGGAACAACAACGTGGCTCTTCGCTTCCACTTCCTTCGCATACTTCGCACTGTACCAACGCATTCCAACCAACTGCCACTCCTTTCGCCATTGCTTTCATCCCTGCGCTTCTGCTCTTCACATCGGAGGCGTTCGAGATCACATCTTTGCCTTCAAGACCACAACTTTTTTATTCCTGAGGCTGATCCTGCGGTCGTTTTGCGCTTCTTGTGCCCAAGATGAATATCTTCAGGATTCTCGGTCAGTCGAGTCTTCCTAGCCCCAGGACACGTTGCTGACGATGGGACACAGCGGACTTGTCGCATTTGGCGTCGATAGTCATCCTCCTCCACAAAATGCGCGCATCGGGGGTTCGTCCTACCCTTCCCGCCTGACCTACCTAGCACTGACCAATCTTGCAGTCCTGCAGCGGCATATCATTCAAGTCCCAAGCACTTTACTTCTTCGTCTACGTAACGCGGTACCTTGGTATGACGCCCTCCCAGACAGTCCCCCTTCTCTTCGACCCTCCCCTAATTATACCCTACCAGACATATTCTGGACCTTCACCGACTCCGCCTGGAACACAATCTTCAAACTCCTCTACCTCGCCTCCTCCGGCTACACGCTGCACTTGATGCTCAACGACTACCGCCCGACCCACGACCCGCAACTCGACACCTTCAAAGTCTCGTATCTCCTCGCCGGCAGCGGCGTGCTAGCGCTCATCTGGCCGGTCAAATACAATCCCACAGAGCTACTCTGGGCGTTTTCCATCTGGCTGGAGAGTGTCGCGATTCTGCCGCAGTTGTTCATGCTGCAAAGAACGGGCGAGGCCGAGACAATAACTACACACTACCTGGCGGCGCTGGGGTTGTATCGCGCGTTGTATATTCCGAATTGGGTGTGGCGGTATGCGACGGAGGGATGGTTGGAGCCCAGGAGTCTCATCGCGGGGATCGTGCAGACGGTGCTGTACAGTGATTTCTTTTGGGTTTACTATACGAAGTATGTTCCCCCTTCTCTCAACCCAGTGTGGACCTGAATGGCTGATGACTATCTGCGAACAGGGTTCTGCAAGGCAAGAGCTTCAAGCTGCCCGTCTAGGAGACTGCGGCTACGGAGCTAGTCAGTACGCGCAAAAGCCTTCACACAACCACAACGAGCAGCCCAGCCAATTGGTCCAAGACTCCTACCGCGCTCAAACTAGCGAAGAGGAAGAAGCGGACAAGCAACCCCGAGCACGAAGCACTCATGGAGGCCGCGAAGAGAATGATCGAGTCCGATACGTACGACCCTACGCAGGAAGAGGCGAGTTTGAGGGTAATCAGCCGTGCGACTGCTCGCGAGGAACGACGAAATGAGCGAAACGAAAGAATCGCCCGTGCGACTGCTCGCGAGGAACGACGAAATGAGCGGATTCGCCGGGCCAGCGAGAACGATGTTGAGGCTGTGTCGCCGAAGAGGAAGATATCAAAGCTTCTTGACGCTGTATTCTTGCGGCGAGAGCTCGGGCTTGTGAGCGAGAGTCCGGACGCCGAGGGTACGCGGACGGCTGCGCAGGCCAGCTGAGCTAGTGTATTTGAGTGAGTTACAAGGTATTAGGGCTTGCCGAGGGAGCCTTCGAGACCATGACCAACTCGTGATTCGACGGTCGCTTGTGTACGAGCGAGTGTGGCTCAGTTGTCTTGGGGAAAACAGTGGTAGCACACGCAGCACACAGCCACGCCGGCAAGTGGGGGAGTGAATGGCCTGCTTCCATGGCCAAGAGTCGAGATGAGAAGAGAGGAGCAACAACTGTGCTGCACAGCGTGCTTTGCATCTGATAGAAGACATCCTCTTTCTACGACGTTGATGGCATAGCTGCAACGGTAGAGATCGAGCCTGCTTGCTCTAGACTGGCTGCGTTGCTTGAGAGGGAAAGACTCGAATGACAGAGGAGCTCAATTGAAGACGGAATCTCTCTGACCCTTCTATCTCTTGTTTACCCTTTCCCCTCGTGAAATATAGTGGACCACAGCTCGTGGTAGAACCACGTGGTGTAGCGACTCGCAATGACAACCACCCTCCCTTCACGAAACGACATAAGCACGTCGTGGCTAGGGACCTGTACGGACGATCGATTGTTTCGCCTTCACCACATCCTGATCCAGACACCGCCCGAACGTAGCCTCACGGACAGATCCTTCGCCAGTTGCTCATTCGCCGTATGGTCCTTTCCACATAGCCCTCCTTGTCCCAGACGACAACGTCAAAATAGAGCTCCGACCTAGCTCTTGCTCAGACAGCTTTGGCAGTTGTAACAGATCGATGGGCTTGAACGCAGGACTGGCGAGCAATATATTGGACTTCGTCTAGCAACGTACCACAGATGAAGTTGATGATGTCGTCCGATGGTGTCTTGACCAGGAATATGCCGAAGAAGGACGTGGGAAGTGCTTGAGGACGGTCTTGCGCTAGTGGGTGGAAGACACTGGTGAGGGAATGGCCATATAGACAAGCCCCTGACCATGTCCCGACATCTTTACCTCGACGAGCGGCTTCTCACTTCTGGAGTGAAGCGAAGGACCTCGAAGAACGTCGCAGAGTCCTCCCGGATGACTTTAGATCCCGCACATAGCCCTGGTAATGATCCCACTCTCCTCCTCATTATTCACGTCCCCAACCCATCCTATCCGGCCCGAACCGTACTCGTGCCATACCACCGGCGCCCCTCCCGGTCCATACTCTTCCGGTTGACAGTACACGACATCCCCAGGGGCCACCCCATTGAGCTGCACAGCCTTCGCATTGCACACCCTCGGCAGCTCCTTCCCATTGATCGAGTCCAGCTTCCGCTCGAATGGGATCCGTTGGTAATTGCCCATCGTCCACGGGAGGTCCCAGATGTCCTTGAGATATCGGTCTAGATCAGGCGGGGAGACGTGGTTGCTGGTCTGGCAGCCGAAGATGAGCGTGCCGCCGGCTTTGACGTACGCAACCAGTGTGCGATTGATCCGGTCTGCCCTAAATCGCTTCTTCGCAGACATGATCGATGGCTCGAATAGGATAATGGCGTTCGGGGCCGTGGTGATAGCGTCCACTACGGCGGCTGGGGAGGACTCTGATGGGATTCTTTGGTAGTCGCTTGCCTGGTGCATTGAGGTGTGGAAGGCTGTGTACATGTCGCCGAGCCAGGAGTAGTCTTCCAGTTCCAGTAGGAGGACCTTTTTTGGTGATCGGTCGGGCGGGCCCTGTGTGAAATTGTGGATACTACTGGCGGCTGCTGTGCAGTTTGTCTTATGGGTCGGCCAATCGGTCGATTGACAGGCTTTTGAGCAGTACTTGGTGTTCTTGCAGCGTCCGCATTGTAGGAGACTGCTACCATCCAGGGCGGCCTCTGACTTGGCGCAGACCTGGCATTTTCGAGCTTGTGAGTCTTCGGCAGACATCGTGCCAGTGTCCTCCCGTGTGGTCTCTCGAGTGAGCTGTTGCAGTTTCCAGAGTTGCTGTTGAGATGATGGCTCATTGATCGTGGAACGTAGGTAGGTGTCACGGTGTGCCAAGACAACGCACTGACCACGTCAGGTACATTGAGAGGGCAAGGACCAGGCCAACGCAGTGTATCTGGTTGTCTGTGAAGTGGGTGATATGTAGTACGAAACTATGGCCAGGGCCGTGCGATTGAAATAGCACGTATTGCACCTTCCCAATGGGCTTCCCTACAGTGTACCTGCCCTGACCTCTCAGGCTAGGTCTCGGAAGGCACGTACTCGTGGACGGCATATTCACTACAAGACGGACAGACAGGAAGGCACTATCGAGTTCCTGAACAACTGTACAGATTGCCTACCGATATGCTGATAGGCGCCTGTTTGGTCCCCGATCATTCACAAGTCGACTGATGCCACCTTCCACTCTTCAAGAAGACCATTTCGGCATTTTGCGCTGATGCATGTTCTTTTTGACTCACAGAGTCCGCCTTGGTCTACCATACGCGCTTCGTCCTTCTAGTAATGCTTTCTCCTTGATATGGTAACCCTCCAGTCCGCTCTGATTTCTCGTGCCTTCACTCTACCTCCGGTCTCTGATCCTGGCAAGACGTCTAAGCCGTCCCATAGCTGACCTGCCCCGGCTGCTCTCCTATCTCACCCGGCGCCATGAAGTTCGTGTTCGGGTTCCCCGTCTCTTTGGCTGCTGAGCAGCGTGCCATCGTCGGTGAACTGTCGATTGTGTTAGCAGATCGTCCTTGAATCAGGACAGAATACATCAGGAAAGCTCACCTCCTGCTAATAACATCCGTAAAATAGAAATTCTTAATCGGCAGTCCCAACTTCTCCCCGCTGGCCTTGCTGCCCTTATTCTGATCCACCAACTGCACCTTCGACAGACTACCCAACGCACTCGGCTCAAGCGTATCGTATCTTCTCAGCGCAGGCGAAATCTCCTCCATCCGATCCCGCAACTGCTCTACATCATCATACGGTAGCGGCGCACCCAGGTATTCGGACACGGCGCGAATGATCTTCCAGTCTGTGCGGCCAGCGCCGGGGATGGAGACGGCGTTGCGGGTGAGTTGTGCGCGGCCCTCGGTGTTGACGTACGTTGCGGACTTCTCGGTGTATGCGCAGCCCGGAAGGACGACGTCAGCGAGTTGTGCGCCACGGTCGCCGTGGTGCCCTTGGTAGACCACAAAGGCGTCGGAGGGGATGTCTGCTTCGGAGATCTCGTCGGCGCCGAGCAGCCAGACGATCTTGGGCGTTGTGTTGGCGACCTTTTGTGAGGGGACGGTGAAGCCGACTTCATATGCGCCGGCGCGTGACGCGGCGCGTTGGAGGACGTTGTAGCCTTGCCACTCGGGGGTATTGAAGACGGAGGCGTTCTTGTCGACAAAGGCACCGACGGACTCGTAGATGGCTTTGGCATCGGCGTGCTCGATGACGCCGGAGCCGACGATAATCATGGGTCGTCTGGCGGAGGAGAGAGCTTTGCCGAATTCGCCGGCTAGGGCGGATTTGACGGCGGCGGCGTCAGTGCGAGATGCTCGTATTTGAAGGTGGAGGCGAAGTCCTCGCCGATATAGCCGATCTTGAGGGGTGAGCGCATCCATTGCTTGCGGATGCGGGCGTTGAGGACGGCGGCTTCCCAGCGTGGGTTGGAGCCGATGATTAGCATGGCGTCTGCTTCTTCGATGCCGAAGATTTTGGAGTTGAAGGAGAAGTTGGATTTCAGGTCAACGCCGTGGGCGACGGGGGCGCTGCCGCCGGGCTGGTCGAGGGCGAGGTTCTCGGAGTCGAGGCGGTTGGCGAGGTCTTTCATTGCGACCAGGGATTCGACTTCTGTAAGATGGCCGGCGATGACTTTGAACTCGTTGGCGGCTGGGGCGAGCTTTTGGTAGGCTGTGCCGATCTCGGTCAAGGCTTGCTCCCATGTTGAGGGGAAGAATTTGTTGTCTCGGCGGATGAGTGGTGTGGTGAGACGTTGTGTCTTGAGGCCGTCCATGGCAAAGCGTTGCTTGTCGTCTATCCATTCTTCGTTGATGTCGTCATTGAGGCGTGGGAGTATTCGCTTTACTTCAAGGCCTCGAGCGTCGACTCGGATGTTGGATCCCATGGCGTTCAGGACGTCGATTGTCTCAAACTTTGTGAGTTCCCATGGTCTGTAGGTGAATGCGCCGGGCTTGGGTAGAAGGGCTCCGACGGGACACAGATCTGCAACATTGCCGGACAATTCGGTGTCGAGGTTTCGTTCGAGATATGTGCCGATTTCCATGTTGTTTCCTCGTCCCGTCGAGCCAAGTTCTGGCGCTCCAGCGATCTCGTTAGCGAACCGGATACACCGCGTGCAGTGAATGCATCTGTTCATGGATGTCTTGATGAGAGGTCCAATATTCTTGTCCTCCACCGCTCGCTTGCCAGTAATCTCGTGGAATCGTCCTCGATCGGCGCCGTATCTCATGGACTGATCCTGGAGATCACACTGGCCTCCCTGATCGCAAATGGGGCAATCGAGCGGATGATTCGCTAGGAGGAATTCCATTACGCCTTCTCGTGCTTTGTGTGCGAGTGGCGAACTGGTCTTGACTACCATTCCTGGCTGTACCGGCCATGCACAGGATGCGACGGGTTTGGGTGCTCGTTCGACCTCGACAAGGCACATTCTGCAGTTGCCGGCAATGAGGAGTTTCCTGCAGATACATTAGCTACAGAACCCTGTACGCTGTATTTTGACTCCATACTCATGGTAGCAGTATCTGGGGATTGTGACACCGGCCTTCTCACAGGCCTGAATCAGGCAGAGCCAGCCTCTATCGACACCTTCTTTCCATCTATTGTGAGTTCTACTTCGGCAGGTCTTCGTGCGGATGAGGCGAATGTTCTCTGGCGAGTTGCTCTGGGAGCGCCCTTCGAGCGCGAGGCCGCGCGAAGAAGCTGAGACCGCATGTTGACGGTGCTGCAGGTCTCAGCTATGCAGTGGTGGGTGAGGTAAAGGAGTGTGGCATGACCTAGAAGCTATTCATGTACTGTCCTTACCCGCAAGTCGTTGCTTCACCACTCTAAACACATCTTCTCTTATTGGTCGAGGGCATTTTGGAGAATTGGTGGCCATGTTGGCTGTAGCGCTCCTCCGTACATTGATACGGCGGTGTCAGGAGCTTGTTGTGCACTTTCTGCGCCAACGGATGCCCTGTCCCGTATTGCACAGAGTGTTGAAGGGAATGACAATTTGGCGTAAATCGCAAGTCATATGATGCCCGCCTGGCTGTGACCTCGATTGATTGATTGTCACGAAGATTGAGAGTACTGAAGACTAGCTCTTGTCCAAGTCCGCACGCCGTATGAACTTCATGATCTTCTGCGCCCTGCCTTCGCTCTCCGCTTGCCCCACGTTCCTGTAGGCAGGCTCTAGCTTCGCAGGCGGCGGCGGTGGTTGGGCTGGTGTCTCCTTCACAGTCTCCAGTTGCTTGCTGCCGCCAAACCAAAACTTAGATTTCTTCTCCTTGTCCAGTCCCGCCACATCGACAGTCGAGCTCGACTGTCTCTTGCCTTGCGGCAGACTTGGCTCTCTCTTGTCCTCGCCCTTACCCAATAAGAGCTTGGGCAATGCGGGCACTCCCTTCCACGCCTTCTTGACTTCTTCACGCTCCTCCTCGTCCCTCTCCTCTTCTAGCTTCTGCCGGACGCTCGGATCGATCTCGCCGCGCGCCTCTGCTTCTTTGAACCAACGCGTCTCCATCGTCTCGATCGCCTCGCTAGTAATCTCCTGCTTCAGCATGCGCTCGATGACCTCCGTCTTACGCGTACGCTTATCGCCGACGGATATGAGAACGCCGCCGAGAATATTGCACGTGATGCTGCAGCAGAGGATCACGGTGGTCAACGCAAACGGGCGTGTCTTGTAGTCGATGCCCCATGTGCAAGCGCCAAGCGTGATCTGCAACGCCGAGTGCAAGTCCAGGAGTAAGACAATCGTAACAAGCAGCTTGAGCGGGAAGCGTGGTGAGTCTCGGTCTCGTGCGGCTTGTAGAAAGTGTGAGACTTGCTGAACTTGCGCTCATGGAATTCGAGCGTCGATTGTTCTTCGGCATTCAGTACGGTGTATTCGTAGGTCTGAGGCGACTCTACAGCGTGGCGAGCCTTGAGACGAGTCTGGAAACGTTGCGGCAGACGAGGAGCGACTCGATGAGCCAGTCTACGAGGCATTTTGCGCGCGACCAGGCTCTCCACGTCTGGCTGTAACGGCTCGACTTGCTCTTTAGTCTGATCCGGGAGGTCATTGCGGTTAGCGAGCTCTGGGAGACCCATCTCTTCGCGTCGCTTCCAGGTCTTGCGGTGGTAGCGGGCGATGAAGAACATATGGTAGGTGTCGACTGCGCGGAAAGGGGCCAGACCATCGCCAATGATGGCGAAGAGGGCAACAAGGACGTTATCTACAACATTTATGATGTAGTCGTGCTTCGAGCCGAGAGAGATCCAGCCGATGAGGAACAGAACCCATGCGGCGCCAAAGAGCGTGATCAGTGTTGCGTAGACCGTGACGAAGAGGCCGAGGGCTAGATACATGTTAGCATCTTCGGTCACTTCTTTCTCCCACCGAGGGGGTAAGCATGAACTTACGTCGCTGCACATATTTCAAGAAGCCCTGCATAGACCGCTTGAATCGTGCTCGCCTTGAATGAAGCATGTGCCGCACTATGTCATCCAGCTCTTCTCTCTCAGCGTTTGTCCAGCCTTCAAGTGTCTCGCCATCGGGCAGGACGGCATATACGAACTCTTTCTTGGCTGGTGAGGCGGTCCCCTTGCGACCAAGCATCAAGTGATCGCGTAGGGCGCGCAATTTCGACGTCACCGTGCTCTCTCCCTCTTCGGCTGGATTGGTCATTCGTCGCATCGTTGCTCGTAGCCTGTCCATTGTCCGCTTTTCCTCCGGCGTCTCGTTCAATCGGTACATTGGCCTTCGATTGACAATACCGCCTAGCTGGGGGACGAAGAGGGAATTCTGGACATTGTTGAGGGTTGATAGTGTTGCGACTTCGGGGTCTGAACTTGATCAGCTCCAGCATCTCTCTCCATGATTATGCAGGCTCATGCGTACCAACAACGTCAAGCAAGTCCACCTCGTCTGGGTCATATTCATCTGACTGGCTGCTAGTCACATGACGACCACCTGCACCAAACCATGACCAAATACCAGCAAATCGAGCCTTCGGTGGTTGCGGAGCTGACCCAACGTCGGCCTGCTTCTCAGCAGCAGAATGAGCAGCGAGCCGCTCTCGTGTGTCTGTTGACAGCGGTCCACGATGGAGGCTGGTCTTTGAAGACGAGTTACGCTGGATGCGAACGCTGGGTCGCTGGTCGGTGCTGAGAACCGACTTCACCTTGCGGCCGACTGCTACGATTGGGTTTGTGGTCGTTTTCGGGGGAGTTTCGGCTTGGGCAGCTGATGCCGGTCGAGCCATGACGGCGTCTTCATATGTTGCTGAGACCGCGAACAGAAGAGAGCAGCAAATGTGTTACTGAAGGATGAATTGAAGACATAGGGGTATGAAGCGCGTGTCAGAGCATTATTGAGTGTCGCTTGAAGTTACGGCGACGGTGTTGGCCGCAGAACTCCACGATTGCTCAAGAGCATCCTTCGTCGGAAGAATAGAGATACGCACACGATACCTACGAGCGAGGAGACAAGCCATCAGGGGTGGTGTTGAATAGCCAGGATGAAATCAGGGCAGGCGAGAGTACGGGGACCGACGTCACCTGTCAACAATCATTGAGCCACACTGCATTAGCGCCACATCTTGAAATTGTCTCCCAGGCTTCAAAGTTGGTCGGACTGTTTTGGAGAACTGATGGCCAGGTTGGCTGTGAAGCTCCTCCGTAGACAGGCACGGTGGTGCTAGGAGCTAGGAGCGCACTTTCCTGGCTGCCTCATTGCTTCAGGAACTCAACCTCACAGTGACAGAGCAATTATTGTAACTATTCGCCATGCGATCACAAGGCTCGATGACTGCTGCGAGTAACCGTTGTTGATAGCGGGCTCTTCGACCCGTCTAACGGCCGTGTGCCAGTGTCCCGCGGTCGTGTTGTTTGCCTCTTCGGGGCCGACATCGTTCGACACGGGCCAAATTGAGTTCAGCTAATGCAACGGCAGGCAGACAAAGGGATGGTACTTTTGTGCACACCCTGTATATATGTTTGCGAGATGTTATCTGATCGTCGTACTTGGATTTGTTGAGTCCATGCAAATCGGTAGAGTTATGTGTCTTTCGTCAACATCGCTCACGAAATAGTTGTATCGTGTACGCATTTATATTCACCGTTTTCGGTCTCTCCCACCCACTCACATTCTCTGGATAGAAGCACTGATCATGTCACCACCAACGATCGCCATCGTAGGCGCCGGCCCAGCAGGCCTCACCCTAGCCAAACTCCTCCATTCCGCCGACACAAACCTTTCGGTCACTATCTTCGAGCACTCCGCCTCAGCGAAAGCGCGTCACCAGCAAGGCGGCACCCTCGACTTACACCCAGAGTCTGGCCTCTTGGCCCTCAGGCGCATGGGCTTGCACGATGCCGCCAGGCCACATCTGCGGTATGAGGGCGAGGAGTTGGTGATTGCGGATTTGAACGGGTGTGAATTGGTGCATATGAAGGACGCTCCACCTCCGGCAGATGGGGAAAGGGATGGGGGCATGTATACGCGGCCGGAGATTGATCGGGAGAGACTAGTAGAGGTGTTGTTGGAGGGTGTTGAGGAGGGGAATGTGAGATGGGGAAAGCATCTTAAGCGTATTGATGGTGAGACGGGGAAGTTGGAGTTTGAGGATGGGAGTGTGGAGGGGCCGTTTGATCTGGTTGTCGGCGCGGATGGAGCTTGGAGTAAAGTGAGGAGCGTGCTTTCGGATGTGATGCCGGGCTATAGTGGGATCTGTGGTATCGAAGGGCATATCGACAACCCTAAAGAGTTTCCCAGAATCGACAAGCTGGTTGGTAGAGGCAGCTTCTTCTCCTTCAGCTATGGTCGAGCATGTATGGCGCAGCGGATGGGTGACAATAGTATCAAGCTTGGTACCTGGCAGCGAAGACCTGAGACCTTCATTGACGAGCTTGTGGGCGAGCAGGTTGAGCAGGAGCCATTGCGAAAGAAGCTGCTGGAGGAGTATCGCGACTGGTGTCCTGAGATCAGGGAGCTTATCGAAGTCGCCCACTGGAGGACGAAGTGGAAGCTATACGAGTTGCCGGTGGGGCACAAGTGGGAGCATAAAGCGAGCTACACTCTCATTGGGGATTCGGCTCATTTAGCAACGCCATTTGCTGGCATGGGCGTCAATGCAGCCATGCTAGACGCTCTCGAGCTCTCAGACCAGATCATCACAGCTGTCAAAGCCGGCACGAGTCTCGACAGGGCGGTCGAGGTCTATGAACAAGGCATGTTTCCGCGCGGGAGGAATGTACAGGAGCGAACTATGCTGAACAAGACGAATGGCTTCGCGGACGACGCGCCATTGATGTTTATGTCGGGTATGATCGGCGTGGTGGCGAAGGAGTCGGGCTGGCCTATTGATCGGGGATTGTTGTATTGGATTCCGATCACGAGGACGGCGTACAGTTTCTTTTGGATGAAGACCTCGTGGACGGCTTGTTCGAGACGGCTGAGGAGGGCGATATGGGGAGAAAAGTCATTGAGAGCATGATATGCACTGGATGCCCGGTCCTCGGACCGACTTCAAACTATCTAGGATGCTATTTCCGGACAGGCTGTCGCAAGCAACGCCTCGAGTCTCGACAACTCTGCCCATCAGTACTGCCTCACCGCAGCTGATCTGAACCGCAGCCGGAAGGGGTACCCACACTTCCTGCGTTACGCCTCGGCTGCGCCCAAACAACGCCCTGAGTCGATTGCAGCAAACATCGCGGGGTTGGACAGTCCGACCATGCTCTATATCAGTGGCACCTGCTCTCGACTGCTTGCTGATAGCTACAAGGTATTCGCACGTCGACCACCAAACTAAGGATAACCAAGTTTTTATCGCAGTAGATAGAACTGTTTCAGATGGTATCACACGCCAATCTACCGGAAGCTTGACATCATGGCGACTGAAACCCTCCACGTAGCCGCCAGTCCTCCTGCTTCGGCACAAGTGGCTTGCCCTGCTCCATCCACTAGGCGATTGACACTGGTCGTTGAGCATGACGTAGCGGCAACGACCGAGGACGACTTTTCCACGATTGGGCGGCGTGTTGGCAGGGTGCTGACCTTGTTTGAACGCAAACGGGCCGAAGCGGAGCGATTCACTGACTGCCACCACTACAGTTATGGTTGATCGGAGGCTTCAAGCGTTGGTGGTGGTGAGAAAACGGTTGCGGAACTGGTGGATGTGTGACTGGGAGGCAGTGGGAGATGGGATAGCAACGCTCGGAGGGAGACGTTCGTCAATCGTTTTCCGATGGCGTTGCTAGTACGGCTAGTAAAACGACTCATGCAGGCATTTGGAAACGCTTGAACACTACCTAGGTATACAATATCCAACCACGACAAAAAAGCAAAAATTAAGGGGGGCCGTTACGCAGACTAGCTGACATAACTGCCCCCCTTAACGGCAACACCCAGATTCGAACTGGGATATCCGAGCATGACTCGGACGTCTTAGGCCATTTAGACGATGCGACCTGATGTGTGGGTTTGGTGTTCGATTGTTGAGCGAAAATAAGTAATATCAAATATATGAAGGTGATGGCTGAAGTGCCAAGAGCTAGTTGCTGCCGATAGTTGGCAAGTGGTTATCATTTCGTCCAATTGTATTCTGCATCAACAATCGCACCCAAGGCGGCGTGGTGTAATGGTAACACATCTTGTCTTTGAGACCGGGCTGTCGGTGATGATGTCCTGGTTGTGTGAGAGGAGGTTAAGGTCTCCCTACATCGCTCATTTTGGTGTACACCAACTCTGGGTCGGAGTTACCTGACTGCCCCCCTTAATATAAGGAGGTCAAGAAAGCAAAAGGCTCTCGGTTCGAGTCCGGGCGCCGCCAATCTTTCCTTTTTTATCTTTTTGGATGGGGTGCCGGAATATCTGGTGTAGTTCTTGGAAAGCCTTCAATCAAGTCGGGACGCGACTATGATCTGTGTGGCGAATACCTTGCCAGGTCGAGCGGCCATATAACTGAGAATATCGATGCCGCGTGCAGGGGTGCTTTCTACTTACTACGAACTCAGAATAGCGATCACCCGCGTTTCAATCACTATAAGCATGTTGACGTGCGTCAATGCTGTGGTCGTAAGATCTAAGCGTACTGTCCACGCGTCTCCATCGTCCCCGACCGTCTCAGGCATGAACGGCGCCTTCCTGCTCAGGACCCATTGCAGCGAGTGTTGACGCAGTCAGAGAAGTCGCAGCCAATGTCAAAGAAGCCAGCGCCTGCTGATCTGTTCATTGAGCCTGCTCATCCCACGGCGATGGCATCCAATCGTCCCTGGCTAGCATGATTCATGTAGCGTATCTTGTCCACATACTGTTGTTTCAGTCAGAGCTCGTGGTTCAACAACCCTTGGAGTGCGTCCTAGCAGAGTTCCATGCTGCAAGTTGCTGGAGGACTTCAGCAATTTGGGGAGGAAGGAAGAGTTGACGTTGGAATTGGCAGCCTCGACCCCATGTCAGCACAGCCTTGTCTTGTCGTGTACTTCCCCAGAACCTACGCGGACAACGTCGGTCCCCCGTACCATATGCTCACATTACTCACTCACTTCTTCGCATGCATCTATAACCGCCAGGGCGGACTCTGTAGTGCTATTCTATACGTTCTCTAGTCATTTCTCACATTCATTGCCCATCATGGGCACCCTTATGGACATATTCTACTCGTTCACCAACTGCATTTCATGCTTTCCCCAATCCCCACAACTCAAGATCAATAACCGGAGCTTCCGCATGCTGAGGCTACTCGGCGAGGTCCGTGTTGACGCCGCTTGATCCTGAACCTCACTGACACGGTATAGGGCGGCTTCTCATACGTGTACCTTGTCCAAGACACCTCCGATTCGTCGCTGTATGCTCTGAAGAAGATCAGATGTCCCTTCGGCCAGGAGTCTGTCTCACAAGCCCTCAAAGAAGTGGAAGCATACACACTCTTCTTCCCGAATCCCAACATAATACGCAGCATCGACCATGCTACCAAAGACGACAAGGACACCAAGGTATCTGGCATCGGCGACACAGGAGGCACTGCGAAGACCGTCTACATCTTACTCCCATACTACCGACGCGGCAACTTGCAAGATATGATTAACGCCAATCTTGTCAATCACACGCGTTTCTCGGAACACCGGCTCATGGTATACATGCTCGGAGTGTGTAACGCGCTTAAAGCAATGCACCAATACCACGTACGGCCCAACAGTAGCCAGGCTGCCGCGCGAGCCATCCGGGAAGAGGCAGCCAACGAAGATGCAGATGCCGCCAGGCGAAAAGCACGTGCCCAGAAACGGACCATGACCGCAGACCAGCAACACCATGCAGATCTCGCAGAAGAGCAGGGAGCCCGCCTCATGCCGGACGAGGTCACACTTGCACAGGAAGGGAAAGCTCCTGGCGAGACGAGAGCGTATGCTCACCGAGATATCAAGCCTGGCAATATCATGATCGACGACGATGGCGAGACACCTATACTCATGGATCTAGGCTCACTTGCACCAAGTCCAACGCCAATCACGAGCAGGAGTATGGCTCTCGCGGTGCAGGACACGGCCGCTGAGCATTCAACCATGCCTTATCGTGCCCCAGAGCTCTTTGACGTCAAGACTGGCAGCGTCATTGATGGCAAAGTCGACATCTGGTCGATTGGGTGTACGATGTATGCCTGCTTGGTCGGCAAGTCACCTTTCGAGGCTCGCTCCGACGAGACTGGCGGTTCATTATCGATCTGCGTACTTGGCGGTGATTGGCGCTGGCCTGGGGAGGGCTCTGCGGCTACCGGAGCAAAAGGCAAAGCGCCACAGCATGCCAATGGCGATGCAGCCGCGAAGTCGTCGGAACCGCCCTATCCCTCTCCGGCGGTCAGGGAGATCGTTCAGCGCTGTTTACAGGTCGAACCAAACGAGCGACCCGACGTCGATGAGTTAATGGTGATGATCCAAACCTGTCTGGAACAATTGCCTGCCGGGGCGGACTCCAGAGGTGGCAATTCCATGGATGACACTTAGGAGCATGTTCCGAAAAGTCATGGAGGCCGCCTGGCCGAGCCGAAGCAAAATCGTGCAATGTCTGAAATCTCAACGGAAACTTTCCATGATCGCCTCCAGGGCATCAGGCGGCCTCTGGATTTTGCCTAGGAGCCATATCGTACATACATCGAAGAGAGAGAACTGTGCATGCAGCCCATGGCCGGCGAAGGAGACGTGCGGATCTGCTATGCGACCGAGCACGAAGGATGCCGCTCCGAAAGATGCCGCCAGGTGGGAGTAGTAGGGAGGACTCCCGGCTACAATTGCCAAATTTCAGGGACCGTGTCGAATTGTGGGACGATGGAGGGCCGTCGCGGGCAAATACGCGTGCCAGCACCGAGCTGGAACTCACGAAAATGCGCTCCGCAGAGTCCTCCCGAAGGCGAAGGGCTCAAAGTCTGCCGGCTGATCCGGGCAGGATCCGAAGCAACTTACACGCCGCACGCCACCCGACTCATGAGCGACAGTCATCACTCGCGATACCCGCCTTCGACAAAGACCGCCCTGGCTTTGGCAAACGGACCCGCTACAGCAAGAATCAAAGCGAAAACTATGTACGGAAACTACCAGGTCCAGGTGAATATTGGATTCAGAGGCCTGAAGACGACGCTACTGATGCGGCGTACCTTTGGGGAACCGCTCGGGAAGGCTCTGGACATGCGACAGCGCCAGCAGATGTGGTCCAGCGAGGTGGCGATGGCGTCGCTGAGCATGCCTCAGCTTCGCCGGAGCAAGAGCAAAGTACTGCAGCTAATTCGCCGGTCCTGCCGGAAGGCCAGCCTGTCATTGGTAGCACGCGTCCCAGAGCGACCGCAGTCACAAGTCAATGGCAGGCGCCAGCTGAGTGGAACGTTTCCAGTGCACCTCTGGCTGACGCGTCTAAAACGCCCACACAGAGTCCTCCAAAACCTGTGCCTCCTACTTCGCCACCTGACAGAGAGCAAAACACAAGGTCTGACAATACCAACTGTGATTGCGACCTGACGCGGTGTTGTGCCTGCTGTCCCAAAGGCTGCACACCTCATTGCATGGCGATATGCAAGTGCTTGTTCGCGCTTTGCGGCTTGTGAGGCAATTGACCGCCGGAGGTGACACGAGGTGGCCTTTAGCGCAGTCGAGTCAATGGTCTGATCCAATGAGTTGAATGTAAATGATAGTCTTTTCTCGATGAGTTGATGTGTACAGCATGTATATAAGAAGTTTCTTCCAGTCACCACAGTGCCATTCTTCCGTTCGGGATAATGACACCCTACGCTTGGACTTTCTCCCCATCGCCCGATAGCGTTGACCTTGTTTCTTTCTTCGCGACTTCTATCACACCTTGATACCATTCGAGCGGTTTCCCTGACCTTTACTACAGCTGTCGAGCTATGCTGTGCAAGGGAAGGCACGGCGATTGGCATTTCTGGGCTATGTCATTGGCGGTCTTCGCACTACTAGAGCTACGCACCACGGCTCAACAATCTGTCGTAGCGGCATGCGTCGTATAACGACGGTTTTCCGGTGCAGGGTGAGCACTGACTGTCTCTCGGCTAGTGGCTGACTGGCTGGGTAGTTTCTAGATGAGCCCCACATGAGTGCCAGTTCAGCAGGGAAGACTGATCATGGACTTCCTGGCCGAGGAGGGCATTCATTGCAAGAGACTCGGCACAATGTTATGGCACGTTTAGATCTCTATTATTGAACCCGATACCGGAGTCTACCGCGCGAGCATGTAGCAAACTCACACGCATCTTCACAAACTCGACCGTACAGCCCCTTCCCCCCTCCTCTCCTCATCGACCCACTTGTGTTGTTGTGGCACTGCCTCATCCTCCTCCTGATCGCCGGCACTGTCAGTCGCCAGACTCGCAGCCTCGCCGGTGACATCGCCCGCCCCAAATCGGAATCCGCGAAATCCATCAGCCTTCATCGCCTCCATCTCCTCGTAGAATTTCTTGAGTCCGCCGAAATAGAATCTCAGAGCATATTTCTTCCCGGGTACGTTCTGCCCAAAGATCCAGCTCGCTGTTTCTTTGAATAGCGAGCCTTCGGCAGCTTCGTCGCATTTGCGCAGCCAGGTGGCTTCTGCTTGGGGTGATGCTTCGATCGCTGGCTTCGACGCCCCTGTGCCCGCCGACACTGATTCGGCATGAGCAATTAGGTCCGTAACCAGGTCGACATGTGCTTCGAGCGCAGGCGGCATGTTCGTGAACGGCCCCTGCGGACCTAAGATCATGAACATGTTGGGGAAGTTCGGAACCGCCACGCCCAGATAGCTGGTCGGGCCCTGTGGAGCCCAGTGGTCGCGCAAAGTGGTGCCGTTGCGGCCGCGGATGCGCACGCGGTTGTAGTTGCCTTCGATTGCGTCGAAGCCGGTGGCGAAGATTATTACGTCGAGGTCATGGGTCTTGCCGTCAGCAGTCTGGATGCCTTGGGGCAGGATTTGAGTGATGGGTGTCTCTTGGAGGGAGACGATGTCTACGTGTGGGTGGTTGAAGGAGGCGTAGTAGCCGCCGTCGCAGAGGGGGCGGCGGGCGTAGTGGTCGTGTGGGGTGAGTTTGCGCGCTTTTTCGGGGTCCGTCACTATGTTTGAGATCTGCTTGCGGATGAATGAGGCGGCGGCTTCATTTGCGGTCTTGTTGGTGGCGATGTCAGAGAAGCCGCCGAACATGAACTTGAAGCCGTTCCCGGCGTCCCAGAGGCGTTGGAGGATGGCTTCGCGGTCGGAGGGTGGGATGTCTTCGAAAGCGGTGGTGGATTCTTCGAAGCCGAAGCCTGTGATGGAGTTGCGAACTTGGGTCATGATGGCGGGGTAGTTCTCGTTGACCCAGGCGCGGTATGAGGGGTCCACAGGGCGGTCGCCGCTGGGGACGCTGTATTGTGGGTGGCGTTGGAAGGAGAGGAGTTGTTTGACTTGAGGAGCGATGGCGGTAATGACTTGGACGCCGGTGGAGCCGTTGCCTATTATGCCAACGCGTTTGTTGTGGAGGTCGAGGTCTTTGGGCCAGGCTGCGGTGTGACAGAGGGTGCCGCTAAAGGTGTCGATGCCGGGGATGTCGGGATAGTTGGGTTTCGAGAGGACGCCGAGTGCTGTGATGAGGTATTTGACGTTGTGTTGTTGGATGGTGCCTTCGTGCTCGAGCTCGACCTGCCACCGACTGTTGTTCTTGTTCCAGGTAGCCGAGACCAACTCTGTCTTGAACTGGATGTCCCTTCGTAGGTCGTGCTTGGCGACTATGTGCTCGAGATAGGCCAGTACATCTGGTTGCTTCACGTAGTGGTGCGACCATGGATATGTTTGCAAGTCGTCCTCATCCCAGGAGTATCTGTACACAAAGCTCTCGGTATCTGACATGGCGCCTGGGTAGCGGTTCCAGTACCACGTCCCGCCTACATCACCGGCCATGTCGACTACCTTGACGGATAGTCCAAGCTGTCGTAGACGGTAGAGCTGATAGATCCCACTGAAGCCCGCCCCAACGATGATGGCATCGTATGTCGTTGCTGCCATGATGAAAGCGGTTATAGACAATGCTTGTTCCCTGGTGTCGGTGATTTAGAGGCTGCCTCCCACGTTTTGAACTTCAGATCGTATCCGAAGGCTATACCGACACCCGAAATGGCTTGTGAGGAAAAGTGAGGTTTGGTATCGCAGCATGTTCCAGCTCCAAGAGCGATCATTTTGGCCATCTTTGGCGACGTGGCAAAGCAGCGTGTACTGCCACGGAATCGCCAGCAGATCAGATGTTCTGCGAGCGGTCTTGTTGCAGTAAGACTGCGACAGTGGAGCAAGCCTCTCTGGGATTCGTGGGCTCGGGATTGTCCTGCAGGGATCTGAGGGGAACGGGAACAAGAACATACCCCAAGATTCCCCGCCTCCTTTTCCGTCTCCACTCACGCTCATCCACTCATTTTCTCATGGTGGCGCGGAATTCTCGAAGACCTAGTCCCATTCGGGCATTCAAGATCAGAGGCACCATGTTGACGCCCTCGTGCAGAGAACAACTGTGCGACAGTCGTACACAGTCCATGATCGTTGACGAGAACTTTCTGCAAAAGTCACCCAAAAATGGCCGCGGCTGCAGCTCGAGTAGCATTCATAACAGGCGGCGCTCAAGGAATCGGTCGAGCCACAGCCAATAAACTCGCCAGTCGAGGCATATCAATTGTTCTGGCGGACCAGAACGCAGAACGGGGCCATGCCGCCGCCAAAGACGTGGCCAGCCAATTTGGTGTCAAGACCAAATTCGTGAAAGTTGATGTGACCCAAGAGCAGCAGGTAAAAGATGGTATAGGCGAGGCGTTGAAGTTGACGGGACGACTGGACTATGCTGCCAACTGTGCCGGTATCTGCGAGTCCGTCTGGGAAGGCGAGGAGGATGTCACAGTGGAGCTGTATGATAAGTATGATGCAACAAACCTCGGATCGGGACCGCTGAATTGACATGTTAAAGAACTCTGGCAATCAACACCAAAGGGCTATGGCTTTGCCAAAAGCATCAAGCTCTGCAGATGAGGAAGCAGGATCCTGTTTCGATCAGCACAACGCCCGCCCCACGGCATGCCATACCAGGTCAACGTGGCTCAATAGCCAACATCTGCTCGATCTCTGGACTGCATGCCGCCGGCTTGGCTGCATACACTGCATCGAAGTACGCTGCAGTCGGCGTGACGAAGACTGGGGCCAAATTTTATGGTGAGCTCAAATCTCCTCGCCGGCTTGACCACGTGACTGATGTCTCGAGCAGGGCCTGATGGCGTCCGTATCAACGGGCTGTGTCCTGGCTGGACCATGACCGAGATGATTATCGGATCCATGGGCAAGGAGGGAACGCCAGGTACGAAGGAGAACAACGAGTCGCCAGTCGCTCAGAAGATAAGTCTGCGGAGAATGGGGCAGCCGGAGGAGCAAGCAAACGTGCTCAGCTTTCTGCTCAGCGACGAGAGTAGTTATATGCACGGTGCATTACTCGTGACTGATGGCGGCTTCCACGATATCCGTTAGCGAGCTAGAGCTGGAGTGCAGTGGCGCAATATTGGAAGGAGCTGTGTTCGCTTAAAAGTTCGGAAATTCGCTTCAAGAAGTCCAGAAGAGGTACTATGATGGCAGAAAACATCGTACCGTCTGATCTGCCTTAGCGAATGCGCGACCACAGATAGCATTTGGGTATAGAAGGTGCACCTCGAAGGAACCAGAGTCATAGTAGGCAATGGTCGAAGGAAGAGACTGTCGTGAACCCGTGTTCGCGACTTCGCCAATTTATTCAAGTCTTAAGACCGCCTAACTCCTCTTACATTACCGGCAGGCACCGCGTGACTACCCTCGTTGACAGACTCCGTACACGCAAATGCTTTCGTTTTCCTGTCGGCGCGCGCTATCTGGGATAACATGTGCAAACCAATGGCTGGAGAGTCAATGAGTTGAGGACGCGTACATATACAGAGCTCTAGATGGTGACAAAGGCCTCCCAGATGCCTCGGAAGCGATGTCCCAGAAGCAGCGTCGCTACACGTCGATAGCATGCCTCAACTGCCGTCGTCGCAAAATCAAGGTGAGCGGTATGTGTCGAGATCTTCTATCTCTCGCGTTGACGAGATGTAGTGCGACAACGAGCAACCACAGTGTTCGAATTGTCGACTTTACGATAATGAGTGTCTATATGGCTCGGACAGGCGCCGGTAAGCGCATATGCTATTCCATCACACAGCCATCAACTGACTCTGCCAGCGCTTCGACTGTCGCAGAGCCACCAGTGAACACAGCGAGTCGTACACCAGCCTCTGACATAGTGCATACGCTTGGACCCGGGTCCGGACGAACTGCAGATGATCAGGTACTCGCTGCTCGTACAGCAGAGACAGCGCTAGAGCCCTTTGCTAATTTCTCACCTTTGTACGACACCAATGCTGAGCTCCTGCCATCCTATGCTCCGGCTGATGGATGGGAACACTGGTCTGATACTTTCGAAGCGACGCAAATTCCCTGGGACGACTCCTTCGGCAATGCTCAGGATCTAAACTTCGCGCCGTCAGAGCACATCCGCAGTGAAGATCCTCTGCCTATCGTTGATCACAAAACGCCAGAGGTACTTCAAAACAGCCAGCAAGTCTCGCCCAACGAGGATGCTGTCAGCACATCACATCTCGCAGATACCCAAGGGAGTGATTCAGCTGCAAAATTGACACGGACACGGAGCCAGATCCAAGCCGAACTGCCCGACGATCCGTTCAGCGAAGTTGCTAGACAGTTGACGAGCAGACTGGGCCGCCTTCAGATCGCTGAGGATGGCAGGCCGAGATACTATGGCGCAACAAGCAATCTACACCTTCTCCACGGTGGCTCAGACGCTTTGACTCAACCGAACATTCGCCACGTCATGATACACGGCGAGGCAGCGATCATGAAGGCTGGACTTCAGTGGGACCGTGACGCATCGTTCGAGGCACATCTCATGAGTCTCTTCTTCTCTTGGCACAACAGCTTGCAATTCCCGGTCGACAAAGCCATTTTCTTGCGTGAGCGTGAGAAGTACCAAGCTGGTCTGGACACAGAGTTGTACAGCCCTTCGCTTGAGAACGCAATATTGTGCATTGGCGCGGCGTACACGGATCGAAGTCATGATAGAATCCAGGGACCAGTCGATGAGTTCCTTGCGCTACGTGCCAAAGCCTTTCTCGATATTGAGATAGACAGTCCCACGATCGCCACTGTGCAAGCTCTACTTATCTTGTCGTCCCACGAGGCAGCCCATACAAGAGAGACGCGAGGCTGGATCTACATGGGGATGGCGACACAGATTGTTACAGACCTTGGCCTGCATCTGGATCTCGAGTCAGAGTATTCCCGGTTAGGCGGTATCGACGGACTAGATGATATCAACATCACCAGACGCAACGTCTTCTGGACCGTGAAATCAACGGATACCCTGTGGAGCGCTTATAGCGGTAGGCCTTCTCTGACGAAGAACCTCGTTCATGACCAGAAGGGCCCACTACCATCTCGCACATATCAGTGGGAGCCATACTTAGACCAGCACAGTACTATCAATTTTCCAGCAGGTTTCGACTTCCGGACGGCGGCTCATGTTCATGTATACCTTGCAAGTCTGATGCTCATTCTCGGCCGAGTCTCTGAAGTCCTTTACTCCGGAGTGCCGGACATCTCGAGCAACATTCAGGAGTTTGTTCGGGAAGCTGATGCGGACTTTCAGGAGTGGATGAAAGAGCTACCGCCAATGCTTCGGCTCGATGACAAACAAGCATTCCACGTGCAAAGTGTGCTCGAGTTGCATCTGATATACCATGAGTCGATCATTCTGCTTCACCGCCCACTCATCACGCCTTTGGACAATGTTGCTGGCGCTTCTCCCGCCGACAAGGATGCTGCAGAGACTTCGCTGAACATGTGTCTGGAATCAGCAGATGCGATCTGCAAGATCATAGTGCTGTACAGGAATCGCTATGGCCTAAAGCGTCTACATCACCAGATGGTACACGCAGCAATGACCGCAGCGCTCATACACATCTTCCAGTTGTGTAGCACCCCATCAGGACAGAGGGAGGACCAGAAGGCGCAAGCTTCATTCCTTACCTGCGTTCAGGCCCTGGGCGAGATGGGTCAAACCTTCAAGTCTGCTTCCCGGGCTTTGGATGTGGTCACCTCGCTTCGGCGAAGCTGGCGCGATGACACCACCGCCGGTGACCGTTTCAAACGTGCGCGCTTCAGGTGACCCACATGACCTTCGGAATGCGACAGATAGAGAGGAGCCAAGAATGGTTTGTCAATATCCCCATTCCACGGATCCCCGCAGAGAGTGCCCCGAGGTCTGCTTGGGGTCGGGGAAACCTTCAAAACAATGGGGAACGACCCTGGTATGCGGGGATCACCATCCTATGAGAGTCGAGGACTACCCATGGCGCATACGCCACCGACACACTGACAGACGCCCGGCCGCTCTTGCTCTTGCTCCTTCTGCTTGCTTGCGCGCACGCGGGCAATTCCACGGAATTTTCGATCGGCCGACCGGCTTTGAATTCAAACATGTTGTACCTGATTACCTGCACCATGGCATATCAGAGATACATCTCGCTTATGCCACGTGCGAACCCTCACAAGGAATTTTCTCTCGCAATCATTCTTGCGCAAAGAACACCACCAAGACAATGGGCAACTTCAATCGAGGTTATGCCACGGGCCTGCAGGGCAAATGGCTGCAAGCCGGCATCACGTTATGCTCAGCCTGGGCTTTCACCCTCTTTGGGTAGGTCAAGGTTCTCAAATTGCGAGACGAAGAAGTCCTGACGCCTACAGATATGACCAGGGCGTACTCGGCGGCCTCATTGCACTGCCGAACTTCCTCGAAAGCAATCGGATGGACCCCAAAGACGCCGAGCTGCAAGGGACCGTCGTTGCGATCTACAGCGTCGGCTGTTTCACCGGCTGTCTGATCATGGCGTTCATAGGAAAGCTGCTTGGACGTCGAATGTTCATCGTCATCGGCGGTCTTCTCATTCTGCTCGGGGCAGGCCTGCAGACTGGCTCGCATGGCGTTGGATACTTGATTGGTGGACGAGTAATTGCTGGCATTGGGATGGGTGAGCATCCCATCCAATGACGACCACAACAGCATCTAATACCAAGCAGGCTTCAATTCGACCATGGTACCGATATGGGTTGCCGAAACATCGAAGCCGCGAAGTCGTGGTGCATTGGTCGCCGCACAACTCACCGTCGTCATCCTGGGAGTGGTCATCGCTTATTGGGTAGACTACGGAATGATCGAGAACTATGTCGGCGATATCGTCTGGCGCTTCCCAATCGGCTTTCAAATGGTCTGGATAGGGCTCTGTTTCTCGATGATCTTGTTCCTGCCCGAGTCACCACGGTACAGCCCGCCAAAGGAATGGAAGGAATTGCGCTGATACATTCACAGATGGCTTCATGCAAATGGACATCATGACGACGCCGATGCCGTGATGGCGAGGATCTACAGCGTTCCTGTGAGTGGAAAGGAGGTCGCCATGCACCGCCGAGACATCCTGACTGCGCTCGACTCGGAGCGTGAGTTCAAGTTCACGTGGAAAACTCTGGTCCACGATGACTCCGGCCTGAATGTCACATGGCGTCTGTGGCTTGGTGTTCTCACGCAGTTCTTCCAACAGATGAACGGTATGTACAAATTTCCAGCGGACTCTTCCAGTAGAGCTCGAGTCGGCAACGATGGCTGACAGACACACAGGTAATAACATGGTCTCGTACTACGCAACGTACCTCTTCATCAACTCCCTTGGCTACGCACAGAGTCGTGCAGCATTGATGGCAGGAGGAGTGACGCTGCTCTTCTTCGGGGGCACCGCGACCACAATCTACACTGTGGAGCGTTTCGGGCGTAAGTCACCCCTCAAACACAACATCGACTCAAGCTAAGCGAAGTGGCAACAGGTCGATTCGTCTTCCTTTGGGGAGCCGTCATGTGCTCGCTCTTCATGATCCTCTTCACAGTCGGTCTGGCAGTCAACAGTCCCTCCTCCCTCAACCTCGCCCTGGTCAGCATCTTCCTGTTCGAGTTCTTCTTTGGAGCATCGTGGTGCCCGATGCCGTGGGTGTACGTCCCCGAGATCGCTCCGCTCCACGTCAGACACGTCGGAACAGCGATGGGAACATTCACGCAATGGTTCGTCACATTTATCGTGGTGAAGTTCGGACCCCAGGGCATTACACAGGCTGGCTGGAAATTCTACCTGTTGTTCTGCGTCTTCAACGTCGGGGCGGTCATCTTTGCATACTTCTGCATCCGGGAGACACAAGGAAAGACTTTGGAAGAGGTAAGCGACCCGCGTCTTGTCGATACAATTCTATGAGGGGTGAGTAAGCTTTGCTGACGTTGCACTCTCATCACAGATCGATCTGGTCTTCGCGACGAAGGAGTACAGGCCTATCTTGGAGGCTCGCATACGCGAGAACGGGCAGAGAGCGGAGAAGGAGGCGCGAGATAGTGGTGAAGAGCATGATGATGGTGCGAGAGGGACAAGCAAGACGCTCGTCGAGCATCAGGAAGGTCCGACAAGCAGATTTGAGTCGGTCTGAACGGGCCGCGAATTGACTTTGGCTTGCCCTCCTGCGTGCTGTGACCCTCTTTATCGACTGGGTGCTAGAGGGCTCCTAGGTCTTATCCAGTTACAAATACCAGTTCATGATCTACTCGTTCTTGCTACGACCTGTAGCGCACGTCTGAACATACTGGCAGTGCCTAAAAGTCTCCATCCCTGCTTCTGTGGGCAATGGCGCGTGAGAGGAATAATGATCGAATGCTTGGCGCTGCGGGTACGTGTTTCACCGACGCGTAACAACCAATTTCCAAGGTAGGGCGTCGCTGTACACATCTGCTACAAGAAGCGACTCGCAACCAAGAGCGAGGCAGCTCGCCTGGAGAATGAGAAAGCATGATCAGACGACGCGTGATAAGTCAGATATGCGAAACGAACACCAATGCCCCACATCTGGCGATGTCGTGATCGCGCAAAGCACCCTTTGGCTGACCGTCCGGCAACATCTGGCATGAATTTGTCATCCGTGAGTTGTAGCGATAATCACGACCGCGGTATCACGTAGAAGTTATCGTATAAGGTATGTTCAACACCAAGATCTGAGCAGACCGGCTGGCTCAGCAGTAGCGACCGGTCTCATCGCTACAATCACGACCACCACCATGGCGGAAACACCAGGTAAACAACTTCACCTCACGGCCTTCATGCGGCCTGTGTCGCTGCATACTGGAGCATGGCGATATCCAGGATCATATCCCGACGCCAACTTCAGCCTTAAGCACTTGAAGTCGTTCATTCAGAAGCTTGAAGCTGCCAAGTTTGATGCATTCTTCATGGCTGACCACCTGGCGGTTCTGAACATGCCTGTCGAGGCATTGAAGCGAAGTCACACAGTCACTTCTTTCGAGCCCTTCACTCTGCTCTCGGCACTCTCACAGGTGACGGAAAGGATCGGTCTGGCGGCGACCGCATCAACGACGTATGATGAGCCGTACCACATTGCCCGCCGCTTTGCATCACTGGATCATCTGTCTGATGGCAGAGCGGCGTGGAATATTGTCACGACTGGAAACCCCGAGAGCGCCAAGAACTTCGGTCGTGATGAACATATGGATCACTCAGATCGCTACAAACGAGCACGCGAATTCTACGACGTGGTCACCGGCCTATGGGATAGCTTCGCGGATGACGCGTTCGTGCGTGACGTGGAATCTGGGACCTTCGTTGAGCCCGAGAAGATTCATACCCTCAACCATGTAGGAGATGAGCTGAAGGTCAAAGGGCCATTGAACATCGCCCGACCAGTCCAAGGATGGCCAGTCATCGTCCAGGCAGGTCAGTCGGAGCCCGGTCGGCAACTTGCAGCGGAGACAGCGGAGGTTGTGTTCTGCTCGCCGCGGGACTTGCCGGCAGCCAAGGCTCTGTACGATGACATCAAAGGACGTGCGAAGGCTGCGGGCAGAAATCCGGATCACATCAACATCTTGCCAGCAGCGCTGTTCATTATCGGCGACACGGTGGAGGAGGCACAGCAGAAACGGCTCAAACTGGACAGTTTGGTACACTACGACAGTGCCATCTCATCGTTGTCAATTGCGTTGGGAACAGATGCTTCCGGGTTCGATCCGGACAAGCCGCTGCCAAAAGACCTGCCTGAGACGAATGCAAGCAAGACGAGTAGGGAGGGCACAATCAAGCTCGGTGAGAAAGAAGACTTGACAGTGCGTCAACTGGCATCACGGCTCGGCGGGCAGGGCGGGTTAGCATTTCTGGGTCCACCAGACAAGATCGCAGACGAGCTCGAGGTTTGGCTTCGTGAGGGAGGCGCGGACGGGTTCACGGTGACATTCCCATATCTTCCGCAGGGCTTGGATGATGTGGTTGAGCGCTTGGTGCCAGAGCTGCAGCGGAGAGGGTTGTTTCGGAAGGACTATGAGGGTACGACATTGAGGGAGCATTTGGGTTTGCCGCGGCCGGAGAATAGGTTTTTCACAAAAACTACGTAGATGCATGGTTTTGTTGAATTGGTATGATTGCTACACAATTTGTGACTTGTTTTTTCAGGGGGCCCTTCATGGACACAACCTGTAAGTTCCCTGTCTCAAGAGGCCTTCATGTGGCCGATTTGTGAATTCTTGTGTCAAGATGCCTTCATGGGCTCATGTTGTGAATTCTTGTTCTCAGGCGGCCTTCATGGGCTCGATTGTTGATTTCTTATCTCAATGGGTCTCAATGGACTCATACAAGGACAATACTCTCAGGGAGGCCCTCATGGGCTCTGATGTGTGGGGCCAAGAGATCTAGTTCGCACAATTAGTACACGTACGTGGGTCTGGGGAGGCTTGAAACGTACCAGACATTCTTGTCAAATGCGTCATCGAACTCTTCAGTTGTCTTGCCAACATAGAAGCAATCGTCACCGTAGATGACCTCGCCTTCGGCATCGAGACCCTCGAAAGGCAGGAAGAACGTATTACTGTTCTTCCAGCGAGCCAGGATAGTCGGGCCAGGCAGAGAATTACCGGTCACGACCACGACGCCACGGACATCTTGATGACCCGGGCCGGCTGAGTGTTTGTGGCATGAGTAGAACTTGGCGGTGAGACGTTCTTCGGTATCGAGCATGTAGTAGTGGAATGGCTTGCTTGGATTGTTCTTCGTGGCTCGGCTGTTCAGAGCGCTTCGTCTGCCTACAAACCAGTCGTTGGCTTTCAGGGGGCAGTGATCACCGGTGGCGAGGACGGCTTGCTTGATGTCTTCCGGCATGTCGTCAGAGAAGCTCCAGTCGTACTGTTGTGGCTTAGGCTTGCGGTGGATGATTCCAGTTGCTGGACGTAGTGTAGCAGTCTTGCCCATCCATGTAGCAGTCTTGCCCTTGCCTGGGCGTAGTGGAGCCATTGTGTGATTGTGATTGTGAGTGTAGTTGTGATTAGAGGTAGGTGGTCGCGCCAGGCAAAGATTGGGTGGGTGGTCGCGCCGCGTGAAGATTGAAATTCAAGAGCAGAATTTCAACAAACGCGTTGCCGCGCTAGCCTGATTGAAACGCATGACTCACTCCCATCTCGTTGCTATGCCGTTGCTGTCCCGTGAGTTGTAAGTGACGCTGAAGTGAGATGCACATGATGAGGCTTGCGACCTCCAGAACTGAACATTTTCGTCTGAGGGGCCTCCCTGGCAGGTCGGCTCGCACAAACCCGACCCATCGTTTTGGATGTGCTTCGGCAGGAACTTCGGTCTGCTAAAGCTTGCTTGCGTCGCAAGGATCGTGCAGACGAGCACTCGCGGTCGAATCCTCATCTCGCGGCTCAAAGCTTTCCAGCATGGCGGACAGAGATCGTTCGGGCGGAGCCTTGCGCATGCCTTCCATCAGGTCGTCACGTACTGTCGCAAGATGCGTTAGTGACGAGGTTCTGGGCGGCAGCCTCTGCCAATGCTCACCATTGCCCGAATGAGCGATCAGCTGTTCTACCTGTGGTTGCTCCCACTGCCGATCTGGACCATGATAGAAGGGAACAAGACCCTGCTCCGAAGATGGGTGCTATGGCTGCACTTCGTGAAGCGAGTTTCCCACCGACGGCTGCTTTGAAGGTAATGTTTAGGGGGCATTGTTGCTCAGCGTATGTACCCTTTCGGGTGTTTTGCTGCAGTACTGGTCACACTGCTCGCTGCTCAGATCGGACTCAACAGCCTTCATGGATCGGTCAGCATAGTCAGCTGCTTCGCGTGGTCGCTAGCAACAGTCTCAGAGGTATTGCTGGTCGCTGTAATGCCGGCCGAGTCACATCAGATTGGGACGCATCGAGATTCATTGCAGCCAACCACGACGAACGATCTACGAGCATGATATGCCTCGATGCATGTATTTTAGGCGACGGCACTGACGACAATGAAGACTTGAGCCAGCAGACACGGTCGGTTTGCGCTGCATGCCACAGGCTAGGTAAGGATATGAGTGCGAAGCTGTCAACGAGAATTTATATAGATTTGGAGAGGAATTTGAGGACACGTAACTCCGAAACCATTCACCCCTGTTTTGATCTTAATTTACTCCTGCTTGCTTCTCTTTCCCGTCTCCTCTTTATTACTCGGACATCCAAGGTACAATTGCGACGTCCTCGATGGTGCGGACCAATTAGGCGCCCTCCGCCATGCGTTGGAACAGCTTGAGCAACTCCCTCGCGCCATCGTCACGATACGCAACTTCCTCGATCGTTCTGCTCTTTCGGATAAGATCTTGCCCTCTGGCAAACATGTCCATCTCATACTCGGCCAACGCTTTCTCAATGCCATCACTTACAGTCTCTTCCCCTATACTGCTGCTCCCGCAATGGCGAATGATAGCATCAGCAAGCACCACCGCATCTTGCATGCTGCAATTAACGCCTTCTCCAGCGAAGGGAGTACTGCAATGAGCTACCGGAGACTGATGTCAGTATGCAGGAGTCAGGAGTAACATCGGACGTACCTGCATCTCCAAGCAGCGTCAGTCCTGGGGATATACGGCGTGTCCATCCCACTTCTTCTGGATCGAAGCAGTACAGCGGCCACAGTCTGAACGGCCCTTCGGCGAGTTCGACAAATTGCTTGAGCTTTGGTGACCACGAACCAAAGAAGTCCGGTCCGCGGAAGCACTCACGCATGCATTCGGTCATCGATGTCTCGTCCCCGCAGAATTGCTTCTGAAAATCCTCCTCCACTTGCAGGCCAAAGTAGACTCGGTAAGTACCGTCCGCGACCTGTTGCACATTCAGATTCTTGCCCTGTCCCAAAGCCATCATGTTTCCGGATCCAGCCATGTCTTGAGCCGCCGAGTATATCGCGCTATCGCATGGAACTCGGCCCTCGATGAACATCTTGCCTGAGTATCTTGGATTAGCAGGTGTGATCTGGCATCTGCGTCAGCATTCTCCCTCTTGCGACGATACGCTATGGTTACCAAGCTTCGGACTCTGCTCCAAGTCCCATCCGCGCCAACAATCAGATCGAAACCTGAAGTCGAAGTGCCATTCTTGAACTGGATCGTATGGCTCTTGGCCGCGGCTCGAGTCCCAATCCCGGTGATCCGATTAACACTCGCAACGCCGTGACCCCATCGGATCTTCTCAATTGGTACCGAATCTAGCAATAGCTGCCGCAACTGAATCCGGTCGATCTCTGGCCTCGATTGTGCTGCTTGTCGAATGACTGTGGTTGCCTGTGGGTCCACAACATGAATACAAGATGCATCCCACCGAGCTAAGTGGTTGCTGAACTCCTCGAACAGACCGGCACGCTTGAGTGCCAATTGTCCGGTTGCTTCATGCAGGTCGAGCGTGCCGCCTTGTTGGCCTGGTCCAGGTGTCTCTGAAGCGTCGCGCTCGAAGACGAGGTAGTTGGTGAAGCCATTCAACTCGAGCAGCCGAGCGAGCAGGAGTCCAGACGGACCGCCTCCGATGATTGCTATCCGCGGTTGGTCGGGCATTGCTGAGTCTCCGGTAGTGATTGAGCTCCAAGAGATTTCAATGAGGGTGCAGTCCACCTGCTGCGGCCAAGTCCTCGGGCCGCATTTATACTATTCACAAGGTCGTCTTGGTTTCGTTTCGGTATCAGGGAGGCTGCCGCTCATTCACTCTCCTAGTCCTATCCTAGTCACAGTCCCGCTCACAACAAATCGGACAACTCTGTGACGGGCCCGAAGGTCGAAAAGCGGCGAGCAATCAAGCCTAAAGAGGCGTGGACGAGCTGACTCACCTGCCACCGCATGATTTCTGCGACCTTCATAGGCGGCCTTCGGACCTGGCAGACACCCCAGCGCCCATCCCCCTTGCCCTTTCTTGCTTCGGGCTCATCACCGGCCGAGACGCAACTGGCTTGACCGACTGAAGTGCACGACAGTGGTGTATATCCGCAAAAGAAACATTATTAGATGGCTGCTCCAGGCAGATGGGAGTATGTCTAACGGTGTTCTCGGTTTTGCGCGCCACGCGGTATGGACTGACCCCAGAGGCCTTCTGTACGGACTAGTCTGTGACAAGCTGCTGACATACACGAAGTGCGACTACTGCCGCTCGAGGAAAGTAAAGTGCACCAAGGAGAAACCAAAATGCAGCGCGTGTCGTCCATGGCCTGGGCCGTGTGTATACGCCCACGAATGCGCTAGGAAACGCAGAAGACTCAACAATGGCAAACGTCAAACCTCAAGCCGTCATTCTGGCGAACAACCTCCCCACGGCACAGATCAACCAACATTGTCGACGCCGGAGCCGCGTAATTCCGCGACGAGCACCCGTACGGACAACATAGTCGCACCGGCGGATACGGGCCAGATATCGAGATCAACGGCATACTCGCTGTCTTTCCTCGATGTTGCTCTTGGCGGCGTCGAACCGGCAGATCGAGTTGCAGTGCATGAAGGCCTCCAGGCGTTATCAAGCACGCTTAACGGCTCCAACATGAATGCTGCTATCAATGCGCCAAACACGAAGACTTATGTGGTGCCGTCCAAACCTACGGGCTATTCCATGATAGGTCACTTCCTCGAACTCGCGGAGATGAGCCAGCCATTCATGATTGTACCTTCTGAGGACATCATTCGCGCCGTCGTCTTTGAACCCGACACAGTCGCGGTCGGAGAGCCCGCTTGGATCGTTACAGTCAATTACAATCTACTTGCAGCCTCACGGGACTCCTCCCGGCCATGCTTGCCCGATGCCGACCTGCGTCACAACATGCAGCTTGCGTTGAACCACAGCAGCATTTTCCTCAAGCCCTCTGAGGCGAATGTACAGGCGCTGGCACACCTTGCGCTGCACGGCGAGGACTTTGCTACGCCAAATGTATCGTGGCTGCTACTCAGCCATGCTTGCCGACAAGCCGAGGTGATCTCGCTACACGTGCCTGACCAAGCGAGACCACAGGAGTCCGAGCAGAGACTTTGTTTGTTCTGGCTGTTATTTATCATCGACAAATCATGCGCCCTGGCATTTGGCCGTCAGCCCTTCTTGTCCAGCTCTGCCTATTCGAATGTGCCGCTTCCCAGCCACGATACACTCCGTAGCTTCCAGCCACACAAGAGTACTGTCTTTGGAGGCGAAGGATCCCAGAGCACTGAGGATTTCGTCACTGGAGCTCACTTTCTGACAACAGGCATTGCGTTCGCCCGCCTTATCGGCGGCCTCGTCGAGCGAGGAATAAACTCAGCTCCTATACTGAATGTCCAAGAGCAACTCAAGGAATGGGCTGAAGCGGCCTTCAAGGTGTGTTTTTCTCGTACTGGCTTTAGTCTAAAGACTGTCACTGACGATACAAGCCACTGAACACTGCGATGCTTGAGTTAACCGAATCTGGCAACGCTGCCCAGCAGAGAGAGGTCTCCCTCGGAATCATGACTCTGCAGTTTCAGCATTTGCACGCGCAGGTTGTTCTGCTAAAATACTTGCCAGAAGCAGCGGCACTGCGACTGGATTGCGCCCGCGGCATGCTTGAGCTGCTTCCGTCTGTGGTCTCGAACCATACGTCAGTCTACAATGGGGTAGTCTGGTAAGTGTGGCACTGTTCCCAATATCAATACTGACAAGGTGGGTAGGCACCTCTTATACTATCCCTTTGCAGCGTTCTTTGAGGTCGTCGCACACGTTATGTCCTCCAGCTCGTCGCCTATCCTCCACAGCGATATCCGACTACTGCAATCCTTGCCTACGTACTTCGCGGAAATGCGTGGTCAGATGCGTGGCGCCCTAGTGAGCGTCTGTACCAGACTGCAGGACGTTGCTGCAAAGTTTGTCTACCTGGCTGAAGGCCGTGTCTCCAGTACTGCTCCGTCAGATACGGTGGCATCGCACCCACGGCCAACGAAATCGGGGCGTGGGCCAGGCCACGACCACACGCAAGGAAAACATGCCCGCGAAGGACTCTCGGGAATAGCTCGTTCTTTGCAGTCTGACGAGACTAGTACAGCGCGCGATGATAACAATGTCGCCCACGGGATATTGTCGTCGACAGCTTCACACAGCGACAACCTAGAAGAAGCGGACACATTGCGAATGGACTCTAACTTTGACTGGTTCGCTTGGGATGCATACTACAGTACACAGCCAAACATGCTTCTGTGATGCGTGGACGGAGGAGCGGAGGTCGTTGGAGTAGATGGGTGGTCGATAACAATATTGTGCCTGGTCAGTAGTCAGACCGGGATGACGCGGGTCGCTGATAGAGATTCCTTCAAATACTCGTGCCGTCCGACTTCAAGTTCCCCAGGCCCCAGCTTGCTAGTCTTGTTATAACGTGATCGGTGCCTTGATATAGGCAAACGGAAGAAGATCTGGGTACGTCCACCACTGGGCCTCCGATAAACAAGTACGATGGGATTTGGCCAAGTAAAATATAACTGTCGTCAGTCAAGCAGCGCTGCAACTCTGTTTTCGGGCGTTGTGTCCGTACTATGTCTTGCGTAGCGATGCGCTTGCTGTGTGCTTGTGGATGTCCTGCCATGGCTTGCTGCTGTGAGCCTACAGGTGAGAGAACGAGATGGACGTTTGATTTCATGTCAGTAAAAATGCTAGGAGCTATCAACCGGCTCGATTTTGAAGCCTGTCATCCGGTCTGCGATGCGCTACGAATGAGCGGGCCGGATATGAAATCCGCTAGTTCCGGGATATAGATGGCGGCATCAAAAGTTTCTTGACGCGACAACCAAGTTTCAGCGATACGAACATTGTACTCGAAGGTGCACCGAGACTCGCCATGCCCCTGATACTAGAGTCCTACGACTCTCTGCCCTGTAAGCAGACCGACCTCCATACGAGAAACGGACTGACGATCCTTAGACATCGACACAGAGATCTCTGCCGCAGCCCGCGAGAAAGCTGATAGAGAATTGCGGCGGGAACTAAAGTCCGTCGACACAGCTGCTCAACATCCTCTGTTGCCTGCGCAGCGCCAGCCTCAGTTTTCCGAGCTGGTAACCAAAGAACTTGAGAGGCTTGCGGCCGGGCAGCCACGCGAAGGTGGCATAGACCTGTCCAGGTACCAAGAGTTGGATGAGCCGTCAGAGGACAATGATGCTGCTGCATGGCGAGAAGCTCTGCGTGCTGCATACACCTCAAGCACTCTGCTCAAAGGCCGCCATACCAATTTGACACTTTTGGAGGAACTGGGCAAGAATGCGTGGCTCATGGGCAACTCGCAGCTTGACCAGATACTCAAGGCACTCGACCAGGAGCTCTCTGCGACGAAAGAGGAAGTCGACAGCGTAAATCGAGAAAGGAAGTCCGCTCAAGAGGCCTCGAAAGGGGAGTTGGACGCCTTGGAGGATACCTGGAAGAAAGGTATTGGACGTCTGATCGAAGTCCAGCTGGCTGCAGACCAACTACGGACCGATTTGCGTGGCCGTTGACTGATCATTGTCGAAGATCGGTGCTCATGCACAAGTCGTGCCTCTGACTGCGTACACCGAAGTGCAGCACCATATCCATAATATTCACAGACTGGGCAAAGGTCCGGCCATCTACTGCATGGGCAAGTGCCCGGCAGCTTCATCCTGGCGCCTACGTTGCCAAAGTCGGTATCTACGCCCTCCACCGGTGTTTGTACCGACGCAGGATGTTTGCGATGCCAAGACGAATCGGTACACGCAGGTTTAAGCAACGAGCACGACCATACGGTACCAAAGACCGCCCTATCAGTCATCAGGACCTCCGGCTGCCGGTCTCGAAGCTCATGAGCCCAGATTGCTGTATTAGATCGAGAACATGTAGGTATTCTCCGCTGGAAGACGGCAGACAGGCCGAGCCACGATCCAGAGTAAGAGAATCCGGCTAATCATCAGATGGATCAGACCACCGACTGCTGTGTGGACCTGGGAGGCAAATTATCCCTGTCCAAACGCAAGCATGAGTGCCCATCAGACTGACCAAGTCGCCTGAATAGATGCAAGTGCGAAGTTCAGCCACGCACTTTTGGCCTAGCCTGGGCTTCCCCGCAGTCTTCAACGGCTCTTGGAGTTTCATCAGCTTACCGTCAGCCATCCGGCCAGCGCTGCGCCATGAACATGGAGTTCAATCTACCAATGCCGTGTGGACTCACATCCTCGCAGTCACGGATGGCGGCCACGACCGTACTTTCTGGGTTCCACCATATGCATGCCCCGCATCTCGGGTCTGCAATCCGAGAGGCTACTCCCATAGGAAGTTTACGCATTATGTCTTTTCCTATAGCATGGCCGAATTCACTACCAACCACATTGTTGGCGCGGAAGCCAAAACACACGCGTCTACCTTTGATACTGAGGACCCCTGCGTGTATTTCCGGTATCCGGTAGGGCTTGAAAAGGTACAGTTGACGTTCGTTGGCCTTGTGAAAATGCTGGTGGTAGCGGACGGGGTGAGACGCTACACCTGCCGTCTGGCCTTGCCCGCTTGAACGAATGATTACTGGTGTCCTCCGCACGGTCAACGTCACAAGCGAGACTCCTGCAGTCTTGGGCAGTATACTCACTGGCTCCCCTCAAAGTCACTTGCATGAAAGCTGGGGCTCCGCACAATACTTGGAGTTTTGCATGCGGCATGGCAAGGATGTCGTCGCGGGTCAAGGGTAAGATGTTGCCGTCTGAGCCCAGCCGTCATTGAGGATTGGCTCGAGGGAGCAAGAAGCTCCTCAATTTGAGGAACGTCCCCGTCAGCTCCCCTCATGGCGCTGAGCATTACGCGTTTTGGGACCTTGAGCTCTTCGTCCGCGTGCGGGGAGGTTCCAAATTCGATGGAATCAACAGATGGACAAGTATATCTACTTGAAGAGAGGTACTCAGCTTCACCCTCTCTTCGTCACAATCTATTCACTTTACCCTTCCTGTGAGACTATTTGATCAAGCAAAATGACTGTTCCGGACGAGGTTGATATTATCGTGTGCGGTGGTGGCTCCTCAGGATGTGTTCCTGCAGGTCGTCTTGCGAATCTCGATCACAAGCTTCAGGTATTGCTGATCGAGGCTGGCGAGAGCAATTTGAACAATCCATGGGTGTACCGTCCGGGCATCTACCCGCGGAACATGAAGCTTGACTCGAAGACGGCAACGTTCTACTATTCGCGTCCATCGGAATGGCTTGATGGCAGGCGTGCTGTTGTGCCGTGTGCACACATTCTTGGAGGTTAGGATGCCGGACAGATGGTCGGGCGATGACTGACTGGGCTACAGGTGGCAGCTCGATCAACTTCATGATGTACACGCGTGCGTCTGCATCGGACTAGTGAGTGTCCCCACCGCGCGGGCTCTGGCCTTGGTCCTAACCTTCTCACAGTGACGACTTCAAGACCAAAGGCTGGACTACCAAGGAGCTCATCCCGCTCATGAGAAAGCACGAGACGTACCAGAGAGCTTGCAACAACAGAGACATCCACGGCTTCGATGGCCCCATTAAAGTCTCGTTCGGTAACTATACCTACCCAATCATGCAAGACTTCCTGCGTGCTGCAGAAAGCCAAGGATTTCCCGTGACGGACGATCTCCAGGACCTGACTACTGGCCACGGAGCGGAACACTGGCTCAAATGGATCAACCGTGATACTGGCCGCAGATCTGATGCTGCGTCAGCATATATTCACTCCACGCGTGCCAAGCACCAGAACTTGCATTTGCAGTGCAACACCAAGGTTGACCGCGTCATCATCGAGAACGGTGTTGCAACAGGGGTGGTCACTGTCCCGTCCAAGCCTGTCGGCGGTTACGACAACGTACCACGCCGCACATTCAAGGCTAGGAAGCTGATCATCGTTTCCTGCGGTACACTGAGCAGTCCTCTGGTCTTGCAGCGCTCCGGTATCGGTGACCCAGAGAAGCTTAAGAAGGCTGGTGTCGATACCGTTGTTGACCTTCCTGGTGTTGGTCTGAACTTCCAGGACCACTACCTGCATTTCTCAACATTTCGTGCCAAGCCCGAGACCGAGTCGTTCGATGACTTCGTCCGGGGGGACCCTGAGGTACAGAAGCGAGTCTTCGATGAATGGAACCTCAAGGGTACTGGCCCATTGGCCACCAACGGTATTGAAGCTGGTGTCAAATCTCGTCCAACGAAGGAGGAGATGGAAGAGATGAAGAATTGGCCTACCAATGACTTCGTTACGAAGGGCGGTTGGGACTACTTTAAAGACAAGCCTGACAAGCCTGTCATGCATTACTCGGTCATTGCAGGGTGAGTTTCCCCTCCCACCTGGCTGAAAGTCACGACTAATACCACCCAGATGGTTCGGTGATCACCTTGACATGCCACCTGGGAAGTTCTTCACTATGTTCCACTTCCTGGAATATCCGTTCTCCCGTGGCTTCACGCAGATTACCTCTGCTGACCCATATGCTCCGCCCGACTTCGACGCTGGCTTTATGAATGACAAGAGAGACATGGCTCCTATGGTTTGGGGCTACATTCAGTCCCGTGAGACGGCAAGACGCATGCACGCATATGCCGGAGAGGTCACTGCTATGCATCCACAGTACGCATACAGCTCAGATGCACGTGCTCGCGACATGGACATGGCTACACGCAATGCATACGGTGGGCCGAACCACATTACTGCCAATATTCAACACGGCAGCTGGACCATGCCTGTCGATAGCGGTGAGGGACCACAGCCGAACTTGCTCAACTCTAACAGCCAGACCTTGTACCGCCCGCTAAAGTATTCGAAGGATGTAAGTCTACTTCATGTTCCTCCGAACTATTAAGCTAATCATGGTCTCAGGACATCGCTCATATTGAGAAATGGGTCCAACGCCACTGCGAGACCACCTGGCACTCCCTCGGTACCTGCTCCATGGCACCACGCGAAGGCAACGATGTCGTGAAGCATGGTGTGCTCGATGAGCGTCTCAATGTTCATGGTGTCAAGAACCTCAAGGTCTCTGATCTGTCCATCTGCCCTGACAACGTTGGCTGCAACACCTTCTCAACTGCGTTGTTGATCGGCGAGAAGTGTGCTGTGCTTGCTGCTGAGGACCTCGGGTACTCTGGTGATGCACTGGAAATGCGGATTCCGACTTACCATGTGCCGGGAGAGCTATCTGGCTTGTCGAGGATCTGATTGATGTGCCGTGCGCTGGGCTTTAGCCGCCAATGACTTTGACGACAGTGATGCTGTTGACTACGATGATGAGCGATTGAGCATATTGAGCACAATGACGAGTTGATGAAAGATACTAGTCTACGAGAAACGAAAATAGTAGTCACTCCTTTGGTGATATTTTGGTCCGGTATTATTAGCTTCTCCTCCGCACCTTCCTGTTTGACTTGACTTTGCGGAGGTTGATTGTAGGTAGACGTCGTCCCACCGATCAATTCTGTTATCGTGCATGACACTGCCTTCCTGATGCTGGTTACTGTCTACAATTTTCGCGTCAGAGGCCCCCTGTACTTATGATTCCTTCTGAAAAATCAAACACAATGTTTTGATGCCTTTCACAGCTTGACATGCGAGTCGTTCGCGACGCGGGTACGGGTGGCGCCGGAGGTCAACAGTCGGCAGTTGTCGCTTCGTATCGAACCTTGAATTCCAGATAACGAATGGCTGCTACAACAATTGGCCTGTTTGCAGCTGTGCCTAACCTGTGGCCAACATCAACATCGAAGGCCTGCACCAACACGCGTGTACACAACCTCGAATGTCACTCTCAACGGCGCTCCAGCTTCCCGCACAAGGGGAAGACGCCAAATGCCGATCGTGTGTGTTCTTACCGGGGCAGAAACCCCAAAGTGGCTTGAACGGCTCACGCTTGGCAGCAATGACCCTTGCCAGGCCGACGTCATGCCTGGAGAAAATGGAACAAGCCGTCTTCGAGATCAGCAAGGAATTGCCAGCAAATCTTCGATTTCGAGGTGGTCTCATTTTGTCGGGCGCCTACAATTGGCTCGAGGTACTTGTGCTTGCCTATCAATGCACGCCTTTGGGGGTTAACCAGGACAAGGCTCTTTCGCTTGGATGTTGACGGTCCGCCAACTTCTGTTCGCTGCCGTCATTTTTCGTGATGGCCATGCCTGACAGGAGCTCGAGCGGAAACGTTGTTATCTGTTCCAAGTGCTTTATATCTATGTACTTTGCTGTACATTCACGTTCAGGTCAGCACCGCATTGTCGAGGAACATAACATCTAAGAATATTCTTGGTACGAATGGAGGCCTGAGACATTCTGCGCGCCGCGGATATGGCCACAGCCACTCAAATCCCCGCTACCAGGAGTCAAGACCCCACAGAGAGACCCCGAATGAATCAGTACGACTCGCCTCACGAGGGCGATGCTGAGCATTCTCTACGCGACGTTCCTTCTTCGTTGTCGAGCGCGAGTAGTGACAAACCATTATTACCATCAGCAGTCAGCTCGACCTCTTCAATCGATTTGACCTCAGAGAAACCACCTCGTCGGCGCAGTTCTGTATTCTTTGAGGAAGGACTGAAGGGCGAGGATGCGATAGTAGACGCCAGAGTAAGGCGATTGAGCCGACCGAGCCTACGAGTCCGATTTCGAAGTAAGACCGACATTTTCGAGCGGCCAGCGGACGCGGACGACATACCGATTCCAGTCAACGAGATGCCTGCATTATTCCCGACGTTTCAGAGGCTGCTGTTCTTCGTGCTCGTCCTCGTGGTGTTTGTGCCGAGTTTTGGCGGTTCGTCGTTCTTCAAGGCTGGCATTACACCCATCGGCGCAAAAGCAGGAGTTGTGAGGGTGCCAATAGAAAAGCAAACAAAGGCACTGCCGGCAGTTCAGAAAAGACAGGACACCAGCACCGATACTTGCAAAAGATGGTCCGGTCAAAGCGCTGTTGTGAATGGTACGATGTACTACTATGGCGGCCGAGCCTCGACATCAGCAGATCAGACTCAGAATGAGTGGAGTGCGTTCTCATTACTATGAAGGTCTTGCAGCAGCTGACAATTATCGCAGACAACGATTTCCTTGCCCTCGATCTTACGAAGACATGGCAGATCTCAACACCATCTCTAACAGGCCTACCAAAGCCTTCTGGGGTACCCGCAGTCTCGCTTGGCTATCTTTGGAATGACTACAACAATCTCTACCTCTATGGCGGCCAGTTTTCCGACTCACCAGCCGAGTCACCTGCTCCGTTCTCGGTCTGGCAGTATGACATTGCTGGGTCGTCATGGACAGAACTTGACAATGACGAGACAGCTGGCGGCGAAAATGCTGAGGCCTCCGGTCAGACTGTTCAACGCGCCGCCGAAGGCGCCGGCATCACGATCCCATCGCTGGGACGTGGGTATTACTTTGGAGGTCATCTCGATGGCTACACTGTTGAGGGATGGTCGCAATCTGTCGCTCGCGTGTATTTGACCTCATTACTTGAGTACACCTTCCCGGGCTATTCCAACAAAGCCGTGAACAACGGCGCGGCGGCTGGCTCAGGTGGACAATTTCGAAACATTACCAAAGGTGGCGTGCAGGGATCGGCTGGCTTCCCGGAACGTGCCGATGGCACACTCGTTTACATTCCCGGCTACGGCGCGGAAGGCATCCTCCTGGGCCTTGCTGGCGGGAATAATGCTACGTTCACGCAACTTAACATCATCGACGTTTACGATATTGCTACTTCTTCATGGTACCGACAGGCCACATCAGGACCGAGCCCGAAAGTCCGCGTCAATCCCTGCGCAGTAGTCGCCAGCTCTGCCGATGGTTCAAGCACAAATATGTACATGTTCGGTGGGCAAGATCTCAAAGAAGGGTCGCAAACGCAATACAACGACATGTGGATCCTTTCCGTGCCGTCCTTTACCTGGATCGAAGTCGACATGTCGGAGCAATCGGTGCCGCCGGCACGTGCAGGCCACTTGTGTGCAGCCTGGAACAGCCAGATGATCGTGTGGGGCGGCGTTGGCTCGGAATTGAGCTGTGACAGCCCCGGCATCTACGTCTTCAACATGAGCTCACTGGCTTGGCAGAATCAATACACTGCCCTGGAGGGTGGAATGGACGACAAGCTCAATCGGCAAACTGCCCAAGATGACGACGCAGGCGCGTTGGAAGGCTCATACGGCTACGGCGTTCCCGGTCAGGTCCAATCCGTTATCGGTGGTAACGCCGTGGGCGCCGCAACAGTTACCGAACCAGTACAGACACCCACGGCTGGACCGATGGCCACGGGTGAACCGAAAACGTACACAATTACAGGCGCAGACGGTTCTGTGGCAACAGAGACCACCGTGCCAGGAAGCGGCGCTGGTCCAGTCAGCTCTGGCGGCTCTAGCAGCAGCAGCAATGCAGGCGCGATTGCTGGTGGCGTTATAGCAGGTGTGCTGTTCATCATCGCCCTCTACCTCGGCTGGTGTGTGTACGTCTATCGCAAGCAGCTGAAGGTCTACAAGAATCACGTCGCTATGGCGCAACGCCAGCACTTGACAGGAGACACTTCAGGCTCGGCTGGCGCTGGCTTCCTCGCGATCCCTACGTCGGCAGGGAAGTCTAGCAAGGAGAAGAGTCTCACTTCCAGCTCGTACGGAAATAGGACAAGTGACGAAAGGTCGAGTCAGCATAGGGGTGCTTATGCGGCTATGGCTCATAACAGAGGCACCAGCGATAACAGTGTGCCGCCGTTGCCGTTGAGGGAGCCGCAGTACTCGAGTGACGATGATGTTATCCTGGCGCAGGAGCCGAGTTTTGTGGGGATTTTGTTGAATCCGAGGAGGAGTTTGAGGGTTGTGAATCGGGACTGAGCCCGGAAAGGCAATGGCTGAGGTTCGGAATGGGTGACCAGGCCATAATGCCGGCTGTTTTGGGGATCAGGCCTGAGAATGATTGGCAAGCGAGCTGTTGAAAAAGAACCTTCTGTACATATATCACGACTTTGAGCGATTTTTGATGGCAAGCAAGGGAAGAGTACACATGCATGGATGACCTTGAAAGCGAGCATATAATACCAGACGCTTTTACTGCTCACGCGCTCCGACTTGTGGTATGCCCCTCCTCGTGCGTCTGACTAGCCGGGCGCATTCGCCTGTGTACTCGTCCGCGCCAGAACTCTAACAGCAGGATTTTGACAATGGTTTGCACTGGCGTCCTTTCACCTCGCTTGGATTGCGAGTCGCGGACAGGCGGCGGAGTGCACGCCAAGACTCGAAGCAAGTCACGTAACGTCTGCTAAGACATCCGAGATCAAGGTTGCTGTCATGGCGGCCATGAAAGCAGTCGTTGGTTATAGAGCATCGTGATAACAGCTGCACTCTTCATAGCTTAGCACATCCTGGGCATTGGTCGACGACCGATAAAACTATGAGCCGTACAGAATTAGTGCAGCTAGAACCCCGTAAGAGAAGCGGCACAGCCACGCTGCTGCCCAGTCGACGTTGAAACCTATTGCTACCAGATTCCCACAGCGTCACCAACTTCACCGTTTGACTAGCTCTATAAGCCTTTTGACGTTAGGCCACTTTTCGCCCTCCTGCGCATCAAGCATAAGACTTCCCCCGATCCACACCTTGACTGTTTTTTCCTTCCCAAAGTTGGTGTCGCCGCCACAGTTATCATTGTTGACCTCGACCGCGTCGTCTGCATATTTGCCGGTGAAAACCTTGTCAAGTTTGCTACGTGGATCATAGGTCGACTCAAGGGCTGTCCGTAAAGCTCGGTTAAACCTCTTCACAACTTCACTGTTGCGCACCTGCACACCTCCGTACTCAATGTCCCTCACACTACGGTTAAAGTTCATGAACTCATGTTCGAAGACCTGTTGGCAGAGGAGAGGTCTATCGGGTCCATATCGATAGTAAAGCGTGCATAACTTGCGTGCCCCACTCATTGGATCACCACCCAGCTGAGAGTTGTTGATTTCGAAGATGTATTTGTTTGCATTGATAGCGTTGAAAAAGTCCTTGATCACCCGGCGGGCAGTCTCGGAAGTATCGTCATATGCTGCTTTGCCATCGTAGGTGATACACCCACTGCTACCATCATTTGTTCGGCCTTCGTAGGTGATTTGATCGATTATGGCATAGCTGACGGAGCCTCCGCGAGTAGTCGGGTTGTCTGGGTCATACTGGCCTTCCTGATACCATGGCTTACTGGCGGACTGGCTGGCTGGTTGAGCCGCTGTTATGCCAAAGAAAATCATTGTCAGAGGACGGAAGCCGCGTGGCAAAGTAGAAATCCATTGTCCCGAGGAGGCGGGCAATGCAGTTTTATAGCTTTATGGCAAGGAGAATGGTACTTCAAGCGCCCAAAGAGGTCGTCTTCAGATCGGGCATCGACCAACGTGGCTGGCTGAGCAAGCCCTTAGTACGACAGTTTTTGATCCGCCACTATGCTGTCTAGGCTTGATCGATATTGGCCAAAAGCCAAATGCGGCTCGATGAGCAGGCAGAGTCCTAGAGGAGATATCTCTCGCGAAGTGGGAAAGAGCGTCTGTCCCGTGGTTGACGTGCATGCATCTAAAAGCAAGAGCAATTAGGGCTTATGATCAGAGAACAGCAATCGCTTGTCAACGGACCCTCGTGAGAAAGATCTCAACCACTTGTCACTAGCAGGCCCTCCGAACTCGGCAATTTTCCTGCATGCTCGGGACGTGGTGGAGCAAGGACCAGGATATCGGAATAAAATGTACCTGTTACGTGTCAACACCAGAAGCAGTGGCACCAACTAAGGTGTCACCGTCGACCATAGCAGAACCTTTGGATTGAGTGGAGAAATGCTTGATCCTCTCGATGAATGCAAGTCCGCTGTGCGAAGCTCTGTTGGAGGCCCAATAGACAACCCGTGAGCGTATCGAAGACTGCTGAGTCTGCGTTGCTTAGGCCGTGATCGATCTTGTGGCTTATGCACGACGCATTTCGAGCGTAGCCTCGACAGAAGCAGAAGCATCAAGCCTTCCGATATGATGAAACGTGACAGAAGTACTCCTTGAGCGCCGACTGATTCGGTCGACCCCGCAAGCCATCGCGAGGAGGATATCTGAGCTCCTAGTACATGCGACAGAAAGCCCTCACATCATAGGTCCGGAGCAGTGACCGTTGAGGACGGCTCGATGGAATCGCCTTGGCCTTGATTCTAGACCCCTGTAGCTGCAGGAGAAGGTTCGATCGAGCTATACACCGAAGAGACTGGTTGAGATAGACTCGTCAAGTCCTGCCTGCATCGAGGGGACGCGAGCCAGACTCGACTCAAGCTGCGACGAGCTGAGAAAATTGCTCGTGGTCAGCAGACCGTGATAAGCAATGTAAAGCAGCGCCTTAGGGGAAGAAGCTGGCAAGTCCCTGCGCAATGAAATGCACGTGACGCTCGACTGGAGTGCACAGCAAGAGCTGCTTATACGTAGCAGGCATTCGATGAACAACCACCTTCTCTATGCGTAGCAGCCATTCGATAGATTATCAGTCTCTCCGGCGACCTGATCTCCAAAAAGCAAAAACAATCAACAAACGGGATTCGCTAATGGTCACCCACTTAACTACTAACTGTTCGGCGTGTGGCTTATATTGCCTGAGCGGACGGGAAGGCTTGCCAGAGAGTGGGTCAAAAGCCCGTATTTGATGTTTGCCACTCGTGCACGTCATGTAAGTCTGGACGCGAGACGTATTGTTCAGAGGCTATCCTCACTGGACTCGCTGTCGACGGTCAGTATCTCACGCCTCCGCCGCGGCCGCCAATTATCAACGGCAACAGGCTCATACAAACAATGCATCCTCAGCCCTGAGCGATACACCACAATAATTCCCGACGGTGTAAGCGACGATATAGGAGGGCCAGTGATGTGTTCAGCTTCGACGATATATTCCTCGATCAAAGAATCAGGTATTCGACCGGGTCAATGGGCATGTTTCCCCGGCGGCGGAGGAGGAGGAGGAGTGGGTATCCAAGGTGTACAACTGGCTAGAGCGATGGGTCTGCGCTCCATTGTCGTCGACACTGGCGCCGAACGAGCGACTCTTGCAAGAACGTACGGTGCAGAACACTTTGTCGACTTTCGGCAAACATTTGATACCTGCGCTGAAGTTGTGCGGTTGACTGAGGGTGGTGCTCATGCTGTGTTCGTCACAGGTACAATCCAATCCACCATCGCGTTGCAGCTTTACTAATATGTAGCAGCTGTTCAGGCATGCCCGGTTGGACTAGGATATTTCGGGACTAGGATTGGTGCTAAGTTGATGTGGCATGAGTTCTGACAACTTTTTGAAGCAATCACTAACTACTTGCAGCATTGGCATCCCACCGCAGGGCAAATATCACCCGGATGTTGATCCTAGCCACATGACTGCGTTCAATCAACACGTTGTCGGAACTTTGGTCTCTAGCCTTGAAGACATCAATGAAACACTCGAGTTTGCCAGGAGGGGTAAAAACCTTTTGCCAGTCACATTCAGCATGGGCTGTGCGTGCTGACTAGGTGACAGGTCTCCTTGCCCTTCAGCCTACTGTTGTTGGTCTCAGTAAGTTCAACGAGAGTGTGCAGAAGCTCAAACGTGGCCAAGTAGCTGGGTAAGATGTGAAGGTCCGAAGCCCATATTGAGCTGACCCTTACAGCCGTATTATCGGCGAGGGTTAAGGGTTAGGGTTAAATCACTCGCAAGCAAAACATTAGCGACGTTCTTCAAGAGACTGCGTAGCATTTTCCCTTTCAAATCTATTAAGTTGCATGTTACGGAAGATTTGGTATCGCGAGACATTGCTCAGAGATCGTCTGAGCAACTTCGAGCAGAGCAAAAGTTTCAGCTGTCCAAGCTTAGGCCATAGAGGTGTCACATTGTAGATCTGGTTCAGATCTGCTTGACGGTACTACAATAGCCATGTAAGCATATGACGAAAATACAAAGAGCCTTGGGAGCTCCGCTTCTCCATTGTGCGCTCCCGACACACAACCTGATTTAGGCCTTCTTGAAATGGAGATGTGATTTGCTGTACTTATGATTGGTGCGCTTATCGAAGCGCGTTGTTGAAGCGCTAGTCTACCTTCACGTCCGGGCTGAAGTAGCTCGGCCTCATCAGCGAAAGGTTTATCGTAAGACAGTGCGCTTTTGGAGTTTTGGAAGCGTTGGCGCAGTGATGATCATGGAGTTTCTGTCCTCGTCCCCATATGAACCACATTGAAATCGACCGTCTGACAACTCCATTCTGACAGTTCCAGTGATCGCACCCAGCAGCACAACTTCGAGAGGAACGCTCGCACTCTGTCTCAAACATCCAGAAGTTAGGGCTGCAGATCGTATGGCTCTGGGTACAACGCTATCGCAGGTGATGATCTCCCCAAGGACGTTGAAACTGCTGGATCAGGAAGTAGAATGCTCTGCAGGCGGCTTTGAACCTGTCCCGGTAGTATTCGAGAGAGCGGAAGGCGTCAAACTTTGGGTGAGGATCCGAACATCTTTATATCGCCACTACACTAACCACAACACGACTCAGGATGTAGATGGCAAGGAGTATCTAGATTTCATCACCATGTTCAGCGCCGTCAACACAGGGAATCGCCATCCCTATATTCTGCAAAGGGTCATTAAGCGGATGCAAAAATCGACCTTATTCAATCTCGCGGCTCACAACAGTCTTTGGCTGCCTTTTGCAGAGATGATGTGTCGAAGGTTCGGCTACGACAAGATTATCGCCATGACTTCTGGAACTGAGGCTGCTGACACGGCGTGTAAGCTTGCCCGTAAATGGGCTCTCCGGAATAAAAGTATTGTGCCGAGTGAGTGCATCATCTTCGGCGTTGGCCAGTCGTACCACGGCCTAGGGTCGGCTGTCTGGCCGCTGGTGGACCATTCACCGAAGCGACAATCTTACGGCTTGGACGGCTTCGAGTTCGTCATGAACACCAATCCCAGTTCTGGTGAAAGTCTGGTGTACTTGGACATTGACGTGCTTGAGCGTTGTCTGCATGAACATCATCAACGGACATCTGCTATGATTATGGAATGTTTCCATGGGTCTGCAAGAACAGTTGAAGAAGAAATGCGATATGCCAGAGCAACTTATAACCTCTGCAAGACCCACAACATCTGATTCATTGCTGACGAGGTGAGAGCTGGTGCAGGAAAACCGGGAAAATTCTGTTCGTACGAACATTTAGGCAATGACTGCCACCCAGATATCGTGACAATGGGCAAGTCCATAACAGGCGGGTTCTATCCTCAGTCTTTCGTCCTGGGAACTCGCGAAGTCATGACTAATATCGGCGCTTTCGAGATGGCTTCAACTTACGCCATGGCTCCGTTAGCCATAACCGCAGCAGAGGCCACGATTGAAGTCATCGACCGTGAGCGATTGATGGATCGGGCGGCGGAGCTGGGCACGAGGGGGGAAACCATTGTCGCCAATTGGGACCACCCCTTGGTGGACTATGTTGCGTCAATGGGAGCTGATTCGAATCTCTTCCTGAAGCGTCCTTCTGCACGTCGCTGGCTGCACTATGCTTACAAAAGAGTCTACATACCTACCCGCGCCCGGAATCAAAGAGAATAAGACTCAGTTCTCCACTGACGATGAGAGATGAAGAGTTAGATCTCGGAGCTTCCATGATTAGAGAGGCGTTAGAGGAGATGGACACGCAATGTAGCGTGCTAGGAGAGATATACCCATACTAGTTTTTGTGTCTTTGCATTTACCTCCTGTCTGGAAAGTAGGACACGGTTGGCAGCAAATTGAAGGACCACACAGCCAAGAACGGCTGCAATTGTTAGCATGTTTCCCACAGGTGCTCGATGCCGACTCTTGGAATTTAAAACTCGGGTGGTAGACACAAGGAACATTCCACTTTTCGTATCAGACGCTCTCCACGCCTCTGCAATACTTCGCCCCAACACTATATCGCGCAGTTTCTCCTGTTGCTATCAAGACATCTCGCCTATCATCGCATCGAGCAGCAAATTTTCACCTCGCGAAGTCCGAATATTGCAAAGCTATGGCAAGTCTATCGAAAGCTACCCAACAGGTCGATGCGGTCCATTCAGATCTTTTGTGGCTATGTGATTTTTGGAATTGTTCAAAAAGATAGCGTTCTAGATAACTTCAATTTTTGTGCTCCGATAGCCTGGACTTCAATCAGACATAAGCTCGCGGTCTCTAGATTACTACGCCTTTTGGATTAATGCGCCTTAATTTGAAGCACCTACTCGTCCAGGCTGATTGGTTCTGTTGGTTGTTTAATAGGCACTGATGCATATTCACTTATCCAGGCTGAACACAACGCCCAGGTCAAGAGGCTCCACTGTGAATAACCGATCACGCCAGGCCAGCAAACAGTCGAGGAATCGTTCAGGATTTTTAGCTGCATGTGATGGTGCCGTCGAGCCATCTTGCTTTGATGTTGGCTAACTCCATTCTAATTAAAGTTAGTGTAGTCAATAAACAACTTGTACAGATATTGTGGCGCAGTTATCCCCAGTCTCTAGAATTTTGGAGTGGTGGCTGCTAACTAGCTGGTTGAATAGTCTTAGTGTGGGAAGATATAATGATTAGGGCCCAGGGTCATAGATGCATGTATTTCGTGTTATTGCTTACGATCAGAAGCCAGCCTAGAAAAAAGTCTAGCAAGTGCTCAATCACTATATAGGCTTTTGCCCATCTGAACAGTTATCTCTGAGCTAAATATTGCTTAACCATCATTAATTTCTTATGATAGAATATGAAATCACTCATTGCACCCTGGGAATCATTGAATTTCTCTGTAATTACTAATCTATGTATAGAGTGTGAGCATGTTAAAATTGCCTCTAGGTAAAAATATATTGACAGGTTGGAATGCATAGTTACAGTAAGTCCTAGAATAGTTATAGTACTTAGGTAATTCGTATTTAATTAATAAGCTTTATGCTTCACCCTTAATAACAATCTAGTAGACTAGACAAGAGATACCATGCGGATTTAGATAGTCATAATGCGAACTAGCATTAACTAGTCTCGTGGTAGAAGATGTTCTAGAAAAGAATGAAGAGGATAAATTAAAAGTGGAGTATTTAATGGGTGCTTGCTAAGCTTATTATGGGGTCAGATTAGCTACTGATAACTCGCCCTTGGCTTTCGTGTTCTTTAGTTTTTGATCCTCACCAGCGCTTCAAAAGTTCGAAAGCCAAACGTGGAGTTACAGCTAGTAGCTACTACACTCGGATTACCTTCAAGCTTGAGACAAGAATCCGTCTCCAGTAATATAAGTGATCATGGCACCTTTCAACAAGAACTTGAGAACCTAACATGGTTCCACAGAGCCACAGCACCTCCCAGCCAAAAGCATGGTAGATATCCTCCAATAAGAGGTGAACAGTGGAAGCTGTGAAATTTCAGCTCCAGATTCCAGACTTAACCCCGCTCTGAGTCTCTACTCTCCTAGTACTAAAAGACGTCCGATTGCTATGAGGCCATTAAATAGGCCATGAGAAGATGCAAAGTGGACTATAGCTCAACATTTCCATTGTCGCAACTCATAATGCTTCCTTAAAACATCTATATCAGTAGATACTATGTAGATCATGTAAGAATGCACTACTCAGACAGCTGGCCTTAAGCCTTTATAGAGAGACAGCAGCACAATAACCTATCATTAACATATGTCCCAGTCTGGCTGACTATAAGGATATCAAGGAACCTGCATGGAATAGTTAAGCTACACGAAAATCAGTTGAGATCTATTACCAGCACTACAAAACACAACATGCTATCCAATAACATCAACTCAAATAATCCCATGGCCTTTCTACATAATAACCCCCTTCCATCATACCTGCCTACATAGCTCTCAGTCTTAGATAATTATAATGACCAGGAACATAACCAGATCTAACAGGCTTTCATACCTGTAGATCACACTTCAACTAGTAGCCCTAGTCACAATGCCTTTGGGCTGCTCACGTTTCTGCCAGGTCTCCCACAAGATCTTAACACGCCAGCAGAACACATTAGCAAGCCTTGGCAATGCATAGATAACGAACCTAATATTCTTAGAGAGCCTGAAAGTGCTTCAGAACCTCTACAAGTCTCTAAACAGATTATAGCTTACCAAGCAGTAATAGATAATCATGCTATAGAACTCCAGTCTCTAACTCCAATTATGCAGCATTAACAACCTCGCAAACAGACTCACTCCTGTAACTAGTGCCAAATTACTAAACAAGCATATAATCTTCAGAATAATATAGCAATCTGAGAGAGTTAGCCAGTAAATCCATGTTCAACCTATACTAGTCAAGGCTTAGAGTGCATAACAGCATAGCTAGGCAATAAAAAGGCTTCACTTTAGTTAACACAACGTTGGCAGTCTTAGGTACTAGATAGGCTCAAGACCTACATAATTAAAAACAACATTCAAGAGAAGACAGTAATATTTAACGTGCCACTTAAACTTAACATTAATTCATATTTAGCCAGATACTTTTCCACTCAGAAGATGCAGGTGCTTTATTTTGATCTTTACATCAACCTTCTAGATATGCCTCTTTCTCAGTGTTTACTCAAAGGTATCATGCCCCACCGGCATTCTAAGGGAATTAGAGCTCTAAAGCTACTAAGTAAGAAATATTGTTTTCACAATTTTATAACACAGGCAAACAAATAAGTTTGCAGATTCTAAGACACCATTCCTAAGGCCCACACATCTCTCGCTATTAGGCCTCACTTATTCTGCACAGCTATAATTCTTGATTCAGTCTTTAACAGACAGAGCAGCAACCCCCAATCCATAACCCCAGCTCCTCATAATAATGCCATCAACAATGCGTACATGTAGACAGCTTTAGCAACATCTTCACAGTTCTATTTTAAGGCAAAGGGTAATACGCAATCATGTCAGGCTATTACTCACTATACATGATAGAAAGCCAAACAGACAGTCTTCAAAAGCATTATAGCGATAATGTCCTTTTGTCTAGCTTTGGCTCTGCTTTTGTTTGGCCTTGTTAAAATGCCTTGCTCAGAAGCAAGGGTCTTAGAATTTAAGAAAGTTAGTAATTTCGCCTTCTACAAGGGCATTAAACATCTATGAAAACTGTGTGCATGACTTCGCACACATCTAGATTAGGAGTGCCTCAAACTCATTTAGACCTGAACAGGGAAGCAAAAATCTCTTCACTACCTGCAAGAATTTTCTCTAGATGTTGCGCAGCATTTACATGAACTGATTGGTGTAGTTAAATAGTTGTCATGCATTCTTGGTGTAGCCAAGGTCGTCTTATCTCGTAACTCAATGAATCCCTACAGTCTTGATCTCTATTCTAGTGAACTCGATTCAAAGTCAGAATTGGAGCTGGATGAGCTACGTGAGACTGAAATGGCATCTATTACTCCTGTTATTTCACTCTCTAGTGTGGATAGTCATTCTGTTGATTCAGTAGAATCTTATGTGGAAGTTTCATCTGATTTAGCCGTGACTAGAATGTGGTAGTCAAATGCTTAAGAATTTGCTATGCTGCAGAAAATGTGTAAGGCTGGAAAGGCTGTGATACTCATGTAGAGTAATCTTGCTTGCATAATGACTATAATTACCTAAACCACCTAGCCTAATTCTAATATAGAGAAGGTGTATCAGATGTGTATCAATATGTAGACTATAATTGTAATATGGAGAGCCACTTTTAGCATGTTTAATGAGGTGTCTACGTTGACTTTTCATGAGGCCATGTCTGAGATTTGTTGGAAAGCCGCAATATGCTGTAATGATAGTGATCTGGGTGTCTTAATATACATCAACATGGTGAAGGATCTCAAAAGTAGACTCTTTAGCAGCCTGCCTTCTGAGGTAAGAGGAAAGCTCACAAAGTATCTTCAAGCGAATCATAATTTTTTAGTGGATTAAAGACTCATAAGCACTAAACAAGTCTCAATTTTGGCTAACATATAACAAGGCATGAGTCCTGATATTCATGGCATGCAAGGTTTTAAGGCTCAGGTTTAAGACATTAGCACACATCCAGTAAGTTCTCAAGATCTTGCAATCCATTCATTATTATGAGAGATCAGGCTGATGTAGTACTACCAGTTTCCCACTATAGTAGTATGATCAATCTATCTAGCAGCCATGACTCTGTCATATAAGCTTGTCACTTTGGTTAACAGAATGAAGTCAATCAAAGCCTCAAAGATCACTACACAGCTAGAGTCTTGTCTAGAAGCATTTCAGACTCTCCAAGGATCTCTTGTTACTTTCCCCAACATAAGCAATACCATAAGACCCACATCATCTGAGCGAGACTAATAGACAATGTCTTAAACCGTTATTACTAACGGCTAAGGTTAAGGATTTTGCAATAACCTCAATCAAGCTACTCATCTCTTCCTCCAAAAAACCCCTATTAGCCAAGCGAGCCTTGATCATCATTCTCATTAGCTGCATGACAATGTTTGATATGCTCAAGTCTACATACATCTCATTCGATCCTTCTAAGATATGGTCCAGTATACTCAGTCAGATATCTCCACAGCCACCTTCACCTTCCACTATATATTGATGCTTATCAACTTGCTTGGTGATCTCA